CCAAACCTGAGGCCCAGATGGCGTGTTCATCTGCCGGAGCTCTACCATAATGCCCCATAGAGGGCGCCACAAACAAAAATGATCCACCTGATCCAAGCGCTACACTTGGGACAGCTATAAAAATTGAAATAAATCATATTTACGAGGGAAACAGGGAAGAGAGAGAGAAACATATTTCATTTGGAAGTTCTACCAAACTCTTAACATCCGTGGAGAAGTGCCAGTCGCCCCCAACCCAGTTCATTAATGTGCGGCATTCATGTTTAATGTCTCACTTGGCGCACAGACATCAGACACACACATGCAACACATTCCTCAATTGCGATTCCTCTCTCTCTCTCTCTCTCTCTCTCTCTCTCTCTGTCTGTCTCTCTGTGATCTCTGAGCCAAGTATCGCTGCTATAATTTCCAGCATGCTGCCATAAATCCAAATCCAAATGCAAAACCACACGACGCCCCAGTCGTTAAAGTACATGGCCAAAGAGAAGTACTTAAGAGCCAGAGATAAGCTGCCGCCGATATGCATGAAGGAACCAGAACCAGAGGCAGGAGCAGGGGCAGAGGCATAGGCAGAGCCAAAGATCCAAAAGAACGACAGTCGGAAAATAGAGAGAACAAATTAGCCAACAAGAAATGAGACAGGACAGCCAAATGGCAAGAGCATATCATTTAAGATGTACTTCCAAATAAATTACCCAATGCAAGAAATAGAGACACAAACAGAGTCCCTGGAATACCAAGACTAGGCACACCAAATGTATGAATATTGCCCAAGGCTAATCGAATGTGGAGATGCTCTATTGAGTGCCAATACTTACAGATACAGATACTTCCCATACCAATGGCAGGGCGCTAGAAATTCCAGCTAGATGATGATCGAATGCTTCAGCAATGCCACCAAATGTTACACAAATGCCCTAGGCTAGGGGGGCTTAAACAGAAAACATATGATACAGATTATTTTAAATAGTATCTCTAAGAAAACGGAAGTCGCTGTTCCATAAGCAAAAGTGACATTAATGAAACGATAAAATTAATTAGAAACGGTTTATATATACAATACACATGTGTATATAATGAGGAATTATTACTCAGAGAAGAGAAACCCTTTTTCGAGGAACACATCATCTTGGAAAAAGATAATCTTCAAGCTCAAACGTAGCTGCAGTGACTTCTTCGAAAAGGGTATATGCAAATGCCAATACCCCTTGCTGTTGTTGTTGCTGTTGCTGTTTTGGTCTATGATATCAGCCACAAGAACAGCTACAACAACAGATACAACTACAACCACAACTTCAACATTGGCGACAACTTTGTTAAGTGTCAAAATAAATTCGATATTGTGGCTTAAAAAATGTTTATGGCCATGAGATAAATGCGCGACATTTGTGTAAATTACACGACAGCAACTGCCAGCCGCCAGCCGCTAGCCGCCGAAGCAGGAGTTGCAGTTGCAATGCAGACGCCGCTGTGGCCACCACTGGAAGCCACGCATGCTCCCAAGGCGTTGCTGTTTGCTGCTTGCTGTTTGCTGTTGCTGTTGTAGGTGTTGCATGTGTTTTATGGCTCATGCGATCAACTTGTAAAACTGTCACGTTAAATTTGCGTTTTATGCCAGGCCTAAGAAGTGGCCGATCGATCGTCCAAAGAACACAGCTAGAAAAAAGATTCTAAGAGTTCCAGAAGTAACAGGGAGAGTGAAAGAGAGAGCAGAGTGCAGTCAACCCGGCAGCAGCAGCAGCAGCAGCGGCAGTCGCCTTATCAGCGGCCAGAAGACAAGAGGCGGCCCAGAGCACCACATCCGCCGCAGAAATAATAGTGCAAGTAGAGCTTATCGCGGGGCGGGCAGAATCAGAACCCAAACAAGAAGCTGCTGGAGTTATTGCCTGGCGATTGCCTGCCGCAGTGCCGCAGTGACGATAGATAGATAGATGGATGGATGGATGCGGGATGGGTGACATTTGCCTATTTACTTAGCACAAAGCAAATTCAAGACTCTGACGATACCGGGCGACATCGTCATCAGCGTCGCCGACTCTCCGTTTATACATACAGCCAGCCAGCCAGCCAGCCAGCCAGCCATCCAGCCAGCCAGCCAGCCAGCCAGCCAGCCATCCACCAGTTGGTGCCCGTCTCGTGCCGATCCGATCCGTTCCGAACCGATCTATACATTCGCTTTTGTTTACGTTTGCTAATTGTTTGGATTTTATTGAATTTCATTGAGTGCCGCCGATGGGGACGGGAAAATTAAATTTGAAAATGTCTCATTATATACATACATCCAATATGTATGCGTGTATGCATGTGATGTGATGTCTCTGTGTGTGTTTGTGTGTGTGTGGATGGATGATTGATGGAGGGGGAGCAATCGACAAGCATCGGCTTTTCCACTTCCAGTCACTATTCTGAGCTGTCTCTGGCATGTTGCCGCAGATCTGGTCGCGCTTATCGGGCTCCATCCGCAACAATCGGCACATGATTGCCACTCCAAGTCGTACTGCAACTCCAATTCCAAAAGTGGCGACGCCGGCAAGTGAATGTGCACCAAGCGCCAGCAAATTGGCCCACGATATAGCCAACTATGTGAGTCATCCGTCGTGGAATCAATCAAGAAATCCAACGATCGGAGAACGCTGATATTAATAGTTCACAGTTCATTACCCATTCAGCCACCCCCACGCCCACCATGCCTCCCTTATCATTATGCGGTCGGTCAGCAAGTGAAAATCCATTGGGGCAGAGTTTTTACTAAATCAATTAATTAATTTATGGCCTGCCTTGGCTGTGTGTGCGGCAATCGTTGAGAAACAATCTTTCAAATGGCAGCATCAGCAGCTTGAGCAGCTTGAGCCAGCCTCAGCCTCAGCCTCAAAGCCAAAAAGGCCAAACCCGAGCATTTTTTTCAATGTAAACACTTTGTGCAAGCCGGTCCGGTCCGTCCTGTCTCCTCTGTATCTCTGCATACAGGGTGTCGCAGATCCAATGGATCCACCAACTGGGCTGGTGTCGTGTTCCACAGTCACAGCTGTGTTCCGATTGTTGTTGTTTTTTTTTTTTTGTTCTCCAGCTTTATCCAATGAAATCATCGACCGCGAGTGTTGCTTCTAATATGTTTTGCTTTCTTTTATGCAATTTAAAACAGTTGAATTAGTACTTAAGTATATTTAATTGTGGCCTGAAACTGTTTGGCCACGCCTAATAAATCGAATGGAGTACAGTTTGTTAAATCGAATAACGTGTGGCATTCAAAGGTGCCCCTTCCCCATGACATCATTAATTTGGATTGTTACCTACAGTTCAAGTACAATACATTTTATTCATTGTTGCATTCAATTTGAAACAATTAATACACGAAAAATACGTAACCATTGCAAAGACAGATTAGATCATTAAGCAAAATTCTTGGACTTTATTAGAATTATTAATACAAGACCTGATTGCATTTCGACCATATAGCATAGGATTATGTGGCAGAATCCTGCATATTTGAGCACTTTTGGTGGGTCCTATTTTCCAAATCCTGCTGAGATCTTCTGTTACAAAGTGCACTGCATTTACATAGAATGTTGTCCGATGTTACCTGCTGAATTTTATATCGAAACTACAGGAGTATCTGTCCAGTGTCCTGCCCTGTAAGATATCCCCTTGTTGGGACATTTCCATGGATCTATAATTGTGTTTACCCCAAGCCATGTATCATAAATGAATAATTTGTTGAGTGGCAAAGCATATCAAAATTCTCTGGAAAAGCAGATCTATATGTACGTATATCTGGGGGGATCGTACATGGCAATTATCAGAGCTTCATGGTGCTGGAACTTAATGGACAAATGCTCTTAGAGTGGCAATTAGATTAATTAGAGAACTAAATCAATTAAGCCATCAACTCGAGTGCTTGTCTTGGGAAATCGATTGATTGCATCACCCTGTACGCGCATATATGTGGCATACATATATGTATGTACGAGCTTCTAAAACCCGTGCCTGCCATATCTGATGAGCATGAAGAGTCCGCGTCCGCGTCTTCGGCTTCGTCTCCGTCTCCATCTTCGACTCAGTCTCCGTCAGTGGATGATTGTGCGGCAACTGTGAAACTGGAGCAGCTGTTCGGCAGGCCCCTGCTCCAGTTACCGCTCGACTCCCACTTGGTGGCAGACACCACTCGTGGTCTTAGTCGTACTCGTAGTCGTATTTTCATTCATTGGTTAGGACGCGCACACCAAATGAGGTTTGGGGTAGCCATTATCTGCAAACCAAAGATCGACAGAAACAGAAACAGAAACAGAGTCAACCCAAAAACGGAAAGTGAATGCGCCGCCGGTGCACACGCGTGTCGACCCAGAGCTGGGACTGTCTTTGGTTGTGGAGGCTTAACTGGCAGAGAGAGAGAGAGAGAGGGGGAGCCACCCAGCAGCAGCAGCAGCAGCAGCCCAGCAGCTCGGTGGTTCCGTGGCATCATCATCATCATCATCATCATTATCGGCATCGTCGATTGTATCAATTCAATTGGACGCAGCAGGTGATTAAAAATTGGTTAAAGCTACAAAATTATCAATGTGAGATCGTCGATTGGCATTGCCCCGTGGCCGTTGTTGTCTCCGTCTGTACCCCCTGTACCCCCTGTACCCCCTGATGGATGTGCCTTTGTTGGTGGGGGCTTTGGGCTGTCGTATTCAATACCTTTGGGATGCCGGCCTTAAAATGCCTATAGTTGAGTCGTTTTATTTGATTTGTGTTCGATTGGATTTTAATTTGTAAAGTGGAGGCTAATTAGAGCATCTCGTCTCGTCTCGATCATTTCGATGAGTTTCACTTTTCGTCTCTCTCTCTCTCTCTCTCTGGAATTGGATATTGGGGATTGTGGGTATTGAAATTGGAGGAGGGGTGTGGGGAACCTTGGCCTAGCGTGGGCGTGGGCGTGGGCGTTGGTGACATGCTGAAGTTGAAGGCTACATATAATACCCACTGATCCAAATCATTTTTCAATCTTCCATTTTAAGGTCACCTCTTGGCTGGGCAGCGATGGAGCGGAGAATCTGCAAAAGTTTTCGCAACTCCAGTGGGAGAACGAGACCCAACTGAAGGCCCAGGAGCAGGAGTTCGAGAAGTACTACTTCATAGCAATGGTGAGTGGCAGGCAGTGGCTGGCAGTGCAAGAGTGGCAACTAACCCACAGATATCTCCTTTATTCCACAGAAACATTTGGCCAAGGGACGCGACCTGCACGCGGCGGCCATCAAGGTGTCCGTTCTCAGCGAGAGCGCCGCCAGCCTGAAGACAGCCTTGGATCAGTTTGCCCAGAAGCTGGAGCTAACCCACGAGCGTTTCGAGGCGGCCGCCCGACTGCTGCACCTGCTCACCCAGCACCAGCGCGAAGTGGCCGCCCACGAGGAGCTGCAGCGCCTGGCCGAGCAGCTGGGCGCCACGCCGCTGCTGGAGAAGCACTGGCCGGCCATGCGGAAGAGCAACACGCTGCCCGCCGCGAGTAGCACGCCGGCGCCATCGAGTGGCAAGCGAGGTAGCTATCGCTGCAGTTCGGGAAGTGGCAGCTCCTTTGAGGGCATGCCGGGCGGCAACTGCAGCTGCTGGCGTGAGAGCCACCACCTGGAGGACATGGACGAGCCGGATGAGGAGGAGCAGGACAACGATTGCGACAACGACGCCGATGGCGATGGCGAGGAGCAGCAGTCGAAGATTGCCGACTCCGGAGTGGGCGTCTGCGACAACTGTGAGCGCAATCCGAAGCTGGCACGCATCTGCTCCTGCCAGAGTCTCAACGAGAAGAGGTGAGCACGGGGTAGAATCCCACCTGTTCCCTTGCTCATTCTTGGACTCTTTTTTTAGTCACGACGAACTGCTCGAGGATGAGTGCTTTGAGCGTCAATCGAAGCGCTACATGGACATGCACTCGCCCATGGAGGCGAATGCCCATTTGCAGTGCCATGGCTCCAGTCTGGAGCTGCCCAAGCTGGAGGAGCTCAGCTGCCTGGATCCCAAAATACAAAAGTAAGAAGGACACTCAATCCAGCTAGCGCCTGGGCACTAATCATCTCTCGCCTCTCTCTCTCATCTCCTACGCAGAACGCTTCTATTGATCATGCGCGAAATGATTGGTACCGAACGCGACTACGTGCGCTCCCTGTACTACGTGATCGAGAACTACATTGACGAGCTGCTGCGCGAGGACATACCGCAGCCGCTGCGTGGCCAGCGGAACGTGATCTTCGGCAACATCGAGAAGATCTTCGAGTTCCACAACTCGCACTTCCTGCGCGAACTGGAGCGGTACGAGCGCAATCCGCTCAAGGTGGGCGCCGCCTTCCTGGAGATGGAGTCCAAGTTCTACCTGTACGCGCTGTACAACAAGAACAAGCCCAAGAGCGACACGCTGCTGAGCGAGTACGGCAGCTCGTTCTTCAAGCCCAAGCAGCTCCAGCTGCAGGACAAGCTGGATCTGGCCTCCTACCTGCTGAAGCCGGTGCAGCGCATGGGCAAGTATGCGCTGCTGCTGCAGCAGCTGGTGAAGGCCTGCCGCAGCGTAGAGGGAGCGGCTCTGCAGGAGATCGCCGCCGACGTGGAGGAGCTGCAGCGGGCCGAGGAGATGGTCAAGTTTCAGCTGCGACACGGCAACGATCTGCTGGCCATGGACTCGCTGCGGGACTGCGATGTGAACGTCAAGGAGCAGGGCCGTCTGCTGCGCCAGAACGAATTCCTTGTCTGGCAGGGACGCGGTGGCAAGAAGACGTTGCGACAGGTATTCCTCTTCGAGGAGCTGGTGCTGTTCAGCAAGGCGCGCCGCTTCCCAGACCACAAGGTGAGTAGCCGTGGCCTGATATCCGGGAAACAGTCACTTAATTTCATGGACATATTTTTTTGGCCCCAGAATCTGGACATTTACATCTACAAGAACAGCATCAAGACTTCGGATATTGGCCTGACGGCGCACACGGGCGATTCGGCGACCAAGTTCGAGATCTGGTTCAGGAAGCGGAAGCCGGACGACACCTATATGCTGCAGTGCATGTCGGAGGACATCAAGAACGCCTGGACCGAGGAGGTATCCAAGCTGCTCTGGAAGCAGGCGAAACGAAACAGAGGTGGGCCTCAGCCGCGACCGCCCCACGTCCACGTCCTGGCATCTCTAACATGTTCTTTTACCCGCAGAAATTCGTCTGGCGGAGATGTCCTCGATGGGCATTGGCAGCAAGCCCTGCCTGGATATACGTCCGAGCAACAATCAGATCAGCGATCGCTCCATACCCCTGACACAGCTGAACAAGAGTGAGTAGCAGGAGTATGCCCCAATGCGGGATCGATTGGTAATCCATTTTCCGTTCGCAGCACCCAAGTTGCGTCATACGGAGCCCGGCAAGGGCAGCATGCGGCGTCCCAACTCGCTGATATCGGAGAGCTCACTGTCCAGCGGCACTAGCACCACCAGCGGCTCCTCCATCAGCGGCGGATCTTCGTCGGGCCATGGGACGCACGAGAGCGGGCGGCACAGTCTGCACTTTGGCAAGCTGCCAGGCAGCCACAACAGCAGCAGCAGCCACAGCAATGCCACGCTGGAACTGATTAATGAGACGCAGGCCCTAAAGTTGAGCAAGGGCTGTGGCAGTGGTAGTGGCAGTGGCAGTCACAAGAGCCAAGAGCCCGCTTCCGAGGGCAGAAGCAACGAACACCACGGACACGGCCACGGAAGCAAACGTCATCCCAAGCGATCGACGACAATCGTCAGCCAGCTGTCCATGGGTATTGAGCTTGAATTGTGCTATTTCTTCTAAGCGCATCCCGTTGCTTTTAGTTGTTGTTTGTCCCTGTATATAACTAGAAGTCCCTCAGTATTACTAGACACAAAACTGTATATAAAATCCCCACACCTACACACCCACACCTAACCACTCTCCGTGCTGCATGTTGTTTGTGTGTCTCTCCCCCCACCACACGATTCGACCCTTTCGACTGAATGATCCAACATGTTCTCACACTTTCCCCGTATCCCCCCATTCAGAGAGCGGCATTGTCTCAGACATGTGCGGCACACCGGACCAGGAGCACGCGGCCGATCAATTGTCCGGCACCGGCAGCAGGGGCAGCTGGTCGACATCCACCGCATCGGCATCGGCATCCACGGCGAGCGCCTCGACGGTGATCCTGCGGCGCTACAAGTCGTATGCGCATGCGGCCGAGTCCGCTGCCCCGGAGAGCAGTAAATAGGTTCTCGGCCAGGCCAGGCCGGGCCGGGCCGGGCCAGGCGCTAGGTATACAGAAGAACGATTTATAGCTTTAGCAGAAGAACGGTTTCATCGGATCCAGATATAATATACGATACCATACGATACGATACGAGTACCATAATCATTATTATTTTTACTTCATTATTTTTGTTATTTATTATTTATTACATTATTACATTTTAGTTGTGTTAATTTGTCATAATTAATCCCCCATTCCGCATTCATTATTCTCGTTTCGGAAACTAATTGAAATTATTGAATTCAATGTGTCAATGTCGAAATATATATATTTCATAGCATAGCTCTAGAGATCCACCACAATCGAACGCATTTGCACACCACACACATTCACAAACAGAAACAGGAACCGATAAAGGGAGCGAGGGCGTGGAGTGGGAGTACCTCCTACTACCGGCCCCCACCCACATATCGAGATCGACGAACTTCATTACGTACAGTTAGTATGTAATGTAAAACTAAGTGCCTACGATTAGAATATCTTAGACGGAAACATATTCATAGATCTACATATATCATAACTAAATGCAATAAGCAAAAACTTAAATTCAATAAACGTTGCTTCAAATGTAAAACGAATGCCACAAATTCCCCTCGCAAGCGAATGCTCTCCTACGCGCGTTGCCTTGTAATTCCCAAGTGCTTTTTAGCCCGCTTTCACATATAAATAGGCGAGCGACGAATTCACATGAGCTTGAGATGAAGAAGACTTTACTACCCGAACCATCGTGTGGGCCTTTGCCAATTTTGGTAAAGGGACGTAATTCTGATTTAGTTTTGTTTCTATTTTGTATTTTGTTTTTATTTATAAAGCTTCTATATGAAAAATATACTTTTAGCTTATTAATAATCAACTGCGTTGAGATTAAAGTCTGTTAGCCGCCGTGCAGCGTCGATATAAAGAGCACATTGTCGTTTGCTTGCAGCTCGTAGTCAAGTTCGCCCTGAAAATAGAAATCCTCAATACCTAATCACACAAAGTAATTGCTATAGCTCACCAGTAGCTCCCAGTCAGTGTCATTGATCAGAACCAAGATGCCGGGTCGTCTAAAAGGAACAACAACACAAGCCATAAGAGGGAAATATTGGCTGGGCCCCCGCCCTCGCCACTTACACAGTGTCACCTTGCAGGAAGAGTTCGGGTCGCTCCGTCAATATGTTGGCATGCATCCACTTCAGCAAATTGGCAATGGTCCCTTAAATAAAGAAGCAAAATTGAGGACAGACTTTCCCAGACGCAGCATGCTCACATTTTTGATGGCCGTCCAGGGAGAGCTGACGGCGCTTGATGTTGCCAAATAGAAGTTCCGCTCCAGCGCTGAGGGAAAATATAAGTTTGCATAAAGTTGCACTGACCACCGCAGCATAAATATTACCTGAATTCTAATATTATTTTCAAATCGTCCATTTGTTTACAAAATTTCCAGAAAATTGGATTGCTTTTACTACATGACAACTACACAGGGCTGCAATGCAAAGGAGGCACTGTGACATTTCTACATGATATTTACATCGATGTATCAGTTAACCGATAGATATCGTATGAAGATGCAGAAAAACAGTGCTGCATTGCGACCAGTGTTAACCGAGCCGCCATTTCAATAACGGTGCCGCCAAATAATCACACGCTAGTGCAAAAAGAAAAAAAAGATAAAAGCGCAGGGCGTCTATTTGTGTTTCGCAATGAGTTCTGACTACGATTTCACTTTTGGCGAGGGCATCGAATTTGTTCTGCAGGACATTTCAATTAAGCCTGCTCAGCGCCAGAGCTTTAATAAAGACGCCGAGATCATTGAGAATGCATTGATAAGCGCCATTTCAAGCCATGATCGCACATTCGCGCGGGCTTTCAGAGGCCTCAAGCTGACGGGCAGCAATCTGGATGGATTAAAGATTGATTTGCCGGACGAATTTGACATGTTGACGACCATTGGGCTGAACTGCAAAGTACATCCAGTCCCCCTGGCTGACTACCCAGGCTACGTGTATCTGCGCGTCAGTGGCAAAAAGGTGCCCACCCACCTGGTCGATAATCGTTATAACTACATAAGTCGCGAAAAGCTGCAGGCCTGGTTCCGCCAGAACATAGCCGCGGTAATGGAAGAGCTGCAACACATTCCGTGCGCGGGTCGCCGCACGTATGCACTGAAGTACATGGCGCATGGCTACGGCGTGGCTCACACCATAATGGCCACCTGTCGCGGCAACCGCAAGCGCAAAATCTACTTTGACTTTGTGCCAGCGTTTGAGTTTCAGGCCCACGAATGGCCACAGGGATTGCATCAGCATCAGCATGAGAATCGCACCTGGTTCGCCATTCCCCGTACCATCCGTGGCAAGAATGCTCCGAAAGATCCACTGACCTTCATGGTCTGCGCTCCGCACTGGGAGCGCATGGTGTTGGGAAAAAAGCAGAACCTAAAGGACACCATGCGCCTGATGAAGGCCATACGCAATGCCAACCATATGCCTTCACTGATCAGCTACATGATCAAGAGTGTCTTTCTGAACTGCGCCGAGTGGAAGTACACCACATGGAACCAATCTCCCGGAGAACAACTTGTCCGTGTAAGTGTGTAGAACAAGCATTTTATTATTGGTGTTGGCTTAGATATATTCTTTCCGCATTTAGATGTGCGTTCGTATGATTTGGGCCCTTGTTGAAAGGCGTTTACCATTTTACTTGGTGCCGGAACTGAATCTATTCGAAACGCTGTCCGATAACCAGATGTCAGACTACTTACGACAGTTTAACCGCATCACTCGCACTCTCATCAAGTGCCTCGATCGCGATCGCATTACTCCAGACCAAATGGAGTTCTTGTTCGGTATAACTTACGACTGAGGGGCTGCTGCCAGGGACTTTCCTTCCAATCATTTATATTTTTTTTATTACTTTTTCTTGATAATCTCGCACGATATACATATGAAAATGTATGTACCTGCTATGCACTGAAGCAATTTCTATTCGTTTTTATCTCACATCTGTAATATCCTTATGAAGGGACTTAATTTGTATTAAACTTTTTGTATTTTTCATTGGTTCACTGTTGGATTTATTGTTCTTTTTGGCTCTTGGTTTGCTTCTGGTCCAGCTTAAAGTCGATGGGCTTGTCGTAGCCCATGATTCGCACATAGTGCTCGGGATCCTCGAACAGGGCCGGGTCGATGAACAGAGGCCGCTTGTTCACCAGGAACGAGGTGAACATGCCAGGCACTTCGGGTACAGTCACATCGCTGGGCCGGAATTTCGTCTGCAATGGGACATTTAAGAGTTCGAGAGAGAGCCCCAAAAAGAGGACCAACTCACCTTGATCTTTTGCAGCAGAAGCGAAATCGTTGTGGCGGTATACTCCTCGGTGGCGGGATTGTAGTGGAGCTCGGTAACATACTTCTTCGTGATGAAATGCAGCAGCAGCGGCGTCACGAACGTGAAGAAGCCGCCAATGGTGCAGAGGAACACAGCCATGCCGGTGCCGCCAATCTTCATGCCCTGCTCCAGCAGAATGGGCTGTGCGGCAATGCCGGCCAAGCTGGTGCTCAGCGAGAAGAACTTGACCACTTTCATGCGTGGAGCCAGCGTGCCATAGTAGATTCGCTGCAGTTCGGTCTCAGCGCCCTTGCCGGCAGCATGGTCCGCCAGCCACCTGCACTGTAGATTCTGTTGCCTCTGTTGCTGTAGCGGCACCGCTGTCCATGCGGATCCACTAAACCGGCAGCTCGGCGCAAGGGGAATGTGCCGCGCAGCATTTCCAAGGGCCACAGCGATGTTTTTGCCACGGGGCAGCGCTGCACGAAGTGTGAACATTTTGTGCGACCTTAGTGTGTCCCTTACTGGGTTTTTAATTCAACGTTTGCTTACGTTTGCTCCTCTAAATAAATGAAATAAAACAAGTTAAATAACACAGAAACAGCTGTTGTTGCCATTAGAGTGACCATGCTGCGGTGTTGCCGGAATACCGCAAAACGCGTCGCTCCTGAAACACGCGAAATAATTCAAATAACGAACTTTTGAATATAAAGAGCCTGCACGTAATTGGGATGTGAATTTAAATGGACAAACAAACATGGGGACAGAGTAGTACTAATAATATAATAAAAAAATTATGAAATAAATATCTATTATTGTTCAGCATTTTTAATGCCCACTGCTTAACTTTGTCATCTACATACATATGTACATATTTCATGCTCCCGCACGGCAGCAACGTATGCAGCCGTTCTCTCGCGTCTTCAACTCACACCTTTCTTTCTATCGCCTTTCGCTATCACTCTCTCGATCTGTCGCTCTCTCGCTCGCATTAGGGCACGGGCAAGGGCAATTCGGCCCGTCTGCCCTTTGATTTAGTCTTGATCTTGCAATCACTGCACATCGCCTTGGAATCGAGCTATTCAATCCGACACCGTCTTGAACCGACCCCCGCGTCTTCAATCTGACCCCGTCTTGAATCCAGCTAACTATCCTTTCGACTCTGTATCGCTTATTTACTTCACCACAATAAACTGTGAACATATTGAACAATCATCGCCTTTTTAATAATATCGCAATACAACGCTACTAAAGAAGCTCAATAGCTCAACAAATCTATTGTAGAGGTAGCTTAGTTTAATCAGATATTATGAGACATATTGTAGTGGGCAGTCTGTTTGCTTTCGTATCTTGATTCGTTGCATTCTTGTATACATACATATATTATATAATTATCATATGCCAGAGTGTAAAGTTGATCGCATCGGAAATCCTTTCATTACGATTGTCGGCGGCACTCGCTCCTCCTAGCAACATAATCTGTCTGTTCAATTGGAGTGTCAGCTTTGCATGTAATACTCATCCCGCATATTGTAATTGATTAACAATAAGCGGAGACGTGACATGCCGCCGCCCCCGCTGCGGTGTTCCATATAAATACAAAAACAGTGGCAAAACGCGAATGTAAATTCGAGTACGAATTAATATGCTTGAATTAATGGCAATTGATGGCGGGTGGGCGTGTGACAGGATGCTATTGAATGTGGTCAAAATATATAATACATACATACACGCGTACATTGTATATGCGTGTGTGTGTGTGTGTGTGTGGGCGTAAAGTGTGGCTCTAGTTACGTACACGACATGGGTGCACATGCAATTTGTCGCTGTTGGTCGTGACCACATTTTTAATTTATGTTGCTTTAATTGTTTAAATGAAATTTCAAATGAAGGTTGCGGGTGGGCAAGGGCTACTCTGTTTTTTTTTTTCGACAGCCCCAATTGATGTGCCACGTGCACGCCTGGATGAACTGCACATTTGCAGCTGCACCGCCACATCCATCCGCCCGTTCGGGGGCAGATCTTGAAAGCGCTTTAATGCAGCGCCCAATTTCATTCGACTGCATTCAGGCGTCACTAATCAACAATTTTCAAAGTGACCAAAAATCACATTTGATTTTGAATTGCTCCGCGCAGGCTTCCTCCTGCTCCGCACCCTTTTGCCGTTCCGTCCATTCGTGTCCATTCCTGATGCCTGACTCGGTCACAGCTCAACTGGCTGACATGTGGCTCTGGCTCTGCCTCTGCCTCTGCCACCTCCCCCTATCTGGCAATCCTTTTGTTATCCCCGCCTTTTGTTGTCATTTCATTATTGTTATTTCATGCATCATATTCATGCCCCATGCCCCAGAACCGTTCCTATCCACGCTAGTTGCTGCTGCTTGCCAATTGTTTGGCCAAAAAATTTTCCCAGGCACACGGAAAAATAATTCATGGCAAAAAAAAAAAAGAAAAAGTGCCGCGCACAGTACCAAAAATCGCTGCATAGGATAAAATAGACAGGATAAATGTGTGGGTTCCGGGAGAGGGAGCAGCAGCATATTGCATATGGCTATGGCTCATTCAAATTTGCTGTGATATCAATTTATTTTTGTGCCCCCTCCTCTATCGACAGGGAATGTAGGAAGTGCTCATAAGAGTCGCATAATAATCTTATTGACCCTAAAATAGTTGCATAAAAGCTACAAAAGTTGCTCCCACGCGACACAATATCTCTCTAAGAGCTGCAGATTGGTCTGTGGTAATTTCGCTTTGCAGAGTCTTCGCCATCACTGATTGATAGAATTTTCGATTAAAGTTGGCCATAAATTTAATTTTCTGATTTTTGTTGCTGTAATTATTATATTTATGTATCAAATTATGCAACGCAATTATTAATGATTAATTATCGGGAATTATTCAAATATTGACTCAAAGCATGGCCGGGTCGAGCAAAGGGTGAAAATATGCACTCGAAAATAAGAACTCAACTGTTCAAGCGCCATTTCCCCTCATTTCGCTTTGAGCGGAAAAGTCTGCCTTGAATTGCTTGGTCAGGACCTGTTCGTACTAGTTCGTGTTGCAGTATGAACAGGACTTGCGTTTGGCTCCAATATTTCCGCTCGAACATACACATATGTTCCACTGCGATTCAGCTCGAACCTGCCACAACTTATACCAACACAGCTTTAGTTGGCAGCTGGTTCGAACTCACTGCGATTCTGCTCGAACGTGTCATGGCTTATAAGTTGGGGAAAGGCAACTGGTTCGGAGGGCTTGAGTGTTATATTATTAGCGCTTATTACCCTGGGGACGTCCTTCTCCGGGACATAAGCTACCATGATTAATGGTGGTGCGCTGAGGATTATAATAATATACCTAAAAACATATATTTAAATAAGTGATGCTTTGAAATACATACGAGGTGCAAGTCGAAATTTCTTCATGCGGCTGCAATGTGCAAGTCGATGAATTCTCCCACGAAATTTGGTCATGCTGGGCCATTGCCTGTGGTGCGCTGAGTATTAAACAAATTTGATTATTGTAATCGGTATTGCTTTTGAAGCAAATACATACCTGGCGGCCGCATCTAAATACAATTTGTAAATTTTAATGTCCGAATAAGAGGAGGAAATGCCGTCCTTAACTTGGAAACTATCTATCTGTTTCACCGTTTGGTGAGGCACATAATGCGGCATCACAGTAATTATAATGCCCTCCTCGTCCTCTTCTTCAGTATAAATATAAATGTGTTTCATATTTTTTTCGCACGCACAAACACAGTTGGAAGTCAAGAAAGAAGCACGTTTTTCGCTTTGTCACTAACTAAAATTGAGCACCATTTTACACCAAAAAAAAACACACTTTTCCACTTTGGTCACACTTAAAAAAGAGGACTATGTAATATTATTGCTAGAGATGAGCATCAAACAAAATATCAAACTGATTATTCTGATTTTATTCTGCATTCATTATAGAGGAACTAATAAAGAATAAAGACTATATGCATTGCAGCAAAGCCAGGCAGGTAATCTTCGCAATTCCCTTACATTGAACTTCCACAGAAAATGGAGAAAATTAAGAAAACTAAATTAAATAGAATCAATCTAGTTAACTTTTGCAAGGATACAAAATAGAATTAGAAAATGGTAAAGATAATCCGAATCGTAGGAGTCTATGGCTTGTACAATTTGCTTGGGCTCTGTGCAGTTTGTTTCTCAGTTCAGTTTTATAAGGTTACGAGTACGGGTAACATCTATTTCTAAAAACAAAAGCTAAAATTTTAAGTTTTTTTTTTGTGAATTTTCATTCACAGATATTGAGAATTTTTTTGTTCAAATTTTTGTGATTTTTGTTTTCGTCTCGTAAACAATGTCCGTCTCGGACATTTCGGATGTTTCGGATACATCGAACGTATCGGATTATTCCTCGGATAGCGAAAACAGTGTGACGGCCGTCCTTAGCCAAGATGCAGATGAAGATCTGCCATCGCCGGCATCGGTTGACAGCCTTGTGGTGTCCGATCCCGATGGCCACTCTTCGGGTGACGATGTTGATGCACTGAGCCCCAACGCCGAGGACCATTCGCCAGCAGTACAACCGCGACGGTCCGCCATAAGCTATCTAAATTTTATGCGGGACTTCAACCGCAGACATGGCGGGACATTCAGAGGACAAAAAATGGTGAACGTTGCAGCACAACAGTGGCGCTCAATGGACTCGGACCAGCGGAATCAGTATCGAAATGTGAGTTATTACTCCGGTGCATCGAAAACATGTCCGTTTAGCCAGCCTCGTTCTGATCCCCGACAGCCCGACTATCGCCAGAAAATCTCCAAGAGTTCGTATTCGCCAGAGAGCTCGAGCACGACTTCTCTGACACCGAGTCAGTCCGATTTCCTTGCGTCTGATGCGTCCTCCCTGGACGAAGTGGATTGCTCAAAGAAGCCCGAGCCCTGTGCTAAGAGGAAGCGCAAGCGCAAGCGCAGCTGTGGTAAGAAAATGCGCAAGAAGTCCGCTTGTGGAAAGCGTCGACGCAAGAAGTCCGCCTGCGCCAAGAAACGCAAGGCGTCCAAGAAAAGCTGTGGGAAGCGTCGCCGCAAGCGTCGCAAGACCTGCTGAGACCGGAGGAATAAACCAAACAAAACCACGGAAAATGCACACAAGGGAGGGGGAAACCTCCAAGCGAACACTACATGCAACTGTAGAAGCCTCACCTGCGCAATGAAATGCTAGAGCTTGGACGGCCTCCCCTCCACACCCTGGCTGTTCGGTACCCACAGTGCCACTCACAGAAGTGACCAATAAATGTTACCCCACGTCAAGTGCACATCTGGTGTATTATTGCAGTTATTTTATCCCAACGATCAGTTGAGAATGCGATGCTCGGATCCCTGACATTTTCCTCCCATTATTTTATTACTCAGTTGGCGGGCTCCGGCTTAAAATGCAATTAGGACCCGCTTTACAATTAATATGCTAACGAGTCATCACTCTGCTTCCCTCTCCTCTCCTCTGCCACTCCCACTCCTCTCTTCTTTACAAGAAAAGTGACAAAGGCAGCTCGCAAAATCAGCAGAGTTAGGCGAGCTAGGAGGGAATGCAGGGCGCAGTAATACGATATAGCCTTTGACTCGGTAATTGTTGAATTTGTAGTACACTTATCAGTGTGGTCCCGAGTGCAATAAATCATTTGAAATGCACTTTAACGCGTCCATGCAGCGGCTCCTAGGTGTAGTAGGGATAGATAGTAGGAGGGCGTGGTTAAATGTTAAACTAAATGCTGGAATAACTACAAGCTTAAACTATGCGCATATTCAGACCCGACCGATGTCCAGTAATGCATACACAGTACATAAAGTATGTACCTTAGTATGTATCAGTGGAAATAAAAGCCAACTGTCGAAGGGAGGGGCTCTCACAGGTGGGCAGCAGCAGCAGTAGCAGCAGCAGCAGAGGGAAAAACCCCCAACAGACATTTCACCCAATTTGCAGCATAATTCATGTTCACGCTACCCCCCGAAGCCATTATTATGTTGCGCTGCGATGTGGAGTAAGTAGTCCGCAAATTGGTAGTTCATTTCGAGCACATTTTGGCCCGGTTCTGGTGCGGGTTATTAAATTGGTTTATAATTTATACGCGTACGGCGTACGGCGTACGCGTACTCGTTGTTCGCTCCTTCAAGTGCCAGTCCGTATTTTTTCCCATTTAATAAAGACAAATGTGAAGCAAGTGGGTCAATTTTACGGCCACCGATGCGATCCCTGAGTTATGGGAGAACTAAAGCGTAGAACTCGCAGCATCCTTTGAGCTGCAAGGCGCAGATCCCAATAACTTGCACTCGGTCCCAGCCAGTCCCAGTCCCAGTCCAGTCCCTCCGGATGGTGATGTATCCAAGGAGACGACAAAGCAAAAGTTTCGCCATCTGTGCTGAAATAATTACTGACAAAGCCTTAAATATTAAATTACACACTTATTTGTTTTTGACCGCCCAGTACCCGAGCAGCGAGCCTGAAGCTGCTGCTGCTGCTGCTCCTTCGCCAAAGCCATCGACAAGGACACTGTAGCGTGTCCGGCCCCTCCCCCGCACGTACAATGTCCTTGTCCGGAGTGGTAGTGGTGCCCGTAATAGTGTATTTGGCCGGCTATTCAAATACCTCCTTTGCCCGACATCAGCCAGTACTCCGTGCTCCACTCCACTCCATAGCGCCGCAGCCACTGCCACTGCCACAGCCACTGCCACTCCAGCAGTGCCAATGCCACTCTGGTGTTTACTTTGTGGTTATTTTGAGGCTACAAGTTGCGACTTTTACATTTACGAGAAGGAAAGCAAACAGCAATAGCAGCAGATGGAAACCCAGCAGCAGTAAAAGGAGCGGAGCAGCAACAGATTCAGCTCTAGCTCTAGCTCCAGCTCCAGCTAGGAGCAGATAAATGCACGTAGACTCTGTGTTTGGTGTATCGGGTGGGGGTGTGGGGTGTGGGGTACCTATTGCTGGGCATGTTGTGGGGTGTACGATGCTTACCTTAATCTAATGAAAATTAAATGGCTGACGGGGCCCTTCGATCTGTGTGGGGGTTGCTCTTAAAGCGAGTGTCCTTCATTAGCCATCCACCCCCCGCCGCTTCCGAGTGTCCTGGGCTCTGAGCTCTGGGCACCCTGCAGTGTCTGTGCCTGAATGAAGCTGCAAGTGCAACTTAAATTTCGATGAAGCACCAAAATGAAACCCCCCCTCCTCAAGAGTCGCTCCCCGGCTCTCATGTCCGAGTGAGACCATGTCTGTGCTTCTGCTCCAGCACGCACTGGGCTACAAGCTGTCTGCCAGCGTTTAAATCAAAATTAAACCCTCGAAAATAAGCTTGTATGTGGGGGCGAGTAGTGGCAGCATGAACATCTGCCTCTGCAGCTGTAACAACCAAGTGTCTAAAGTCAGTTGCCGTCATACACTAACTGAGGATGCTGCCAAGCGTCTGAAACAGTTTGCAACAATCTGTAAAGTAAATTTAGGATAGAAACCCTTTTGTAAATATAAATATATCAATAACAAAGCAAGCAGTTCCAGCGTGTTTAGGTGCATGTTTCTCATTCCTCTCGTGTAGCAATAAGAGATACGAGAAGGCCTTAATGCCTGATGGAAAGTTCCCAGACAAGGAAAACGAATTTCTACATTTTATTTGTGCGCTTTCCCATGGGTCCACGTCCACTTATTCCATGTATCTGTTGGACTGGTGAACACATGACATTCCAGAGTATATTCCTTGAACAATAACCGAATGTATGGAATAAGTAGATGTTTGTCAGATACTCTTCAATTCCATAATCATAACTTGCACAATATTCAAGCTAGGGCTAGACAATAGCTTTAGATTTAGTCCTGGAATAATAATGATTTATATAAAGGATACATTTCTGTGGCTGTGTCGCACAGCGTGCATAACATGCTCTTTGAAGATAGACAACGCTGCGTATACGTAACTTTAAATTTGTCGGCGCATCCCAGCGATGCAACAGAGCATCGCACGCTCTCCACGTGTGTGTGAGTGTGTGTGCGAAACGTGTGGGCATGTGGGAGGGGAGTGTGTATCCGTGGCGATTTAATAAAAATAGATGAGTAAACTGGCATTAGACAGGTCTCATTCCCTGTCTCTCCCTCTCCGCGAGGCTCCTCCATTGGCTTTGTGCCGCTGCCACACTTGAAGCGTTACAAATTCAACTTTAAGCGTTCTGACGCTAAGTAGTTGATGGGACTCGGCTGCCTTGGATGGGAAGCTGCTGCTGCTGCTGCTGCTGCTGCTGATGCCTGGGCAACCACGATTGAGTGCACTCCCACAATATTTCCTCGGCATATATAAAAAGTTATAGTTTAAGAGTTGCATGTTGTTTGACGCCATAGCACAGGATAGCATACGAGTGGGCGCACGAGTATATCCTCTCGCAGGAGCAGCGTCATATCCCCCTGCAACGTCACAGCGCACTTCCTTCCGGCACTTTGACTGGGCTGCCTTCCTCTGCTGCTTGATTTTTGCCAGACTCCTGCTCTGACTCTGACTCTGGAAGCTAGATCTGGCCCTGGCTATGGCCATGGCCATGGCCCTGTCTCCATTCATGGGTCCTGCCCGCATGCACGCATCCTTGAAGCCAAATTGAAGTGTTTGTGCCGAGCACAAGTGCCCAAAAATGTGCATGAAAACAGCTTACAGCAGCATGAAAATTTCTGACAAGATGTCAGCAGGAGGTGGAGCGGCAGCTGCTGCGGCAGCGGCAGCGGCAGAACAGAAGCTGCAGATGGAGCTCATGCCAATGCAGGACGCTCCAAAATTTCGATGTGCCTGCCAGGGCACCATGATGATCATGATGATGATGATGAGCTTGCTGTTACGCACATCGTTTGACTTTAATATTGCGCCATATTGTTGCGCATATTTTTCGTTCCATATTAAAAATAGTACAGCAACTCACAGGACACGCAATGGGGTGCCCTCCAAAGTGCAAAGTGCAAAGAGAATCGGGGCAGCTTTTACCCTGACTACAAAGCACCATAGAAATCAGTAAAAATGACTGGCATACATTATCATCGAATCAGCTTAGAGCACCACTTTAGCTTTAAACACTCCAATTCTGTTAGTTGAATACTTTAATCTGGATTCTATCTGTCAGATGGGGTCCCATGGGATCTTCCACCCGTGAGCTGCAGCTGTAGCTGCATCTGGCCAGGGTCCTCCAGCCGCTTTACGATGCAATCCCGAATCCCGAGCATTTGCTTGCCGTGGATATTCATTCACAAGCGAACTTTATTCATTAGCGACATCGACAACGACGGCCCCCCTCCCCTCACCTTACCCTTTTGGCAAAATATCCGCACACAGAGACAAGTTTTGCGACTCGTAAACGAAATAAGTTTTCCTTTTCTGCAGGAGTTCGTTCTGTTATGAAATTTAAGCAAGTTGTCATAAAAATGTCGCCCCCCCCCCCCATCGACGCTCTCCCTTGGAACGGGCTTGGGGCATGGGGCATGGGGCGTGGCATGCGGCGGGTGTCAATCCGCAATCCGCACTGCAAAAGTTGCCCAAATCCAAATCCACAGTGTGGTTGCAGGCAACTTTTGCTCTTTCCGGTTCGTAGTGTCGCCAAAGGAGGAGGAGGAGGCGGTTGGTGGGTGGAGGGAGGAGGTGCAACACCAGATGGTGCAGCATTGCGTGCAAATTGTAGTTGTGGGAGTCGAACCCAACCCCAACCCTGTTCCGCCTTTACCCCCCCTGGCACCCTGGCACCGTAGTTGCAAATAGTTGTTGCTTTCATGCTTCCTTGTTCGCCGCAACTTTTGGGCTGGCCCGATTGACACCTTTTGGGAAATGTGACAGCTTTAACGGAGCCTGCAAGACTTGCAGCTTAATTTGTTGCCTGTCCACAGTTGAAAGCCGCCTGCCGTCTGCCGCCTTCAGCAACAACATCATCATCATCATCAGCTACCTGCAACATCTTCTTGGTGGCAAGTTGCTTGTTGCCAGGTGCTTGGCGCTCGCCAACTTTGCACAGCAATTTAATAGATGGCATTGTAGTAACAACAATGGGCGGTGCTCTGGGAGAGGAGAGGTGTGCGAGGAGCTCTAAACGTGCCCAATGCGAGATTCTAGAGAATTCGCATAAAAACTTTCGCCCTAACTTGTGCAAGTTCTTTTAATTTTAATTAAACGGATGAGCAGCAATTAGCGAAATAAATCTGACAATTTTGCAAATGAGCCAGTCTGGCGCCTCTTGCCTGGTGACTGGTGCAGAGTGCCGGGTGCCTGGTGCCTGGTGCCTGATGCTTGGTAGTGGGCAGGACACAGGACTGCCAGCCAGATGCGGAACAGAAAAAAATATGTTTTTCCCGCCTCGGTGTTGGGAGGTGGAGCAGTTGGCATTAGCCTAGTTTCCTACAGTTCGAATAACCATCCAACAAGCTCCTATGGGAGAGAGAGAGAGGAATAAAAGAGGAATCCTGCCTCCTTGTAGTTGAAACTCGTTTAAATTCAAGTTAACAGTCGCCCCCCACCAACTGTAGTTTTTTTTTTTTTGGTACTCTGCCCTCTGCAGCAACCATTTTCCAGCGCGTTTTCCTCCCAGTCCCAGACGATGGAGAATTTTACTCTGCTTTCGGTTTTGGCTTTTTGGCTGTCGCGGTTTTGCCTTCGCCATTGCTGTTTCCTTTGCCCTCTTTTTTGATGGTGTTTTATATCCATTTTGGCTTTTAATTGAGGGCGCTTACTTGCAGTTTCGTTGTCAATTTACGATTCACTTCAGGGAGCATCCTCCTCGAATCCTTCCATGGACAGGCGCAGCATAATTTCTCGCATTCTGCAACCGTATTTTTTTTTTGTGCAATTTTTGCATTTAATTACGAAAGTTTTTTAATTAAATTACTGCATTGGACATCTGTGTCAAGTTGAGGTTTTTCTTCGAGTGTATGAACAGGGATAGAGCGAAGGCCAATCGGAAGAGTTAGGGGAGGTGGAACTTTGGTCGGTGAATCCCCATTGATTACCCATATTTAAATGTGTGACTTATGTGGGATCCACACAGCCACAGTAATTTATCAGCAACAAGCACATTTACACAGATAGACCCATGATCGGGGGCTGCTATGGGAGTTTCGAATACCATATCGAACCATGGTATCATGGTACAGGTACTTAATATTTTTGGAATAATTTAAATATTTAAATATATTGGGTAGCAATTAAAATACTTTAAAAATCTTTGCACAGCCCTCCTCTATGGCTATCAATCAAAATATCTATGTGAAAAATCCCCTCGACCCATATGGATTGTACCCCCTTGGTACCTGTCTATGACATCTTTGACATGCGTCATGGCATACATATCTAAGTAGACTCTTTGGGTAGCCCTCTCAGGAAAGTACAAATAACGCTCAGAAAAATCACCTCGATTCGCTGTATTCATATATGAATGTGGGGCTTTTGGGGGGGTTAAAAGCTATCGCCCAAGGGGCACGCGGTTTATCAGCGACCAATAAGAGCGTCTCCGGACTCAGATCACTCCCAGTTGATCGACAGACTCGCTGCCAGAATGATCGCAACGTGGTTCGTGCTGCTTGCTGTGGCGCTCACAGTCGTCGCTGCCGATGTACCGGTGGTGACGCGAGCGGAATGGAATGCCCGCCCCGCCAGTGGGGATATGGACAGCATGGAGACGCCTTTGGCCCGAGCCGTGATCGCCCACACGGGCGGAGGCGGCTGCAGCGATGATCAGGGCTGTGCAACCCTGATGCGCAATCTGCAGCAATATCAGATGACGAGGCAGAAGTTTTCGGACATTGGCTACCACTATTTGATCGGCGGCAATGGACGCGTCTACGAGGGTCGTAGTCCCAGCCTGCGGGGAGCGTTTGCCGGCGCCAACAACGAGGGCTCCTTGGGAATTGCGTTCATGGGCAACTTTGACCAGCAACCGCCAAGCAACGCGGCTCTGGCTGCGGTCCAATCCCTTCTGGCGCAGGCTGTGGGGCAGGGCCAGCTGGTGGAGAACTATCAGCTGCTGGGGCACCGACAGGTGAGCGCCACAAAGAGTCCCGGCGATGCGCTGTACGCCCTGGTGCAGCAGTGGCCCCACTGGAGCGAGATCTGAAACGGAAACTGAAACTGAAAGAACACTGATGCGGGGGGAACGGGATGGGGCTTAGATTTAGACACGTAAAGACCATTCCTTACACATTTATTGTAAATATAATTATGTATAATTTGTTGCTTGCTTAAATACGAATACTAAAATTTTAATTTTGTTGATCTGCTTCCGTTTTTTTTTTTTTATTTAATCGAATTTCGACTTTTACACCGCTGTTCGCGCGACAATCTGGTGGTTGCCGCTTTGCTAAGCTCCCCAGGAGCACTGGGCCACAATAGAGATTTGAGACATCACATAGCGTCATTCACTGAACCTGAACTTCCATAAGAAACTAAGCTAACTATACAGACCCTAGGAGAAGCACAGAACGAACGAACGAACGAACGAAGGTAGAACAGCGCAGGTAATCGTAATGGTAATCGTATGGTATGCAGAAGAAGAATGCGCTAAACAAGAGGTAAACAATAGCCGGCGACTTTGCGGCCGATGCAGTTACAGAGTATAGATTAAAAAATATAAAACAAGGAACTATACAAAATTCGTAAACTTAGTACTTAGGTAAATTTCACTAATATAAACTCCCATTCTCGCTGCCGCTTCCATTGGTATTGGCAGCACTCCCGCTCGCGTTCCCATTCTCATTTTCATTCTCGTTCTCGTTCTCATTCTCGTTCGCGGTACCATTCTGTTCGCCGCTAGACAGTGGCAGATGTTGCTGTAGCAGCCATTCCCGCTTGGCCAGGCCCTCGGGCGTCTCGCCACGCTGCGCGCACAGGGGCTGGAAACAGGTGGTCAGGCCAACGCTGGGCGTGAACTCGGCCCGCTCACGCAACTCCTCCTCGGTGGCCAGCATGATGCAGTCGTCGTCGATCTCCTCGCTGTCCGCATACGCCAGCTGCTGCTGCTCCGCGCCGCGCTGCTGCTGCACGATGCTGTCGCTGTTGCGGCGGAACGAGTCGTCCGACTTGCGCAGGAAATTGTACAGCGCCACACACCCGAGAACCACTTCGCGGATGTGCTTGTCGCTGACGCGCAGAGGCTGCGCCAAAATGGGAAACATATTGCACAGAATCCGCATGGTTTGGTCCGCGTGAGCATTGACCTGCTCGAGGGCGTCGAGCACGGCCCGGTCCCGGGGCCAGTTCCGTGTGGTGACCAAGTATGAGGTGGCTGGCAGCACCGACTCCCCGGCAAAGTAGTAGCCATTGCGATGCTTCGATTGCGCCTCCAGGGCGTGCATCTTGTGCTCGATCAGCTCCACGGCAGTGGTCTGGTTATAGATATCGTTGGGGCGAATGTTTGCCGCTCGCTCCACCTTCGCATACTGGAAATTGTTGTCGGCATCCACGATGCCCGTGAAGATGACGGTCGCCCGCTTCCGATCGTCCCCATTAGTGGTACTGCTGGCCACATTGCTCTGCAGCTGAATGCTGCGCATGAAGAGGTTACCCACGCACTGGGGTAGGCTGTGCTTGCGCTCCATGTCCGTGGCCGCGTTGCGCCACTGCTCATCAGTCTTTGGTAGTGTCACGTATTGGTCCTTGAGGTGCTCGTAGAAGCCCAGACAGATATTGGCAATCATTTCGTTTATCACAAATTTCGAGGCACGGAAGCAGTAGTTTCGACACGAATGCACTTCACCTGTTTGAGAGCGGAGAGGAAGATTTTATACACCATTCTGTGGAGGTGCAGGTTCTTAAAAGCTGGAGCGAGCCACTTACCCGTTGCCAAATACTTGAGCGTTATGGCTAGACGCTCCTCGGCGCTGAACGATTTCTTCTTCCGCTGTGGCGCATACTGACTGATGATCGGCTCCAGCTTCTGCACCAGGTAGCGGAATTGGCTCTCGGTTATGGCGAGGAAGTAATTCAAGTGATAGCACTCGTCCTTGCGCGACTGCAGCTCGTTCAGCAGGTTCTCCTTGCTTAGAAACTCCGCCTGGTTCTTGCGCAGCCACTCCTTGGTCCATTCCAGGCGTCGCCGCGTGTTCAATATGCCGGCCAGGTCGAGGGCGCTGATTTTCGATGTCTGGGGTCGCGACAACACCGTGGTGCGTGCCGCCCCACCCACTCCGGTGGTGCCGGGGGCCAGCGCAATGCCGTTCGCATGTGCATCGCTGCGCTCTGGTCCAGGGGCGTTGCCTTCGTTGCCATTGCCATTGTCCTGCGTGACCCCAATTGCAGTGGCCACGCCCACGCCCACCTGATGACTGCCAACGCCGCTGCCGCCATTGGCGTTGCCATTGGAGATGCCGATGCCGACACCGACACCGCCGCCACCGCCACTTCGATTGACATTCGTGCCTCCGTCGCGTTCGCGCAGCACGCCAATAACCTTTAATTTGATTTTGTCCATCGAACAGCAGTCGCGAGTGCCTGGAATCAAAAAGAATCGTTTTGAGCTGGATTCAAATTTCTTGCTGGGCCATCCGCCCATCCGAAGATTTGCAATGGAACCGATTTGGGCAATCTGGCGACCGCCTGCTCGCCCAGGTCGACCCAGAAGCTGTCAGAGGCTATCGCCCCACCTCACCGTCGCCCACTCGCACCCCGAATGCAGAGTGTGTAGTCGTAGTCGTGTGTTTGTGTGGCTTTTTGTGCAACAAATCGATTTTTACTCACCCTCACTCTCCGCTGCGCCGAACTGCCTTTCGCTGCTGCTGCTGCTGCTGCTCCCGTTCCTTCGTCGTCCGTCGTCGTTGCTGTGTGTATAACCAGTTTCGTTCTTCGGGGGGGAACACACTACGACTGTTGTATAATTAGAACTGTTTGCGGCAATATATCTGCCCCAACTGCTATCTTAGCTCTGTTTGTCGAATTTGCACGTAGATTTTACTTCTGCATCGGTCATCTGCCTCGAATTCTTGTTTCCACTCTGCCTTGCCTATGCCTCTCTGTCTGTCTCTGTCGCTGTTTTTGCTTCTTGGTGCGATTGATACTCGTACCAATACGAAATGCGAAAGCAATTGCAGCTATTTCATATCGGGATTGTGCGTTTCAACGAATTTTCATTCGATTTTCCACTTCCCTGCTCACCTCCTAGCACCTACTTGCCCGAAAACCACATTTTTACCAATTTTTTCACGGTGATGTTGCCTTTTTCCCCAATAATACGTAGCAGCCCCACCAGCTGGAACGACCATCAGTGTGACCGCGGATTTGTCGACAAAATATAACGCCTTGACCCCCGAAATATACCTTGTCGTTATCAAAACATACCGTAAATATACCGAGGAAAATCATATTCATCAATGTTGATATTCGATTTAGTATTACTAGCTAGTTAGGACTTTAACAACTGAAAATATCATTTGATCAGATAGATGAATCAATTTTCTACAATCTGTCTTGTTTTAAGGACACCCATTTATTGGATTACCTATAAAATAAGTTTAAAGCAAAGAAGGTCAGCAAAAATTTCTATTTTTACATGCTAACTACACGTTAACTACACATTTGCTACACATCAACTACTTATTTGTGGAGTATGGCACTTTGTATACCCAATTTCCTTTCAATAAGTTAAATTTATGTTTTCCAAGCTGCTTTGAAACCTCAGTAACAATGAATTTACTCGTATGGGAATGATTTTGACCTAGACTAGATTCCTCTATATATATATATCTCGACCCCTTTTGGTATCTGCAAGAACAACATAAACTGCAAAATGAAATGAGATGAATTTAAAATTTAGTGACAATTTTCGCGTATCAACTCATAATACAAAGACAGTTTATAAAATCGATCAAACGTCACAAAATCCAGAGCTTTCAATTAGTTCTCTTCACCTCGAAAAATAGGAAATTTTGAAAAACCGAAAAATTTCAGTAGTTTTCGTGCGCTAAATGGAGTTTGGCGGTCATTTTGAAAAGTACTTTAATATAACAAAATAGATTATATCTTGATTAAATATACTTTTATATACCGATATACCGTAAATATACTTTGAACTCGATTTCGACGTCAAAAATATTCCCAACTATACCTTCTAAACATTATGTTAATGTAACATTTATGTAACATGTTAATGTTAAATAATATAATATAAAAATGTTACATATATGTATATGTATAAATTTACAACCAATCGTCCTGAGGCCACATCTCCCTTCTCCACGTTTTTTTTTCCTAAATGGGAGTGTGATGGGGAGGGGAGTGGAGTCCGAGGCACAGGACAAATGATTTAAATTGCTGCTTGCCGGGAGGTGCTTCGAGGGAAGCAGACGGCCATGACGGACAGGACATGATTAGAGTGTGGTTTGGTTTGGTCTGACTTTGGTTTGATTTCTTAGAGAAAAAGGTTAAAAATATGAAAGCATAAAAGTTAATTGGGAATATAAAATTGTTGGGATGAAAATCGAGATGTTGCGAGAGGATATGGATGCACCCCGAAGAAGGGAGCCAATAACCCACCAAAAACAGAATTGGGCAATGTCTATGTCTTCCCATAGTATTCTTAAATAGAAACAAAATTAATTTAATTGCTGTCTTTTGCATATTTATTGACTTTCAGTGTCTTAGGGTAATAAATTCAAACATTTTTTTGGCTAAATAAAGTGTAAACATAAAGCTGTAATTAAAAACTAAAAACACCTTTGGGTATATCTTTTTGCACTTGTTTAAAAAATATAATATGATGTATAAAAAAACAATAGTTCTTTGGTAAAAGAGAAACTAAATCAAAAGCTACCGTTGAAATTTTACTTCTTCGCTCAAAAAGCTCTGATAAAACTAAGTAAAATGACCAAGAATATTCGAATATCTTAATTAGTAGCTACACACACATGCACACAATAACTTGCGTTTCATATATATATGTATATATGTAGATTTTTGAACAACATTTTAGAATTTGTTATAGTAAACACGTCTTAATTGCACAGTAAATGTTCTTAAAATTCGATAAGGAATTTCTTTCGACTTTGGCTTCAATTTTCATGGTTTCCCGTTTTTCGTTTCTATTTTGTTTTCCCTCAATGTCTGACTTGTTATTTGTTGGCAAGCATAAATGGATTTTGAATGGCAAGGATAAGGATGAGTATATAATGGGCAAGTTTTCTTAGATAAACCTAACAACGAATTCGAGTATTTCCGAGATTCCTTAAGAGCATATGTATATGAGTATTCTCTAGGTCACTGGTTGCAAGACATGTCCGTGGGGTGAAGTGAGTTTTGTGTCGCGGGGGGATTTATATGTGATCCGACCGGATCGGATCGGATCAGCACTGGGATGGAATGCGTATGCCCTGGGTAATGGAGTTCTCCAGCACAATGTGGCAGTCGTCGAGCGGCTCCAGTATCTGAATGAGAAAGGTGAGAAGATTGCGTCGCCGCAGGAAACTCTCCTCGTCGTACATCTCCTGGGTGACTTTGGTGAGGGCCATCGGTTTAATGAGGCGCGTCAGCAGATGCTCTCGGAGGCTGAGGCACATCAGCAGCTGGAACTTTCCATCTTTGCCCAGGGCCGTGCCATTGATCTCGTCCATTAGCTGCACATACAAACGCCAGATGCTGGAGATCTCACGACGCTGTAGGCTATTGCCACTGCCGCTGCTATTGCTGAAGGAGGAGTCCATGCTGGAGGCAGAGTCCTCCAGCTCCAGCTGCAGATTCTGCTCAAAAAGCTCTTTGACTTTGGCTAAAATGGGGGCAATTAAGACATTATAACTGAAATTCACAGAGAGCTGAACTGTGCTCTTTCTCTTACTGAAATAATCCCAGATGTAGAGATTTCTGCCAAAGAAACGCGCTGAACGAAAACCGCAAAGGAAAACCTGCTCCAGGCATTTAACTAATCCATCATCGCCGCACAGGAGATTCGTTAGAGTGCCCACATCGCGGTCCCTGCTCGGTTTGTAGTGCCACTTTACAATCACATTCACGCAATTGCCCAACTGATGTTGGATTTCGGATGGTGCCAGCGATTCCTGGCGCTGCACACTGGGACTGCGTGTACGTGGCGGCGTGCGGGTGTCCGGCACTAGTTCAGCATTCTTCACACTCGTCGAGATGCGTTGGCCCACCAGCAAACGCTCTGTGGAGTCATCATCCACACCACGGCCCAGCCATCGCCCACAAGGAAATCTGCAAAAGAGGAAAAACATTTCAATTGTGGATGGGGGTCAACCATTTGGATGGCTGGCTCACTTGTAGGTGTGTCCGGTGACCTCATTACGCATCACCACCTGCTCCACGAGCCACTTGTGGCTGGGCCCCGAATTGTCGTGACCAATGCGCATGGTTGTCAAGAGGCCAAGGTTCTTGTACTGCCAATGGAAAAGGGTTATTTATATACTCAGGGAATGTACAAGAATATTCTGGGTCAATGCTTACATGAAAAATAAACTCCAGTGAGCCCTTGGGCACTGGCACACGCTGTGTCTCATTCATGGTGCCCGAGACCATGATCCAAACATTGCTGGAGGTGTGGTAGGAGCCGTACTTTCGGGAGGGGAAGATGACAACGCGATAGGGCAGCTCTGTGGGGCAACAGAGAAGGAGAAGAGATGGGTAAGGCAAGAGCAGACGGGGGAGGCTAAAGCTAGCTTGGACCTACTCGTTGTGGGATAGATATTGGTGAAGCTAAAGTAATCCACGGTATTGAGGGTCAGCAGATGGTACAGGAACTGCTCCTTCTCCTCCTCGCAGCGCAGAAAGGCCGAGCGTTTGTACAACGACCTCAAAAGGCTCTCATCCGAGAGCAGCGTGCGAAAGTGTCGCGACAGTAGCTTCTTCTCCAGCGAGAGACGCACCCAGGCTCGGGTGTAGCCAATGTGCGTCTTAATATCAGCCATGGCCAATACGTTTCTATGCGTTTTTCATGGCAGAATGTCAGTCAATAAAGTGATCTGAGGAGAACTATGGAAACTACTTACTTCACATCGAACTCTAGGGATTCTGGCAGCGGGCACAGCTGCTCCAGGCCCACAAATTTATTGCGATCACGCGAACGACTGCGGTTGGGGCTGGGCGGACCATCAAAGTCCGTTTGGAATGTAGAAAGATCTGAAAGGACAGAGGGATATCTATTAATTAAGCAAAACTTCTTGAGTTTGCTCTCAAGCTTACAATCCATTCGCTTGCGCATTGCATTCCATGCCAATGCTGGCGATGCTGTGGCTATGGCCATCTTATTGCTTGGACTGCTGGACACTGGAGGCGTCTGCTCCACACCTGAACTGTCGCCGCCAATGCGTGCCTCCTGCATTTCGATGTAGGCCTGCAAATGCGCCCATAGTGCGGACTTTCCCTGCTTAGTCTGCAGTCCATGCGACCAGATCTTCTCCAGCAGATCACACATGCTGGCTATCAGAGTGTTCTCCTCGATGCCATCACCCTTGAGGCCCAAAGCCACTGCCTCATTGCCCATTTTCTCTAGCAGCATGCGCTTGGTCTTTGATTTGATGTCCTAAAAGTGGAAAAAAAACGATTGGTTTTAGGGCGGATCATTTGCCATGGATCATTCCTGTATTTACCTTCAGAAGACGCTCAACAAATGTCCAATTTGCTTGGGCTATTAAAGCTGGACTCACATCCGCTGTGGTCAGATTGGCAGACAATCGATTGATGGCATTGTTGCTGGATGGCTTCTGGTCCAGCGATATCTCCCTGGCCCTCCATTTATTACCATTCTTAACCCGCCGCAAACTGTTGCCTCTGTTTTTGTTATCCGGGGTTTTGCGTTAGAGGAGGATTGTTGTTTTGGTTTAATTATGATTGTTAGCCGCGAATGAATGTTGAGTTTTAGTTGGAATTTTGATATTCGAGAGAACAGAAACATATATAGGTGGATTAGTGGAGGGAAAAACGATCGAAAAATTCAGGTTTAAGGATAAGGTTTATGATCTATTGGGTGCAAAGCATGCAAAAACGATGGTATACAATTGAAATAGAAGTGGAAATGTAAATGTAAATGGTTACAAATGAAAGAAGAAACAAAAAACGAAAACGAAACAAACAAAACAAAGTCTCGATTAAGGCTTTGAGAAATGCAGAATTTATTGTTAAGTGATAGAAAAATCAAATAAATTACTAAAAGGAAATGGATTGTTGGAGTTCCCCCTATTATTGTGGAAGACGCGACGGTACATACATTCTATGATCTATATTTCTAGTTTTCTATGGTACTATATGGTGTCGTATAATTAACATTAGAATAATATCATTAATTTGCTAGCCTTTTGCGGGGGCTTAGGTACATTTTGGGGGGTTTCGGCGTGGGGCGGGAGGTTGGATTATTGGAATGAGTGCGAGAGTTAGCTGGGGGGTGGGTGGGGTAAGGCGTGCTGCTGTGGGATATAAAAAGACATATCATAGAGAAGGAGACTACCTCGAGGCGCACTCCTGATTCAGCACGCCCTTCTCCAGCAGCGGAAAGCTGCGAAAATAAGCCGCTCGATTGGATAGAATCTCGCTGGGTGGCGTCACCTCGATGTCAATGCAATTGAGACGCTTCTCGAAGCCCTGCTGCGAGTCCTGGCTGAGCACGCACGGCTCGTAGCTGGTAGCACAGATCATGTTCTCACCATGGCGGCGCCTGTATCCAAAAATAAGGAGTGCAAACATTAAAAATAGAATGCATCTCAGGGGTAAATAAAATACACCTACCTTAAGAGCTTCACGCGATGATCAAATAACTGGAGCTGCTCGTCCGGCAGCGATTCCCACATGGACAGGATTTTATTGTCAATCAGCGTGGCAAACATCTGAGATTCAAGGAAGCGCGACAGAAACGCCCGATGGTGCTCCGGCTGATCCGAGAGGAACGAGGATTTATCAAAATTCTGCAACGTTTCGCGATTCGACAGCCACTCGTCCTTGGCCTGATTCGGATAGATGACGAAATACTCATACGCATGGAACATGTGCACAAAGCGATTGAGAAAGACCTCCCTCACAGAGTTATTGATGCGCAGATCCTGATAGTACTGCTCCACAACCGAGAGCTTTGGTTTCTCCGTGCGTCTGGCCATGGGCATGGTGGCATCCACTGCATCCACATCGTGATAGACGCCCACGGGGGAGGAGGAGAGCGAAACAGTGGGACTGCCCACCGGTGAGCCTCCTTGAGAGCCTCTTATGCCTCCCTTGCGGCGCAGAAAATCAGCAATCCGCGGCACATGATCGATCTTCGAGGGATGCGCCGTCAGCGGTTGGTAGTCTACGGGTCCTCCTCCCGGGGATTGGCCGGGGCCGGACAGCGTGTAGACCGTCTCCTGCAGCTGCTGGAATCGCTCCTTGCTGCGTCGTGCCGCCTGCAGGCCCGTGGGCAAAGTACAGCTCGAAATCATGGCATCGACGCCGCCTCCTCCACCTACACTGCCGCCGCGGAGAGCATAGCCATTCTTAAGACTGGGCTCCTGGTCGCGATCCCGCTCAATTTCGAATTTGTCTAGCACCGAACTGATCTCCGCCATGAAATCCTGCTTGTGGGGAAACACAGGCAACTCCTCCGGCAGCTGGATGTGCTTCTTGTCTATGTCCACAAAGCACAGGACCGCCTCACTGCCAATCTTATGCGCCGCCTCGCATCCGGCATGCAAACCCATCACAAACGGAACCGGAGCATCCAGGAAATGATGCAGTGCAGCGGGCAGAATGGGGGCATAAACATGCGGCCATACAAATGGAAAGAGCAGCGATGTTATGCACTCGCCCACAATCATGAGTCTTTGGTAATCTTTCAAAAGAGAAAAGAAAACAGAAATCAATAGGGAATAAAGCGATGGAGAGGCATCTGCTTTTACCTGTGGAACGCAGCAGCACTTGGTTCTCGAGCAGCACACATGTCAGCAGCTGTATGACACAATCCACTCCCAGATACTTGAAGAGCAGGCGCAGAGGAAAGTCGAGGAGCGGCAGTTCCGTGGCCAGCAACGGACGCTGCAGGATCAATGCAATGGCCGGCAAATGCGGCTCTGTGGGGGGCAAATAAACGCGTATGGATTTGCCCGGCTGAGGTAGCATCACTTCATAAAGAATGTTGTAGACATAGGACTCGAGACTGATGCCAGCACCAGGCTGACGTGGAAGACATCTGCAAAGAACAGGGATTAACAAAGTATTCCAGAGAAAAACCTCCTGTGCGTGTAATTCCACTCTACCTGTACAGATTCTTGAGAAATATCTGCGCTGCAAAGGCATAGGGAGCCTGACAAATGAGCGTAATGCTCTTGGCCACATACAACTTATCCTTGTTGATGTCGTAGTAGCTTTGTGCGGACTGCGGTGCCTGTCCCGCCACCTTAAAGTGTCGCGGCAGGGAGCGACTCACAGGACCATCCTGTTTGACGCGACTCAGCGAATGCGTCTGCTGGCCATTCGATAGCTCCGTAATGAACATGGACTGCAGCGTGTGGATGGCCCCACAGATATTCCGATTGCGTATCTCCTCGTAGAAGACCAAACTGAAGCCATAGCATCGCTTGCCATCCTCCCGTGTGGTGGCAAACGAATGGAATCTCGGCTCTATGTTGTGTTTTTGGGTACGAAAGCGCAGGCCCTGCGGCAATGAGAGCTACAGACATAGAAATACGAATGTTAGATAAGGCGATTTCTCAGAGTTATAAATAAAATCCATTGATGGGAAGCGGTCACACACATGGCTAGAGATTCATATGGAAGATAACATGATTATGGAGTGAGGTAAAAACTCGACAGCGTAGTCATCGTCGTGGCTGCCTGCTGATGGCAATGTGGCATCAATTAAAAATACTTCTTCAGTCTCCCGTCCCCTCCCCATCACTCGTATCAATGAGCACGACGCCAGCGAAGCATGCATTTCCATCGAAAGGGCAGCCAATTGAGCTCAATTTTGAATAGGGGGGAGGGCCATATGAATATGGAATATGGACAGCGGATGGGGTGTGGACCTACCATGCAGATCCCATGGGCATCAAAGGGGTTCCAGGCTACATGTTCGGGATAGTGGGCCAGGGGTTTGCTCTTGTATGCCCGATCCAGGGGCGAGCAGTGCAGATTGTCCCCTGAAAAACAAAGCAAAACTTTAGCACTTTTCCCAAACAATAACTGCGATGGAGTCGCACCTGCAAAGCGATCTGGCTCTAGGCCCGTGTCCAGATCCAGTCCACATATCACAAAATAGTCGGCAAAGCGCGAAAACTGCGGATCAGCATCGCGCTTTAATTGATTCAACTCGGATTGCTCTCCAGGCGATGTGGGTGATTGCACCACGGAGGCAGGCGTCTGGCTGTTGGTGGTAGTGGTGGTGCTGCTGCTGCTGCTAGTGGCATTGTTGAGCATCAATTTGGACAAGCGACTGGAAACGACATTGTCACGCGTCGTCATAGCTTCAGCTCCAAACTCCTACAGCTAGCAAATGAACAAACTACGTTAAATTTCTCTTCTATTGGAGTTTCGCGTGATTTTGAACCACTGTGCGGCACCAATGAGGGTGCACACACACTCACGCACAAGATTTTTTGTGTATTTATTTTTTATTTTGCATTTCCATACAAAGGTATATTAGGTATTAATTGTGCATTGTCATTTAAAACATATTTTGCAATATTTTTATTTTTTCATTTCAATACAATAATAACAAACGGGTGGAAATGCAAAAAAACACAGAAACTTCGTTGTCTAAGTTAACATTTGTTGTGACTGTTAAGGTGGCTTTCTTTTCAAGCCTTCACTAACTTGAGCTTCGTCAAGTTTATAACTAGGTCAAAAACTACTAACAAACCACCAACTCTTGTATTTGTTTAGAACCACTAACAACAACAGCTGAGTAAATTAAGCCTGAATTTTTTGCGAAAAACAACAATTTGTGGACTGTTAAAGTTAACAGCGACCACTAGAGGTGGGGAATTATCGATACCCAAACATCGCATGGTTTAAATCTCTGTGCTATGAATCCATGTAGCAATATGTAGTTACCGTGTAAGCAATTGGATATTGAACTTTTCTATACTTTAGGGATATTTTGACGTCGAAATATAGTTCAAAGTTTATTGACGGTATATGTAGCTTGTACAAAATTTATTGGTGAATTGGTCAAAATTATTTGTTTATTGCTGAGAGGGCTAACTAGATAGTAATATTAAACCGAATATAAAAATCGAGGAATATCAACTCATTTTGTGTTTATAGGTGCGGTATATTTACGGTATATATCTGGGGTATTTTTGGGCTCACACTTCAAGCGCAAAAATGAGTCGGAGAGAGTTTCGAGTGCTCTCTTTCGACTGGGTGCGCGAAAGCACAAAATCTCCCACGGTGAATTATGTGGTGAGGTGGGTTTTTCTGGCTCTGGATTGTGACGTTTTCCTCTTGGCCAATCATACCTTGACTCTTCTCAGCCTTGAAAAGTTCCTTCAAACACCAAAATGGGTGGAGACATATATAGAGGAATCTAGTCTAGGTCAAAAACATTCTCATACGAGTAAATTCATTGTTACTGAGGTATCAAAGCAACTTGGAGAACATAAATTTAACTTATTAGAAGGAAATTGGGTATACAAAGTGCCATACTCCACAAAAAAGTAGTTGATGTCTAGCAAATGTGTAGTTACCGTGTAGTTACCATGTAAAAAAAGAAATTTTTGCTGACCTTTCTTTAAAGCATATATTATAAGTAATCCAATAATTGGGAGTTGTTAAAACAAGCCAGATTGTAGAAAATTGATCCATCTATCTGATTAAATGATATTTTCAGTTGTTTAAGTCCTAACTAGCTAATAATACTAAATCGAATATCAAAATTGATTAATATGATTTTCCTCGCTATATTTACGGTATGTTTTGGTAATGACAATGGTATTTTTCGGTATATTTCTGGGGTCAAGGCGGTATATTTTATCGATAATACCCAGAAATATCACATAACATTTTCTTTCGCATTTAATTTGGAACGTAAATTGAAAATTTTGAATAATTTAAAGTTTAATCACCGAAATTTGTTGATACAACAGCAGGGCATGCGTCTCATGCCAACCGACGCGTTTTCCATGCACGACAAGTGGTAAAATCGATATCTACATATATGTACGGAAAGTGAAAATCACAATTGACACGAGCGACCAAACCACGAGACGACACTAAATATCTGAGCGATGCATTCGCTTCACTGGACATCGCGTATGATATCACGGGCCCTGCGTAGCAGCTTTTCCACACTCTTGGAGTCTGCCACCGGGGCTGCGGCCAGCAAGGGTGGCGAAGGTGCTCTCAAGTCGTCCTCTCCGCGGCCACATTTCGTGTCTGTGGTCTGCGGATTCGCCAAGGACAACCTGCGTCACAAGTACAAGCCTGGAAAGTATGGCGAGGACTCCTGGTTCAAGGCATCCACAGATCAGGCCGATGTGATGGGCGTGGCCGACGGCGTCGGCGGCTGGCGCAGCTACGGCATCGATCCGGGCGAGTTCTCATCCTTCCTGATGCGCACATGCGAGCGCCTGGTGCAGTGCAGTCATTTTAACCCGCAACGACCCGTCAATCTGCTGGCCTACAGCTACTGCGAGCTGATGGAGCAGAAGAAGCCCATTCTGGGCAGCAGCACTGCCTGCGTGCTAATCCTCAATCGGGAGACGAAAACGGTGCACACTGCCAATATCGGAGACAGTGGCTTCATGGTGGTGCGGCAGGGCGAGGTGGTGCACAAGTCTGAGGAGCAACAGCACTACTTCAACACGCCCTTCCAGCTATCTCTGCCCCCGCCCGGCCACGGCCCGAACGTACTGAGCGATAGTCCCGAGTCGGCGGACACCATGAGTTTCCCCGTGGAGGATGGCGACGTTATACTCATCGCCACCGATGGCGTCTTCGACAATGTGCCCGAGGACCTTCTGCTGGATGTGCTGCGCGATGTGGAGGGCGAACGGGATCCCGTCAAGCTGCAGATGACGGCGAACAGTCTGGCCCTGATGGCCCGCACGCTGTCGCTTAACAGCCAGTTCCTCTCGCCCTTTGCCCTCAGCGCTCGTCGCAACAATATACAGGCACGTGGGGGCAAGCCAGACGACATTACCGTCGTCTTGGCCACAGTGGCAATGTAAAACTCATAGTCGAGAGATGTTCCCTTAACGTCAATGTCCCCCGCCCTCGTCAATGTCTCCAAAACTTAGTGATTAATGTTTAATCGTAGCCCGTACGTATTTAGTTAGCTTTTAGGAGTCTGTTTTCCGTGGTTCTGTCTAATGTTTAAGCTTAGTGTTGAGATATTTTGAATGAGACGAAAACGAACGATGGCCATAACGACAAGAACAACGACACGAACACCCCCCACTTTCAATTGTTACAGAAATACATGCCCCACACTCATATATACTAAACTAAAATAACATACATACACACACCAAACTAAGCGAAGCGCATCCTGGAGAGCGACCTAAACGCTAGATCTGACCCCCCTGATGTCCCAAATCAAAGCGAATGCAACGCCTTCAAATGTATACATAACCCTCGCTATAAGTAGTAAAGAAAAACAAACAAAAAACGATTATAATAAATGCAAAATTATCAGCCCGAAATGATCTTTGTCGTCAGCGAAGGCGTCAAGACAGAGGAGGTAGCGTTCTAATCAACAAAATAGATTGCGAAACGAGCCCGTACCCTGGCGGAGGAGGAGGCAATGGATTGCGTTGAGGAGTGGAGTCAAAGTGCATAATGGTATGCGAATTATTTGAACTGAGGATTAATACAATCCAGGCAAAAAATGGCGACTGTCTTTAACAAAATTTACTGTCGAAATGTACTCACTGATATTTGCGACCCAATAAAATTATTCATTGAAAACAACTACCAATCAAACTGTGTTAATTTCGAGTCAGTCGTTTAAATGAAGCTGTCTAATTGCTTTGATTAAATTCATGGTCAAACGTATGTACAAAGTTTGTACTACAAACGTATGGAGGGGATTTATGCTCGCATAAACTATAAAGATTGCCAATGCAATGTTGCCCAGCACTAGTCTAATATATAATAAAGACGTCGCACATAACAGAAAGAGAACCAACGAAAACAATTAATGGGATGGTAATGAATGCTACGAAGAAGCTTTTTCTGCTCTAATCAAACGGTTTATTTGTGCTAATGTGGCAACTGGTTTTGTTTTTTGTTAGTTCTTGAATTCCCGTTTCGTATAAACAGCAGCAGTTGGCCTTGCGACGTTGCACAACACTGTTAAAAGAACAGAGAAGAAGCGCACATCAAAACAAAACACGAAAAAAAGAATTGCAGAATGCGAATATAAAATAATTGCACGTAAATTGAACATCTTTATTGTGTTTGCGTTGGCCAGCGCCGCATCAACAAAATGAAGCTATACAAGCTGAATACACACACGCGTGGCTGCAACAAGTCGTACGGTAAGCAAACACACGTGAAAAGTGTGAGGAGCATAAAAATTGCGCAAAATAATACTTCTGTGGAATACTTACATACAGATGCGGACCTGGTGATGAACCTAAAGGACCATCCCAACGCAAATGTGGGCGATGTGGTGGAGATTTATGTCCCAGATGACGAGAACGGCACGCATCTGCTGCTGCAAATCACAGAGTTCAGCGGTAGCTGTGGCCGCGATGTGATAAGCATCGAGTCGGGCATTGCCATTGCCTTTAAGTTGCGGCCCTACTCGAATGTTGTGATGCGGATAGTGAATCCGGCAGATGTGGCCCTCGACTCCATAGAGATTACCTTCAAGGATCAGTACATGGGCCGCTCGGAGATGTGGCGCCTCAAAACGTATTTGGTAGGAAAACAAAGGGTAAAATTTTTGGTTGATTCTGTTTTATGTCCAGTTTTCCCCTTCCAGACGGACACCTGTGTGTATGTGAACAAGAAGATTGACTACAACGACATGCAGATACGCTGCCAGGTGTACGAAATGTGGTCACAGGGCGAACGCGTGGCCAGCGGCGTCATCACCGACGACACAAAGATAGTCTTCCGCAGCAGCACTTCCATGGTGTACCTCTTCCTGCAGATGTCCTCGGAAATGTGGGACTTTGACATCCATGGGGATTTGTATTTCGAGAAGGCAGTGAATGGCTTCCTCACCGAACTCTTCCAGAAGTGGAAAAAGCTGAGCTGCAACCACGAGGTGACCATCGTCCTGTTCTCGCGCACCTTCTATGCGGCCAAGAGTCTGGATGAGTTCCCAGAGCACATGCGCGACTGCCTGCAGCTGGACTACAAGGGTCGCTTCTACGAGGATTTCTATCGCGTGGCAATTCAGAACGAACGCAACGACGACTGGTGCACGGTGTTGGGGCAGTTGCGCAAGCTCTTCACCTCCTACCAGGAGACAGTGTTGCGTTATCACGAACGGCAGCACATGAAGATCCCGCCAGCCACAAACTCCACGGCCACGCAGGGCAATTTTCTTGAGGTTCTCAACATTTCGTTGAATACCTTCGAAAAGCATTACCTGGATCGCACATTCGATCGTACCGGACAGCTCTCGGTGGTGATTACACCCGGCGTGGGTGTCTTCTCGGTGGACAGGGAGCTGACAAACATAACCAAGCAGCGCATCATCGACAATGGCGTGGGCAGCGATCTGGTTTGCGTGGGCGAGCAGCCGCTGCATGCAGTGCCGCTGTTGAAGTTCCACAACAAGGACACCACCCTAACCTCCGCCGATGATTACTCCCTGCCGCACTGGATCAATCTGAGCTTCTATTCCACCAACAAGAAGATCGCATACTCCAGTTTCATACCACGCATCAAGCTGCCGCTTTTTGTGTCCGATCAAGCGCTCAACGCGGACGAGGGCGAGGAGAATGAGAGGAATTTCCTCAGCTGTAAGCAGTCGGAGTACAAGCACAACTCCCTTTTCGATTATGATGCGTATGATGAGCAGATCTTTCAGCCATTGCCGGCACAGAGCACCTGGTAAGGTTTCTTGAATCTGGATTGAATGTCTAACTTGAATCATCTGCTCCTTTCAGCTCCCTACAGCGCGTGGTTAGGGCCAAAAAGACATCGGTGCCAAGCCTGGAAACCTATGCGTATCGTAACAACGACTGGGAGAACCTCACGCCCACACAGATCCCGGCCATGCGACGCAAAATGTCCGATCCGGATATACATCATGGCACCTCGGCCATGTTGGCGGCACTGGTATGTCGCTCAAATGATTCCCATCCAATCAAATCCCAACTTGTTTGTACTCTATCTCCAGCCTGATACCACAAATCTCTCGGAATCCCTGGCTTCGGACAAGAACTCCCGTCGAACGATTGTCAGCATTGCGCCAATAGTGCGTCCCGGACGTGCCCTAATCAATCCCTTTGATCCCTCTCAAGTGACAATCAAATTGACTTCGAATCGCCGCCGCTGGACGCACATTTTCCCCAAGGGACCGACGGGTGTGCTCATCCAGCAGCATCATTACCAAGCGGTGCCAGCCAAGATCGTACCAGCGGGACAGCGTCCGCTGCAGCAGATCCACAACAATAGCCAGAGCAGCACCACCAATAACAATGAGACGGAGGAGTATGGCTGCGATCCGGGCGAGCAGTACGATCAGCTATCCACGATCTCCATGCTAAGCAAATCAGTGTCCTCGCATAGCTTTGTGATGGGCGACGAAAAGATCGACTGTGAGTAGCCCACAGATTTCATTCCTCATTCCCCCATGGACTGAATTCCTTGCCGTCTTTCCGTCAATTGCAGTCTTTAAGAGGCGACAGAATTCACTGCTTAATGCATTGCCTGCGAATGTCCCAAATCTGACGGCAACGCAGGCGAAATCATATCTCTGGGGAGCCACAGGCGAGCAGGAGTGGACGCCAGCAATTACCACGGGTGAGTAATCACAGAACTGATTGGTTAAAAGATCATATCTTTAAGGACAGACACCACCACTGGCTGGCGAGCGCGTCTCGCAGTTCAGTTTGGGATTGACTCTTCCATTGAATGGGACTATGTGGCTCCGGTTTATGGTGATTCTGCTGCTTCTGCCGCATCAGAGCAGAGAGCATGAGCTGAACTTTACGCTGCCCGGGCAGCTTGCATTGTTTTTGGACCGAATTGGATACGCACATCGCCTGCATGCCATCAGCATTGTCAATAGCAGAGACTCCATCGATCCCGACTATCTGGATGACCTTCATCGGCAGCTTAGAGCCAATGCGAGCATGCACTTCCAGCTGCTGCCCCAAATGACGGCCACAGATGTGGACGCCCAAGTGCGTTTCAGTGCCCTGCTGGATGAGAATAGCCTGTATGTGGTGTTTGCCAGAAACTCGAGGGATCCAGTTATCCGATTGCAGGCGCAACGAGCTCGCGGACGCCGCTACAGCAAGACGTTGTTTCTGCTGAAGCATCACGAACCATATTCCGCTTTGGAGGAGTTCTTTAAGCTGCTCTGGCAGCTGCAGTTTCGCTCCGCTCTGGTGGTGGTGGCACAGCGATGGTTCTACCAAATGGATCCCTATCCCAAGATGATAGTGAAACGCATGAGGGGGATCTCCTTGTACCATCTGCAGCAGATATTTCCCCAACCGACTCGCAAAAACTTCAACGGCTACGAGCTGCATCTGCCTGTGTAGCTGGATGTTCCAAATACTTTCTGGTCACTGAATCCGCACAACCAACAGTTGCTCTTGGATGGATCGGGTGGAATTATAATTAAGGAGCTGATGGCCAATCTGAATGTCGCCCTGAACGTCTATCCCCTGATGGTGAATGGCTCGCAGTGGCTGAATATGCCTGCCATTATCGATTTGATAGCCAGTAATCGCATAGAGCTGAGTCCCCAAATGCACGACACTCTGCAGGTGTCCACTCAGGTGGATTACTCCTATCCCGTGCGCATGGAGCCACGCTGTTTTATGATACCCATGGACAGCCAGATCTCTCGGCACCTATACGTCTTGCTGCCCTTCCAGTGGTCCGTGTGGCTGAGTGTTCTTTTGATTCTGTTCGTGGTGCACTTTGTCGGCGTGCGCCGCCTTGCGCCAGACTCCCAGCTGTGGGCACTGATGGGAGTGCCCGGCTGCCGACTGAGTGGATCTCATCACCATAACATACGCAGGACTGTGACCTTGTACCTGATTAGCTTTGGCATCTGCCTGATCTTCCAGTTGTACTCCACGAAGCTGACATCCTTCTTGACGGTGACGCTGAGCCATAAGTTGGCCAGCAGCTTGGAGGAGGTTTTGCGGCTGCCATTCCCCATTCTCGCTCAACCCTTGGATGTGCAAATCATTGTGGGTGCCTTTGGCCATGCGGAGGAGTTTCGCCGCAGGTTTAGCCTCACGGATGCCAAGACCTTTACCAGGCATCGCATCAACATGGATCCGGGTTTCATCTATCCGATCAGCAGATTTCGATGGTGGTTCTTCAACATGCAGCAGCGCTTGCTGAAGACGAAGCGCTTCTATTTGTCGTCGGTGTGCCATGGCACCTATGCACATCAGTTTCAGCTGCGCATTGACTCGCATTTCAAGGATCCATTGCATCGGTTTTCGCTGTGGGTGCAGGAGGCGGGCCTGACGAATGTGTGGCTGGATAGGTGCTATCATCGCGCACACAGCTTGGGTCTCATTCAAGAATTCACCACCGCCGAGACGTTCCTTGAAGATGTTCGTCCGTTGGCCCTCAATCTGCTGGCGCCAGCCTTTAGTCTCTTTTTGTGCGGCCTTTTGGTCAGTTTCGTGGTCTTTCTGGTTGAGATACGACGACATTCCTGTGCTCGGAAGAGTAGTAGCAATAGTAGCTCCCACTAACTGCACCCTACCCGTGAACCCTTGATCCCTACTCCACATACATATATCTATATTTTATTCAAATCGGAACCGAACTAATGCATTTTTCGTAGCCCATTCCTAACCGCGCGACAAACAAAAACTGAATTTTTAATTAACTTTATGTATAATTCGTCATATTCCCAACGCCATCTGCGATCCACCAATCAATCAATCAAACAACGAACTGCAATTGGATCTAACAAAATGAAAAATCAAAATTCAAAAACTCCACCCACATCGATCGTTTGTTTAGTTAATGCGAATGCGGCGGCCACGGGCAAACATTTGCGGCCCATTGTCGAGAGCGAGCATCACTTTGGAGGCGACTCCCCGCTCGGGCCGGCGGCGGCGGCGACGGTGTCGGCAACCGAGGCCGAGATTGTTGGCAAAGGAAAAATCATCATAGGTTTGGAATACAAAATATTCACAAGTAATCGTACTTATTTTTTGTACAAAAAGCATTTAGCAAAGCATCCACACACACACACACACACACAAATACACAAAAAACAGCACACTCACACACATTATAGATATACCATTTGGAAGCACTGTAGATCTTAGTTACGCCTGAAACACTGCATTGTATTTGTATATTTTGTATCTGTAGAATAGCACTTTTTGTAGCACTCGACCCGAATAAGGATTAGTGTCCTATCAAAGATTATAGAATATACTTAATAGAGTCCAACGAAATCTAACGAAGAGTATGAGACAGGGGCTTAGATTGTTATAATTTCATAGGGATTGTCTGTCTGATCAGAGCTTACATTTGCCAATAACTTGGGGCTGTAATATATATATAATCATTTTAATAGCTTAAAGTAATATTTTTAAGATGTGTAGCGCAGTTTTGAAATAGTTTTATACGTGTTACAAATCCCAGCTTCAACGATCATTTAGGAACCATATTTCATGTTTCAAAAGTAAAAACTTTGCATCTTGCAATGGAAATTTTTAACAGAAAATCATTGAACAGAATTATTGTGAGGTAGACATTAGAGTTAAATGATAGTTAAATCGGTTATTTTTAGGCCAACAGAACCTCTGGCAACCCATGAAAACACTTTAAAGAGTAAGAAACGGGTTTGAAATTATAAGAGAACTCTTTTGAAGTTTAGCTTAAACTAGAAATAGAGTTTCAGTAGTTTCATCCTCAAATATATGGATGGAAGCAAAGATATTAATCAAGAAATAAATATTAAGCAAATATTCCACACACCTGAGGGAATGCCGCCTGTAGACTACCTTTTGCTTTGTACCCTCTCACCTACCCCCCGCTTCCCCACCTACTTCTACGCCGTATGCATGTAGTACTCATCCACAAAAATAGTAATTATAGCTTAAATCGTAGAACAACCACCTGGTAGAATGCTATGCACCCCCGCCCGCACTTATTCACACCACAACACAATGCACGCACCCACAGGGAGGTGGTTGTATGAGCAGCGGGAGCATGTTCTTGCCGCCTTCTGTAGTTGCTGTAGTGTAGCATGCCACGCACGCTCTCGCTCTTGCTCTTGCTCTCGCTCTCGCCCCACTGGTATCTTGTATGCACGCACCACACGCCTAACCCATACGTTGGTGGCGGATCAGCCCACAGCCCCACATCCTGTTCCAAGGGATCCTCCTTTGATTTTGATTACCGTAGCTGTGGGAGCACCTTGGTCTCCCTCCCTCTCTCTCTCTCGTTTCTAGCTTAAGCGATTTATTTTTGGTTTACTTTTGTTTCGCGGCGTTGGCTTTCTCTATTTGCGTAATTCTTGACACCTCACACAACCACCACTCGTTGTGGACAATCGCTAATCTTTTGGCGGCTCCGCTTGCAGGCGTTGACTGGAAGTCGCTTACGATCCCCGCCTGCCTGCCCATAACCACGGACTACTTCCCCGACAAGCGATCGCTGCACAACGACTACGTGATCTCCGACTACACGCTGCTGCCGGATGATGTGAACCACGAGTATGCCCAGAGCAGGGCCATCTACCGCAAGCCGCTGTCCACCGAAGAGGTGTGCAAGGAGATTGTCTCGCAGCGCCTGGCCCAGGGCTTCCAGTTGATTGTCGGCGAAGAGAGGCCATCGGTTACATGCACCGTCGGTGGTCCAACTGCCGTACCGGCCACATCTGCAGTGCTGCCGGTGAAGCCCAGTGAGAGCAACAAGGAGTATCTGCTCTCCATCGGTAGGATCTTCCACAAGATTTCGCTGATCGGCTCGGTCATCACGGTGACGGGCTACAGACCCAGGTGAGAGCATTCTCTATGGATGGTCTAAGATATGGCTAAGCTTATGGAAATTATATACTTTCAGGCATCCCTATCCGCCCATCAATGTGGACTATAGGTATCGCTTCCATGCACCGCAGCACGAGACGTACGAGATCTCTGGAGTGAACTTTACGACAGAGAAGCTGGAGAACTTTAACTGGAATCACATGGATCTGTATATTTGCACGCGTGGCGATGTGGATTATCCACTGATGGAGGTGTGTATGGGCTATCTCTGAATGATTAAATAGATAAATATCTGGCTGTATATCTGGCCCCAACAGAGTCTCAAGTACTGGCGCTATCGCATGTATCTGCTGCCCCGTGAGAATATTGTGAACAAGATTGCCAGCTGCCAGCGCTGTGATATCTTTCCGGATGTCACCGTGGACAATACCAGCGAGCAGGTGGATGACTTTGTGCGGCTCATCGAGGCGGTCAGCAAGCTGAAGCGACAGTTTGTGCGCAAGGCGAGAGTAAGATTGAAATGTTTCCGCTTTGGGGGCTATCTGCATTCTGTGAATCTCTGTTGCGTTACCCGTTCTGTTACATTTACTTAGTTTTCTCCCACGCCCACGCCCCCTCACCCCAACTGCCAAGTGTGTCTTCTAATTGACTAATCGACCTGCTAGTGATGTCGATCAATCGATAAGCATTCCCTGGCGATGGCTACTTTGATCACTCAGTTCACTTTGTCCCGCCTGCAGCCAACGAAATGCATGATCATACAGGATTAAACGTGAACTGAGGGAACAAATGGAACTGAGGGCACAGAGAATAAATAAAAGAAAGAAAAAAATAGAGAGCCTGGCTCTCAGTTCCATTTATGCTTATCCTTGATGTTATTCGAGCATATTTCGCATCACTTCTTACAGGACAGCCCCACCGCCCACAGTCTAACCAAGCGACGCCACAGTACGAGCATTATATCCAGGCCACAGCCTAATCAGGTTATCTATCTATCTACTCTAATTATTCTCAAACAAAACAAAAAATTTATATATATTTAATGTTTAAGCTTTTGTTTTGTTTTTTATCAATATTCTGTTCTTATTCCGTTCTGTTTCTGTTGTTATTCATTGCGCGCACTTTTCTGTTTCAATTCGAATCCGTTTCTAATTTTTGATCAATCGATGCGCACGTTTCGATTTCAGTTTCAAAAACAATTTATTGATAAGCTCTACTGTACTGCTCTTTACCTAATGTTTTTGTCTCTCTTTTCAATGAATGTCTCGCTCTCTCTCGCTCTCTTGTGTCTTTGACCCGACCCCCCAAAACCGTTTCGTGCCCTCACTCATGGCAGGGACTCATGAATTCTCCGTTCCGGGAGCGAGTCGGTAGCAATCGATTGCCGGAGAAGCGACCCAGGTTTTTATATCGTTTCCAATATTATATCTAAAGAACTTTCTCTTCCCCCCAAAAACACACACACACAACACCCACACAAACACACGCACACACTCAATAAACACATGCACTATATATATATATAAATCTGTATAAATTGCACGATCCGCTGTGAGGGATTCGGGTGGCTATTGTATCTACTACTAGGTACACGTACTACCAAAGATTATAGAACACCGAAAGTGAATGAGAAATGTGTGCTATAATCGTTGGTACGTGCTGCATATAGATTGGTGTTCGTTCTTCTTTTAAGAGTAAGTCTCTTGTATATTGTACATTCTGTTGCCCAGCTATCTGTATTGTAGTCCTGTTTTTGTGCATCCCCCCAACCACCACCACCACCGACACCTGTACATAGGTTTGCTGTTTGTATTGGATTCTTTGTTTCATTTACTTTTACTTTTCCGTTTTTGTATTTTTTGTATATTTTTTGATATAATTTAATTTGGTATTTGGCTTTCCAGCAGCATGACACTCCTAGAATCACAGAAAAGCATCATAATCTATTAAATTCACCGCAGCAAAGGTTTGTGCCACACACCAATCCCCAATGCCCCCCCAATCATCATCGTAGTAGCAACCTAATACTACCCACTGCCCTTCACATACAAATCCGAAAATCACTAACCAACCATGCAAATTGGCTTGCCGAATCCTCAAACCCACCAACAAACAGCCACACACCAATACACAAAGACACATGTGACCCCCGCCCACCATGGAAGAGGATCCATCAGCCCAGTGGCTCGAGTCCCCACAGACATAATTAATCGTTATTTCCCTATCTATCTTATTTGATAGCATAAATGCTCGTCCGAAGCTTGACAATGGCCGCATATCACGTATATTTCCTGCCACGGATGCGGCCGCTGCCGCTGGACTGGCCGCCAGAGATGATCAGGATGATGGGTGAGTCACTGACAACTAATGAATCCTCTTACTCTGCTCTAATCTCTGTTGCTTTGATAGCTTCCCCGTGGACATCCAGTTCAGTCCCAATGCCACACTCTTGGAGATCTTTGAGGCCATGAAACATCCTGTGAATGGTGTGGGCTACTTCTCTCAAACTCAATCGCTGCCCTCCTGCACTTTTCTGTCCTACGATGCTTTGATGTGGCTGAAGACACGCCTCAATAATGGTAGACATCCCTTGGAACTGCTAGAAGCCATGCGCAAGTGGGTTTTGATAGATAGATAAACCTTTCCTATTTTTATATTTTAATTCGCAAAATGCTTACCCGAAGGGAACGCATGATCTGTCATGCTTCTGGTGACTGGACCAAGCCTGTGGTGGCTGGATTTGTGTTTTACTATGTTATACAGCAGGATAAGAATGCCAAAGGTAGGTTTGTTGGCCATTTAAATATCGGCTAGAAAGCGGTTCGAAACTTTATTTGCCACCAACAGATTATGCCCCGCCATTGAATGATTACTGTGCCTTTGTGAATGAATGGCTGGAGATTGAGTTCCAGGGCTGCAGTTTCCTGTGGCACGACGAGCCAGTTATCACACCAGTCCCCAATTTCCTAAGGGACTCACCCGCACCGCAGTCCTGGACGGATTATTGCAGCAACAGTAGGTTCTAGCCATTATCTCGTGAATATTGAAATCATCCCCCAGCTTTAATGATATTTTATAGAGCGCGTCTATCGCCAGTCCCACTTGGAGATTGATGTAAACCAGAAGAGCGATCGCATGGAGTGGGGACACGTGAAGCATCACACTGTGCTGCAGCCGGGCTTTGCCTTTGAGATTGTGGTCGAGTGGGTTACCTCCTCGGGTCCCATTGTATCGGATTTGGTGAGTAGACGAATACCTGGGCTGGGCTAAAGGGCATCCTTTGATCTGTAATCATATATTCTCCGATTAAAGATTGGTGGCTGGATGCGTAAGGCAAATCAGTTTAACTTTTTGGTATCGGTGCCTGCGGATCCTATGGCCGAACCATTTACCAAGAAATCGGATCCGTTGAGGGGACCCATATTCATTCCACTCTGTGCTACATTCCTGCCCAACGGAGCCGCGCTTTTCGATGGTATGGCATGAGTGAATAAATTAATTGAAAGCTTAAGCAACTTTTGGCATGTTTTTCCGTAGAATTTCCGGAGGAAAGCAGATCAGATCGCATGCTGTTTCTACAAGAAGCGATCTTGGCCAAATTTGGCTTTCTGCCCTGTGTGCTGGAGAAGAAGTATAGCATAGGCAAGGATGTACGTGAAGCCATCAAAAATATGAAAGCGATCAAAGTGTAAATGAAACCTTTTTCTTTCAGCTGCCCAAGGAATATCAGTATGTTCACTGTACAGGCAACATGTTTGCCTTGATTCGGTAGGCTATATAATCGATCTTCCATGAATACACACCCCTAAATCTCTTTCCTTCTTTCAGTTGCGCCACCAACAACTATCAGGTGGAGTCACCCACCCTGCAAGAGGCCAATTTCACGCGCTGCGTCTATGGCCACACGAACAACACGAATGTGCCCAAGAAGGTGGGCTTTTTGTGGTCCTGGAACCACATGATACCCAACAAAAAGTGGAAGGCCCAAACGATCAACAACTCGTCCGATGGGGAGCTCTTTCAGCTGAAAATGCTTAAGGATTTCCGTGAGTTCTGCTCGAACAGTGATCAACGGTTGGCCACCTTTTGGTCGCACTGCCAGGAGCTGAAGCGCAAGAATCAGACATTCGAATTCAATAACAACAACAATAACAACGATGAGATGAAGATAAAATAGATTCCTTCTTCGCAGTATGTATGTACACAAAGCGTATCCTTCTTTAAATATGAATGTTAAATTTGGAATTGTTTTGTCCGTGGAGAAGGTTTTTTGGTGGATCTAAAAAAAGGTATTTTAATTATTTCAAGCCCAGAGAATTGATAGATTTTTAATGTAGAGATGTTATGAATGGTTTTCTAAACAGAATGGATAAATGACTTTGACTTTTATACGAACATTTCAATCTGACGCCTAATTTTCTTCAATATATTTCCTTATTTTCAAAGTCTTATCTGATTACAGCTCAGAATATTTCAAATTCTTAGAGTTTAGTTAGAACATCTTCAGTATACCAGCAAGACAACATCGATAGCAGAATTTGGTTTGAATTATTCCCAATTTTCAGTTTTGTTTAACGTTTTTTTTTAACGTTTCCTAGAAATTGCATTTATTAATCGTAATAAACTCAACAAGTTTATAATTTCAGCATGTTTATGCACACGGATAAGGTTAAGCGATTATACATTCCATTACATTTAAGGCCATAAATGCAGCTAGAAGAGGTCTGGGTTCTGTTTGTGTCCATTTGTATAGTGTAGGGTGTGGTTGTGGTTGGATCCTTGATTGAAGACAGTTTGCTTCTCATGTGTGTTCTGTGACTGTTTTGGCTGCATAGATTGATGCTCTATGATGCTAATGAAAGATCGGTAGTGTTGTGGTTGCTGTTGAACTGGCTGGTGTGGTTTCTGGTGTTTACTCTGGGTTATTCTGGTGCTGAATTGTGTGTATTTTGCTGTGGGAGGGCCGGTGTTACTCTTTTTGTGATTCGTTTGTTAAATGCTTTGGTATGCTCGAGGGCGAGACCATGTCTATACGCTCTTCAGGTAAGTGGATAGCTTCGCGCGATCACGCTCCAGCCAGGCGGCATTCAGGCGTATTGTCTCCACGGCCTGGGAGACAGTACGCTCGCAGCCGGGTATCTGCGTTACCCTAAAGAATTCCTCCACTTCTTTGGCCTTCTCCTCGGAGGCATAGTTCTCGATGAGATACTTGATCAGTCGCGTGAGCAGGAAGCCGCCCTAAAATAGGGTATATAATGAAGATTCCATTTGGAAACCAAAAAGTACTGTAAGACTTACCTGATAGCGTTCGAGAAGCTGCTTGTTGCTGGTCTTGAAGAACTCCCAGGCCATGTCACGGCCCTTGGGATTAATGGCAACGGCAACTATTACAAAGACAGAGTCCTGTGCGCGCACTTCACCCTAAGAAGCAGATTGAGGATGATATACAAGGAACCGCAATCATTTTGAGAGACTATCACACTTACCGACATGGCAAAATCAATGACGCGACGCAGCAGCTTCACATCGGTACTGCAGCCGAGGGCCCGTGAGATGCGATCCTGCTCCTCATGCAGATCCGTGGTGCGGTACATGGCGAGCATCTCTTCGAAGACCTTCTCATCGCCGTCCTGTAGCGCCGCCTTGTAGCAGGTGCTGCGCAGATCGGCGGGCAGCAGATTGGTACCGTTTATATGACTGCGGAAGCGCTGGCGCGCCACCTCGATGACATCGTTGCTGCGGAAGGACACAAGACGAGTAAGGACGAGGCTGCGCAGCAGCGTATCCAAATGGTTCTCGCCATCGCGTGGCTCCCAGCCCAGACGCTGGGCCACTGGCTCATAGAGGTTGCGTCCAAAGCGATGGAAGTCGTCCATGAGATCCGTGTGGGATATCAGAATATGCAGATTGGTCAGGGAATTGGTGATGGCTGTCCACACCGTGTAGTTTGTCTCGTTTCTGTAGCCATCCACGAGGGCCAGCACATCGGCCGTGCTGGCATGACCCGCCTGCACCATGGCAAACATATCATCGATCAGTCCCAGTCGATCCAGAGGAGGAAGCTCCATATTCTTCACCGCTGGCATCAGCTGCTCCAGCATTTCCTTTGAGTAGCGCGTGCGGTAGTAGCCCACGGTGCCGGGATTGATTTTGATCCAATCGCTGGCGGAAACACCATCCAGAACGACCTCCATGGAGGGTTTGTCCAGCAGGAAGGTCTTGGCTATCGCCGTGGGATTGCGAGAGGTGGACACCGAAATGGGCACCACCCAGAGGCAGTCCTCATCGGCTTGGGAGCCATCGGCCGTGAATTTCCTTTGGCTGAGGCGCAGAATGCGCTGTGACTTGCCCTTCTGCTCGGACTCAACGCTCACCACGGGGAATCCCTTGTACTGTGTCCACGAGGACATGACCTCGGCCACATTCTTGGAGCTCGCCTCCTGCAGTGCCGTCCACAGATCCTCGGTACTGGTATTGCCATACTGATGGCGCGTCAGGTAGATATTCATGCCCTTGCGGAAGTCATCCTCGCCAATGTAGTCGTGGAGCATGCGAATCACCGATGCGCCCTTGTTGTAGCTAATCTCATCGAAGATCTCATCAATCTCCGACGGATGACCGACAGGCACTTCGATGGGATGGGAGTTCTTTAGCGAATCCAGCTCCAGGGCACGCGTGTACATGTCTGTGACGAACTGCGTCCAAATATCGTACTCGGGGAACAGATGGTGCACGCAAAGAAACTCCACAAAGGAGGCATAGCCCTCGTTGAGCCACAGATGTGTCCACCATTCCATGGTAACCAGGTTGCCTGCAAAAGGAATGCAAAAGATGACTTAAAGCAAGAGAAGATGCATAGAGATGGAGGCACTTACCGAACCACTGATGTGCAATCTCATGGCCCACGGTGAGGGCAATGGACTGCTTGCGCATCAGCGATGTGTTCTTGGGATCAACGAGAACAAATGTCTCGCGGTAGGTAACCAGTCCCCAGTTCTCCATGGCGCCGGCCGAGAAGTCCGAAATTGCAATTAGATCCATCTTGGGCAGTGGATAGGCAATATTAAAGTAGTCCTTGTAATAAGGCAGCACCTTGGTGGCCACATCCAGGGCGAATTGTCCCTGCTCGCGCTTGCCTACGGGCGTGAAGACGCGCACAATGACGCCATCCTCGGATTTGCCCTCCACGAAATCATATTCGCCGACGACGCAGGCCACCAGATAGGTGGACATGATGGGTGTACGATCGAAACGCACACGGCGCAGGCCGCCGTCCAGGGCATCCTCCTTTTTGACGGGCATATTGGACAGGGCCACCCGATTCTTGGGCACCACCAGTGTGATGTCGAATGTCGCCTTGATGGCGGGCTCGTCCCAGCAGGGGAAGCAGCGCCGCGCATCGGTGGCCTCGAACTGGGTGACGCCCGCATAGCGCTCCTCCCCGCTGGAGGTAAAGTATTTGCTGCGATAGAAGCCCTTCATCTTGTCATTCAGTTCCCCCGTAAACGACATGTGCAGCACTCCGGCCGTTTCCGCGGGAATACTCTGCTCGAACTCCAGTGTCGCCGTCTCGGCATCCGTGGAGTAGACGATGCGGTCTGGTTTCAGCTTGGTGCACTCAAACTCCAGCTGCGCCTCCTCGATGATTATGTCCAGGGCATTGAGGACGATCTGTGTGGTCGGCTCCTTAACCTGCAAAACGGTCAAATGGTAAAAGAAATGAGTCAATAACCCGTTAGAACAGAAACAGTTAGCTGGGAGATGGCAGAACAGCGACCATAAACAGTTATTCCAAGGTCATAGAAATTGCCGCTTTTTTTGTTGCCTTTATGTCGAGTTTCCGGCTTAAGCTCCAGCAATCAGAACCGCCCCAAACTCTAAAACTCGTTTTGACCAAATTTATACACTGCCAAACAAAAATGGAACAAAACGAACGGGAAACTACCTGGAGCTATGCTCCATTACGCCCCACTTCCCCGCATTAAGGACTTCCAGTTAAATATAAAGGTAACAAAATATCCACCCTAGCTTTGACTATTTTATCAATCCGTAAATCTTCGCATCATTTATCCATCCCTCTTTCGCTGAAGAGTATCAAAAGTGCGACCAAGCCCCGCATATGACCATATTTGGCTTCGACGCAGGCAAAAACGTAAACAAAATTTACAGTTATGAGAGCGGGAGACGTAGAGATTGAGGCTTCACATAAATTTTATTTGTTGCGCTACGGAGCCCCAAGTGCCCCGTCATTCTGCGTATTCCCAGCAACAAAGAAACCATTTCCTCGTTTTTATGTTCACATCTGTGTGTGTGCCTACTTATGCATTTGCCATTGTTTGCGTGTGTGTGTGTGTGTGGTGTATGCAAATTGCAGCATAAAGAGAAATGTCCAAAATATTTTTGCACACGACACGTCAGACGGGCAGAAAATTCACACAAACACAACGCTGGCACTGGAAAGTGAAAGCGAAAACGGAAAGACAATACAGATAACGAGACTCTTTACTCACTTGGACTTGCACTATTGTCTTGCCCTTAAATGTGAAAGCCTCCAGATCGGGCTGCAGTAGCAGCTCGTAATGCTTTGGCACCACATTCGTGGGCAGCCGCTTGAACTCTAGCTTCTGCGCCATGCCGTTAACCTCCTCCTGTTGCTGCACTCGAGTCTCCTGTTGAGTGTGCGCCCGTCGAGTCTGCTGTTGCTGTGGCTGGCCTGCCTTTTGTCCTGGACCCACGTCCGCCGATGTGTACGCTAAGATGGCCCGATACTGATTGCACAAGTCACCGAGCAGCGGTGCGTCCGAGTTCTTCAGTGAAGCGCCCAGAGAGACGGAGGAGTAGTCGCGATAGAATTGCTTCTGAACCTTGAAGAACTGCTTCGACGAAATCAGCTCGTTCAGATGGGCAGTCTCTGTGCGGCGGATATGGGCGTTAGAATGCTTATCGAATGTTGAGGGAGAGACGTTAGCAAACAGCCGATAATGGTTAGCAACGTTGCAGTTTTTCTGGTTGTTGGAAGTGTAGGAGTAGTTCTGGTTGCAGGAGGACTTGCTGTTATTCTCACTGGGGTTTAGTAACTGTGGCTGGGTTGCGGTTGCGGGGTAACAGCTTTGGATGGGTCTGGCAGCTGAAATGGCAGAGAAAGGCAGGACAATTGGTTCTCGTTAGTATTATCAGCGACACAGCAATTATTGATAAGCGTTTCTTCACGTCTTGTTATTTGATTAGCTCTGGCTGCAGGGAGCCGGAGGGGAGGTAAGTTAGAGCGGGATTTGCTCTCCCAGTTCGCTCTCTCACCTTCGCACAAGTGTTGCTCGAACTCGGTGTTCGCCTTGGCTACTTCCAAGTTGAGTTTGCCAATTTCTGGAAAGATTAGTGTTGCACTTATTGCACTATTCGTACATTTGAGATAAAGTTGAATGGAGGAAAAAACTATATGCTGACTGCTTGCGGTTATCGAACAACACCACGCACACACATACACGCTTCAAGTGGCCCACTTTCTAATCGATTTGAGCCAGCTGTTTGGCCGGCTAAATATGTTAAATGAACACTTGTGTAATCACCGTTTTTCAGCCTCCAGGCTTGTTTGGCCGTACGAACACCTCCCCTCAGTGCATTCTTGTACATTGCACTTTACGTTTTAAGTTACGCAAATAATTAAATAAATAAAAGAGTTGTCGGATATTATTGCGTATACTGCGGCACTTACCAACACTGTCGATAACAACTTTCTTCCCCGTTATTTTCAAAAAAACAAATAAAAACTGGTAATTTAGCTCGAAACAAACTTTCCGAACTTTTAGAAATGACTATTTAATTCAGGCATTCTTATTAAACTTATTCAGAATTCAGAACGATTTATTTTAGCGAATGCACATGTATTCGAAAACAGCTGTTTTTTCCGATTGCTATATTACAACCCTGCCACAGTGGAGGGATAAATAAATAAATTATTTTTTATTTTTAAGTGGAATGTTGTCGCGGTTGCATGGTTGAACGGGTCTGATTCGCGATCCTTAAACCCTTTTATAACCGAGTACGGTGAACGTGAAAAGATCGCGGTATTTCTTCGAATCCGACTAAATTCTCCATCCAATAATTATTTTCCCGCGACTATATAAAGTGCAAGACCACACCAATCCATCCAAATTACTTATCCGCGACACTTAACCATTAAATAGAAGACTGTTGTGCAATCGAGTGAAGTCTGAAATTCAAAATAGGCAACAAAAATGTTATGGTGTCCGTCAGTTCTAGTGCCAGTTATAGCTGTGGTCGCCTGTCTTCCTGTCCTGGCCATTGGAACGCCTCTCGAATGGGGTAAGAACCGAACAGGAGCATGGGCTCCATTGACCCTCTGGCAATGCCACTGCCACCTACCTAACCTTCATTTCCGCTTAAAATCTATTCGACATCAACAATGCCGTACCGTTCACCTCGCTGCAGGCGAGGCGCTCCCCCTGTGGCTCTTATGTAATCGCTTGACACTAGAATTATGTATTATCGAGCATGCAATACTCGTACTCGTGCGTAAGTGTGAAGAGTACGAGCAGGTGGAACTGGCTATCAGCTGAACGGGTTTAACTTCTCTTCTATCAATCATCGTCCTATGCGTCGAAGCGCGGGCTTTTCTTATCAATGCACACGTCCCCCTGATAACTAATAACAAAATAAATGCGAAAAATCATTCAAAGCATTCAATTCATTAGTCGGTGTTTTACAAAGCAGCCAAACTTTCTATTCACAGACGAGAGGGTTTCGGTTACGCTCTCTCTGTCAAGTTGCCTCTCTTTTCCAAATCAACGTGGCCGGCAAAAACAACATTTGGTTTTTGCCACCTTCCTACCCCTTCCACCACATTTGTCGCACCATCAAGCCACAAGCCACCACTGTTGCCGCCATAGACATGGGATATTTTGTCACGTATGCCATACATCATTTGCCGAGCCGGCTTCATTTTAGATATGCTTCTATGTAGCTGTAGTTTCTTCCATTCTCCTCTTTCACCACTCCACACAGGGAAATTATGCACGCAAGCAGTTTTTGAATTGGATTACTCTGATACCGCCTGCAGCTGCAGTATGGTGTTTCCCGATAGAATTTCCAAGTCGCAATTCAAAACCTCATCCAAATACGTAGCTTCATTAGATATGCTTGTAGGAAGGGTTTGAAAAATTACAATAAGTCACATTTATATTTCTCTTTTGCTCTGCACGAAGTTCTAGCTGTAGTTGATCTTCCTTTGAAGAATGTGTGTAGGGGAAATTATGCAGGCAAGCAGTTTATGGGATTTGGTTTCACTGCTTGCAACTGCAGCATAATAATTCCCGAAACCGAAAGAATTTCCAAGTCGCAATCCAAAACCCCATTCAGAGCCCAGGACCAGCTATCATTTCATGCCCTTTCCGATTCGAGCAACAGATATCGTGCATAACTAAAACCCAGACAGCTGAAAACTTAATTTCTGTAATCGTATAGTCAATGAGATCGATGGGCCACCACGTGCATCGAGAAAATCCACTACGAGCATTCCCTGTTCCCCCGTAGATAGTGACATTGAAAAACCATATCTGACGCGATAGGAAAAAGCTCCCATGAATCATAAAATTAGAGGGGGCTTGATAAAAATAGTCTAGTAAATTCCATTAGGGAAAAATCAGTCGAAATTGGTCAATGATTGAAAATGAAATCTAGATTTTTATTAGATAAATGCAAGCATGCAGAATTTCCCTATTGCAGGGAGGGGAAAAAGAAAACTCTCCACAAAAATGGGAACAGATCTATTTCCCAGAAATGCAATGGTACAAATGAAAGAGGGATTAAATTACAAGGAAAACTTCACTACTTGTTTGCATTATTTTCCTGAATCGGGAAACCCTCCAGGAATACCTTAAAATGTTAGTAATATTTTGTTCGCTTTTTTGTATAGTTCCCAGAATGTCCACAAAATCCATACCCTATGAGCTCTTTATAGTGTAAAAGCATTCAGAAATAAGAAGTAAAATAATGCCTAATAAATATAAATTAATAAACTATTTCTGCATCAATAAAAACGTTGACCTCAAACGCAGAAGCCTTGGAGGTCAGCGCGCTGCCGGTGAGAGGTGGTTCCGTCGCTCGTTCATTCGCGTTTCTACTATTATTGTCTTTGTATTATTGTTTTTACAACCATCACGATGATAATTGGCTAGCACACGAACCCATACATATGGATGAATCATGAATACCCATTATTTATGTTTAGGTTTTTGGCAAAAACTATAGCAACAGTGACCTACAAAAGTGCGAGGCCCCCCAGCTGTAGGGCCAATGACCAAGTCGATATGGATTGATTTTAGCCAGATGATCGATGGATACCAAAGGAAATGGAAGTCGTGTAAAAGTAGAAGCAAGCCTCCCCTCTCTCTCTCTCTTTTGCTTTCCTTCAGCCTTCATTGGATTCGTGTTCTTTTCTGTTCCGGAACTGCTCGGCTTTTTCTGCCTGTTCCGCCAGCTGCAATGTTTCCATTTCCGTGCGAGATCCAATCCAGAAAAATTCTTTATCTTTATGCACAGGCAACAGGTGCTGCTGCAAGCGCAGCCTTTCAGGCGATAATCATTCACATTAGCTTGACTGTTAATTAAATAAATGAACACACGCCCCTGTGCGTTTTACAACAGGTTTTTTGTCTTTCGATCTCATTACGCTTAAAGTACCCTGCACCATGCGGGTATATTGACATTTCGCTGCAGCACGCTCTCGTTTCGGTTGCACATCTTGCGTTTCATGCGGTTGTCACGCCCGGGCTGCGTTTCGTTTGTTGGATCACTAAATGGGTGTACGTTCTTATAATTTTATATACCCAGTAAACGTTTTAAATTTCAGTATTTCAGACAAACAAAATCAAAATCGAAAAAAATTCCATAAAAGCGATCGAGCTGTCAGGGTATTAAAGGTTATTTTCTTTCTTGTTTACCAATTTCGCTTGAGTGGTGCTGGCTGGGGGGCGGGCTATCCCGTTTTCGAATCAAGTATTTCTTATCAAATCTCTTCATATAACATTTTTGCACACTGTACATCCAGATTTAGAAGGCGGCGGCCATGTTTTTTTTGTTTTGCCGGATTCAAGGTCACCATAGACATCACATCGATTGGGTGTGAAAGCTGAAACCATTAGCAGTACATGGGGAAAATTAATGGAAATTGATGTGACATTTCCACCCCATTGGTCGTAACACAAATCGGTGGGTTTTCCCTCAACGCTGCAGATAGAGATAGATCCTTGGCGCCACTGAAGTGCTTTACATTTGCTTATCAGTGGCTAGACCTCTAGACGTAAATGATCTCTAAAACTCTGCGACATATTGGGGCGACACATCACATCAAATCGATTGGCGCCACATTAAATCATCAATATTATTATTAATAATTGAAACGCAATTCTGGCAGAATATTTCTGTTGCAAAATTCTAAATTGAATTCCACAAATGGCGGAATGATTTGATTGCAATTTAGGAGTCACTTTTGGCAATGCTTAATGGATCGATCAAATGGATGGCAAGGGGAGCATTGAGCATCTAAGCATTGATTGAACTTAATTTTCGCAAACCAAAACAGGCAAAAAACATATAAAAAAAAATATAGTTAAATTTTTAACGATAAATCACGTGTGCGTTTCGATGATATTTTAGGTATTGCACACTGCTCCAACAACTATATTTAGAAATGATTTCTAACTGGATTTCGTTTCTCTTTTGTAGAATTTGCGATCACTTTGAAGTCGAAAATCCTGTTCGTAGATGAATTCTGGCGCACTTTGGCCTCGGCAGCCCACGAGTTTGATGAACTCTCCGCCCTGACCTTTGACGAAACGGAGGAGCTCATATACTTCCACGATCGACTGCACCAGAATGGCAGCATATTCTCGCTGCGAAGAGACGCACTGATGGCCTCCCACATAGCCGAGCAGGCAATACAGCGCACGGGAAATGAATCTGTGGGAGGATTGGCCTACGATCCGCTCAATAGGAACCTCTTCTGGTCAGACACGCTGCAGAAGAAGATCTACTTTGCCTCAATCGATAGCAAGGTAACGGAGGAGCCCAAAGTGCTGGTGGATCTTAGCCAGGAGGGTGCACGGCCCGATGGTGTGGCCGTGGATGTGTGCCGCAGGAAGCTCTACTGGACGAACTCCAACATCACGCATCCAACGGTGGAGAGCATCGATTTGGCTGGCACCAACCGTCAGGTGATCATCGACACGGACATTGATATGCCGCGTGGCATTGTGGTGGACCAACTGTCGGATCGCATCTACTGGATCGATGACCTGAAGGGCGTGTTCTTTGCGCTGAAAAGTGCGCGATTGGATGGCTCCGATCGGCAGTTGGTGCTGCACGACAAGCACCACGAACCCCTCAACCTTGCGGTGACCAATGACGCCATCTACTGGACGGACAAGACCACCAAGGCAGTGTGGAGCCATCCAAAGGTGCCCATTGTCAAGGCCACTACTACCACGAGTCCGGTTAAGGCAGAGGAAGAAGATACGGCCACGGAGACAATCGCAGACATTGAACCAGAGCCCGTGGCAGAAGTCTCCGCACTCGTTCGCGTGGCCAATCTCAGCGAGGAGGCGCGTGGCATTGTGGCACGCACTGGATTCTATCAGCGACTGCAGAAGGATGAACATTGCTCCAATGTGGTGCGAAAGATCAAGGAGCGACTCGATCAGATGGCCAAGAAAAAGCAAATGCGCAGCCTGGTGGACGAGAAGGTGGCCCAACTGGAGCGCGAACATTGCCTGAACGGAGGCACCTACATTGCCGATCGGGTGCTGTGCATCTGCCCGACGGGCTACAAGGGCTCGCGCTGTGAGATTCGCGAGTGCCACAACTTTTGTGTGCATGGCACCTGCGAGATCAGTGATCGAGCGTATCCCAAATGCTACTGCCAGCCGGGATTCTCGGGCGAGCGTTGCGAGATCAGCAAATGCTCGGGACTGTGCCTTAATGGCGGCCACTGCAAGCTGGAGGACATCTCTGAGAAGCCCAGCTGCGAGTGTCCCCATAACTTTGCCGGAGAGCGATGCGAGCAAAACTCAACGGAGATCTGTGCGTTGTTCTGTCGCCTGCTGAAGCATGAGGCGGATATCTATGTGCCCTTTGGCTGCCACGATATGTGAGTAGACGAGTAATCCTCAATGGCATCCTCAACTAATTCTTTCGCTTTTCTCCCCTTTAGCTGCGAGGAACTGGCCAAGGATGCAAGCGATAAGATTGCCATACCGCAGTATCAGCATCTGGAGGTGTGCATGACACCCAGTCCATGGACCAGCAATGTGATCATTGTCCTCGTTGTGGGCATAGTCTCATGCTTCTTCCTGGTGGCCGTCATAGTCCATGGCTTCCGTCGTTTGTACAAACCGAAGAGGCCACGCATCAAAAAGACATTTGTGTATCGAAATCCGGCGCGCGCAAACTCCTCTGGTGACACACCGCTGACCAATCGCCCGCTGGCCACAGAACAGTGCGAGATTACGATAGAGAACTGCTGCAACATGAATATCTGCGAGACGGTAAGGAGGCATACATATACTATAAATCGAAGAGAACCCTTGACTAAATTGTTTGTTGTAGCCTTGTTTCGATCCTAAGCTGGTGGAGCAGAAGCTGGCCAAGTCCTCCAATTGCAAGGAGGACAAGAAGATACTAATCCAAAACATGGACGATGATCTATACTAAAGAGAGGGGCCGGCCCAACAAGAGCCGGCTCTATCAAAACTGAACCTTGTGATAGTCGATGTCGAGTGCGGTGTTTGGTATTCGAGCTTGAAAAGCTGCTGCCCGCCCGGCTCTCGGCCCCGTTTGCCCTCAAGGTGCACCATTCAGAGAACACCAGAGAAGCCACCCCACCCAGAGAAGACGCTGGTGGTGGTATTAAAACACTTAACACTCGCCAAAACCATTTACTTAAACCGAAAGCAACATGTGTACTTAGCAGATCTTCCGATCGTAGAACTGCTGTGGTCTCTCGTTAATTTATTTTAGTGAATCATTTTTCATTCTAGGGTTTTATTACAATTAGTAGGATTTTTAGCTCAAAGTCGAGAGAGAAACCAATTTAAATTCGTTTCGTTTTAATTCTGTTCATTAATTTTTGGTTTTTATATGAAATTTGCTATGAAAATGATGAAAGTCGGGAGTGACCGACATAAGCTTTAACATGGAATAAACACACGGAAAACAAAGAACTGTAGAATTAGGAAGAAAGAAGCAATCACGAAAGCACACGCACAACTCTCGCGACAGAGATAACGCCCATCTCCATTGTGATTTATCAAAACAAAACAACGCTGAAAACTGGTATAAATAATGGTGTAATAGTTAAAATTATTCATTAAAGAAGTTCCTGTTCCATTTTAAAAACATCTATTTTCGCCGTCTCATGCCCCCTACCCCACATATGCCATAGCTTGCCCTTCTCACCATGCTAACTCTGAGCCTCTTCCCCAATCCTCTCCAGCACAAACCCATATTTCGGCAATGAGGCTCTACCGCAGGGCAACAAAGACGAAGAGAGTTGTAAATATTAAATAATAGTTTAATTTTAGTTGTAGTCCTTAAGCAACAGGGTTGAATAAATAAAATCAAAAACTACATGCAGTTGTTTGGCTTACTTACATGCCACTTGCTCTAATATCCACACAATGATGTCACTATTAATATAGATATGTATGTAGGCTTACAAAATTACACACTGCACTGGGCCTAATCTAGCCACTCGCGCAGGTTATTCTGCTGATTTTCAGTAGCTCATACTGCACTATTTATCACAATTTCCTTTGTTATTTGGTACACTTACTAACTAACTGAGTTTAATATTATTTTATTATTTCACATTTTCCAAATGATGACTTTTCAAATAAATTTGTTACCAGCAAATTTTCGGGGGACTTTTCAAAACATAATTAGTCGATAGACTTTATCGGTATTTTTAAAATACATGTGACCGTAAGCTGGGAACGCAAAAGCCCCAAAATACCTTGGACACGATACTCGACCTAGACTAGACTAGAAATCTCGTGCAAAAGTAAGCAATAAAAGATATGGTAATTTCCAATTTTTTAACTAATTTTACATAAAACCAATGTGATACGGCAATCTTGTAGACCAAAGCACGAATTTCATAAACTTGAAAATATTTTACGGTATATTATGAAAATGAAAAGGTATTCGCTCTTTTTCGTGGTGTGAGCCACATGTATCTAACGGGACCCGAAAAAGCAAAATGGGGAAATGAATAGGCAGCACTGTTCTGCAACTTTGGCACCGAATGAGAAATATACAAAATATTATGATGTGGCAGCCCGCAGAAACTACGAATTGCACGAGTCTGGCAGCGCCACAAAACGATGACACATTAGTTTTATGTTGTTTTTGTTTTAACCTTAATATGTAAATAATCCAATAAAAAGGACTTCTAAAAACTAACCAATCCTAAACAAAATTCATTGAGGAATTGGATAAAACTATTTGTTTAGGGCTGAGAGTCCCAGTTAGCTAGTAATATTAAAGGGAATATCAAAATCGAGAAATATCAACGTTGAATGTTTTGAAAAAACCATCGATACTATCGTGATAACTCTAATAATTATTAAAAAAAACCATTGAAACCTTTTAGGAACTTGTCCATTGTAAAAATTAGATGCCACCTGTCGATTTGTTTACAAATGTGTCTTCGTATTTTATAGCAGCCAATCCAAACATATCAAAAGCGCAACGACTGTAGCTCGATACTATCATGATAGTCTCAAAACTGTCGATAGTAGAGGCCATCGGTAAAATATCGATACTATCGATAGTGCCCTCGATGGTTTGACACCTCTAATCTTGACAATTTTTTTCGCAAAAAACTTTAAATCAACTTTAAACCGACTTAAATCAACAAATAAACCATAAATTGCGATTATTGTTAGCGGAAAAGAGAAAGCATGGTAAGCTACAGCAAATTTCGAGTGCAGTAAACGTCAGGGAATACTTTTTGTGGCAATTTTTGGCGTCGCGTGCCTTGCAGACTGTAGATTTTGCGCATTTTTTTTCGGTGAACCTTTTGATTTGCGTTGTTGGGTGAAATTGGAATGCTGTTTGCGTGAATGAATGCACCCAGTGGACTTCTGTGTGTTGGGGCATTTGTGGCCTTTGCTGCTGCATGACCTTGTTAGCAATGCGGTGCACAGGCGACGCCGACGTCATAGCTTCCGCACGGCACTGAGTGTGTGTATCCATAGGCCACGCGCATACCATACCCGCCGCCGCCGCCGCCACACCGCCTCCTCGTGCAGGAAGAACATTCAATGTATCCATTAATAATAACCCCATCCATGACCTTTGCTGTGCACTTTACAGGGCAGCAACGACAGAGCCTCCAGATCCCCACGTTCGGATGATCAGCGTGAAATTACGGAGATGCCAGCCACAAAGCGAACGCGCTCCGACTCGGGTAAGTGTCTTGTCCGGGATGGATCTATCTGATAGATCCACAACAGACATATGTATGTATATGTCTCCTCTCTATGTATACATATGTATTCAGCATGTATGTTAGAATGGAAACAAATATGAAATATGAATATATATATATATATCAACGCCCCCACCCCCCCGAGGCATATGCTCTCTGTATGTGTATGTACTTATATTTGTATATGGATATAAACTATAAGTTCATTTGGTAAATCGTGGGGTTCAAGAAGACTGAAAAGAAGCGGCGGCAAAATTGTAATTGTATTTTGGTTTCTCCTAAGCATAAAAACAAAAAACAAAAAACCTATTGTAAACACACATCTTATATTTATTCTCTACTACTTGTACTTCTACTTCGTCGCATCTTTACGGGCAGCACCTGACGCCACTAAATAATCGGTTTTTCTTTTGTTCTGCTTAAGTAATTGCAGACTTCATAAACGCACGATGAACTCGAACACTCAAGTGAGGTGTGAGGTGAGGTGAGAGTCGAAAACAATAGCGCAAAACGTATCAATCAAGTGTGTCAGACAATGCGATCCGAAACCCCCAAAGCAAAGCAAATTGCAAAGCATCTCAAGAGTATCGATCCGATATATACATACTATATGTATCTATATCTATATCAATCAGTAGAAACTGAAATCAGAATAGGGCATCAGTGAGTGGAATCCCTGCTCGCCGTGAGTGAATCAATCAGCCGAAAGAATGAAAACCAGAAACTCCAGAACTAATCAAAAAAAACAAAAAATCCAAAAACAATATGCAGCATACCATATATAACTATTATCTCTCTCTTTCTCTTTCTTCTATATCTCTCTTTTTTATTTTCTGTAAGCGTTTTTATCTCTTTTTAAGTTTGTGTTCCGCCATAAGACATATAAGTTCCATATATCCGGGTATACGAGATCGAGAGAGAGATGTCCAATTAGATAACTCCAATACTACTACTACTACTACTACTACTACCACCACCACCAAATATCAGCCACAAATACAGCCCAAGCAAGAAACATCATCACGCGCGAACCAATACGCAATTGATCCACGCATTAATCCAAGATCCAAGAATCCGCTTCTTCTAACAAAACAACAAGCCAGCCCCAGCCGTCGTCGTGGTTAGCAGCTGCCTGCCAGGCCAGCCGAAGGACTCGTGACTGCTCCTGGTCCTGGTCCTCTGTGCCACATACATTTTATATTAAGTACCAAGTATTTTGTGTGTGTTCGTTCGTCATACATAGATAGTTGTTTATAGAACGCTAGAGAGAGAGTACACCATAGCATTTTGTCCGTCGTACCTTTAACCATATATGTATTCTCTGGAGGGGGGTCGTTACCTTGGGGGAATGCGAATCAGTTTGCATTCGCAATCCTCTCTATCTATACCCAACCTCCACATCCATCACATGATCCGCACGATCCACGATATCAAGTCCAAGTCCTTTTATTTGCTTAAACAGAGTGACTCCTAGTTTGGCCCCACAGCAGCCTTCCCCTAGATAAAGCATTCCCATTCAAAAAGTACAATTAGATATCAGACAAAAGAATTAAGCAAAAAACAACACACAGACACAGAATGACGATGATGATTATTTGTGAGGTAGGGCGGAGCGGAACGGAAAACTTAACCAACTTAAAAACATATTGTTGCTCTTATTATCGTTTCAGCGTCTTGTTTTCTTTTTTTATTTTTCTCTTTTTATCACAAATGAGCAATGTGTAAATGTGTGACCCTCTTCTTCAAGTCAATTACCACGCCCCCCCAACTCATGGAAACCGTATCGCAAAAACGCACATAAGGTCGCTTATAATTTCTAATTTTTATAAAATATTTCCTCCCACCCAGAGCAGAGCTGATCACACGTGAACTAACCAAAATCCCATAGCATAAATTGTATATCTATCTGTGGCTATGTTTTTTTTTTGTTGTGATTTTGTCGCGATGTGGGGGATTTTGGTTGGTTCAGTGTGCGCAGCTCTTGTTATGGCATTTTTGTATCGATTGCCAGCAATCGCAATCAATCGAACAATTATCGGATATATTGCAAAAAATCGGATGTGTGTGTACACGTGATTTGACACGCAGATAATATATATATAAATCTACATATCTATTTGATGTAAATGTACACCCACATACACATATACATACACGTACTATTTCCCCCCAGCACTACAACTACGTATATCAATCTGCCTATCGATAAGCTTAGCGATATGTTTTATTTTATTGGGTGCTTTCTCGTTTTTATTCTTGCATTTTCCAGCCCGAACAAATAAATGACAAAAACACATGCCATGTCCCCCTCTGCCCGATAAACGATAAACTCGATAGCTATAGTCGATATGATATCGATACAGATAACTATGAAATCGAATCTCCATGCCGAACAAGCGAGAAAGTGACACTGCGCTCACTCGATCGATTCATGCACATGTAATTTATGTACCTTAAGTAACTGTAACTGTACCTGTACTGTACCTTTACCTGTACTGTAATCAGCAGCGATAACGATAACGATAGCACACACACACACCGATTACAGTCGTTCGAATCGAAAGCATGGCCCCATATATGGCTTCAAAATCCGCTCAAGCAGAATCGAATCTCCAGCCTACTCAGAAAATTAGTTACAACAAATATCTTCTCCAGCAGCCTCCATGCCATCCACTCTGTCTCTCTATATTATTAACAATTTTCTTTCTTATTTTTTTTCTTTTTTGTCTTCATCTTTCTTGCAGGCAGCATGCAGTTTTTGTCTTTATTTCAAACAATTTCAAACGCAAACTCTTGACAAAATGCACTTTCGTTGTTCCAACTGTTTGCCACCGAGTTATGCCTTTGGAAACATAAAAAAAAAACAGACAAAAACCCAAAACAGAATCAAAAGACAAAGCTAAATCAATATCAAAAGAAACTAAAGAACAAAAGTCAAATAAAAAAAGAAAAGACAAAAACATAAAAAAAATTGCATAGCAAATGATGTGATCCATGATGATAAAAAACTGAACTGAAAATCCTACCATGCCCACACGCCCCTTATGTATGAGATGCACTAATCCGTCTGTCCAATTCTAGGAAAGTCCACGGATTCGAAAATTCCCTACCTTTCGCAGCCTCTGTATGACCTGAAGCAGACGGGCGATGTGAAGTTTGGGCCCGGAACACGCTCCGCCCTGTTGGGTCTACTGGGTGGGGCACTGCCAAAGCTCACCTCGGAGCAGCATGATCTTGTCAGCAAGGCCAAGAAATATGCCATGGAGCAGAGCATCAAGATGGTGCTCATGAAGCAGACACTGGCCCATCAGCAGCAACAACTGGCCACGCAACGCACCCAGGTCCAAAGGCAACAGGCATTGGCATTGATGTGCAGGTTAGTTATCGAATTATAGATGGGGGATTGACTCGTATATATAATATATAATGATGTAAAACATTGAAAATAAGTTGTGAAAAATGTCTTCCTATGGCTGTGGCTTCGAGTTACTGAAGGCAGTCAACGGGGAGCCATTAAGTGTGCTCTCTTAGCTGATAAGATCTGATTGCCATTCCAACTGCAGTCATTTCCGCATGAAGAAATCATTTATTAACAGGATCTTCTCTTCCCTGGCAGAGTATACGTCGGCAGCATATCCTTTGAGCTCAAGGAGGACACCATTCGTGTGGCTTTCACACCCTTCGGCCCCATCAAGTCCATCAACATGTCCTGGGATCCCATCACACAGAAGCACAAAGGATTCGCATTCGTGGAGTACGAAATACCCGAGGGAGCACAGCTGGCCCTCGAGCAAATGAATGGCGCTCTGATGGGTGGCCGCAACATCAAGGTAGGGCGACCTAGCAACATGCCACAGGCCCAACAGGTCATCGATGAGGTGCAGGAGGAGGCAAAGAGCTTTAATCGCATCTACGTGGCCTCCATCCATCCGGATCTGTCCGAGGAGGATATCAAGAGTGTCTTCGAGGCCTTTGGACCCATCCTCTACTGCAAGCTGGCGCAGGGCACGTCACTGCACACGCACAAGGGCTACGGATTCATCGAGTATGCCAACAAACAGGCCATGGACGAGGCCATTGCCAGCATGAATCTGTTCGATTTGGGCGGACAGTTGCTCCGGTGAGTTTCCACTTGCAATCTCCATTTTAAATTCATCTCTAATCTATGTTTCTTTTTGCAGAGTGGGTCGCTCAATCACACCGCCAAATGCCCTGGCCTGTCCCACAACAAATTCGACCATGCCCACGGCTGCGGCGGTGGCGGCAGCCGCTGCAACGGCCAAGATTCAGGCCCTCGATGCGGTGGCCAGCAATGCTGTGCTGGGTCTCTCGCAGCACCCAACAAATCTCGGCATGGCTGCCGGTGCCGTCGTCACGAAGGTGGGCAACATGCCCCTGGTGAATGCTGCCACTTCAGCGGCTGCCCTCAATCCGGGCCTGGCCATGCCAGCAGCTCCCGTGGCTGCTCTGCTTCCTCCTGGCATCTTCCAGCCTCCGACCCCAGTTACGCCCAGTCTCCTGGGCGTGCCCACAGGACTCCAGCCTCTGCAGGCCGTGGTGCCATCACTGCCGCCGCCTGCCTTGCTGGCCACGCCCACACTGCCTCTGCCCGGAACCGGACTAGGTGTGGGAGTTGGCGTGGGTGTGCTGCCCACTGTGGCCGCCCCCTTGGCCAGCGTCGAGGCCACCAACGGAGCATCGGTGGCAATTGCCGTATCCGCAGCAGCCAACAATGCAGCGGCCACCGCTGCTAATCTCTCGGAGAACATCAAGAAGGCCCACGAGAAGCAGCAGGAGGAGCTGCAGAAGAAGCTGATGGACGAGGGCGATGTGCAGACGCTGCAGCAGCAGGAGAACATGTCCATCAAGGGCCAGAGCGCCCGCCAGCTGGTCATGCAGCGGCTGATGAGGCCAACGGACTCGCGAGTCATAATCCTGCGCAACATGGTGGGGCCCGAGGATGTGGACGAGACGCTGCAGGAGGAGATCCAGGAGGAGTGCAGCAAATTCGGCACCGTCAGCCGCGTCATCATCTTCAACGAGAAACAGACGGAGAACGAGGACGACGACGAGGCCGAGATCATTGTGAAAATCTTCGTCGAATTCTCTTTGGGAGCCGAGGCGCAACGAGGCAAGGAGGCCCTGCACGGACGATTCTTTGGCGGCCGGCGGGTTGTCGCCGAGCTGTACGATCAGGGCGTTTTCGACCAGGGCGATTTGTCTGGCTGAAATTGAGAGGACGATTCGATTCTAACTTAGGTTTTAGCATTCTTCTGACCTTAATTCTGTCATTTTTTACTTAGAACTTAAATGCAAGTTTATTTATTACGTGAGCCCCGGCACGAAAGTTGTTAATTGGTCGCCGTTGTCCTATGGCCAGGACACAGATAACAAATGATTATATGATGAGATGTTTCTGCAACGCAGTGATTTAGATTTAAAGAGAATGAATAGTAGTCCAGTCCCCCCCGAGAGAAAGCAAAAGTTGTTTTTGTATTATCGAGGCGCATGCTTGCCCCCACCCCCACACACACACTCAGAATGAAACGGAAAACTAACAAAGTTTTGCATGTACATTTGATTATTTCAGCGCTTAACTTACAATAAAATAAAGTCTAGTTACCCATTAAACAATGGTTTGTTTTGTCTACGTTATATTATGATTTGAATTGTAAATCTGGCGCCCAGTCCGTTGCAGCATGTTTTCAGGGCAGTATTTGAGCAATCGAGTACGGTCACTATTTTCAGGGGTATTTTGAAAATGTGGTATATTTCGGTATATTTTTGAGGGTCACACGGGTATATTTGATCGACAAATCGGCGGTCTCACTGTTTACATCCCTACAAAGAAAATAGAAATCAAAAAAATCAAAAAATGAAGTGATTTAGCGACGAAAAACGCAGCAATTACATTTGTTGGCGCATCTTGAGTGCTGTGCCTAAGGAATTAGTGCTACGCATGCAACACAGCACCGCTGCAACTAACTGTAAATCGAAAGACAAAGTCGAACGCAGCGCAATAGTAGCGAGGGATTTTTCTGGCTGCTAGGGGGACAAAAAAAAGGTACAGAAAGTTGTGATGATTTGATTCCCCCTCAAAAGCAGCACATTCTTAGACCCACTCAGCTGTTGTGGTACTAGTGATTGACTAGTGACTGCTGCTGCTTCTAGTACAAGTGGCCCCTGTCCTGTCCCTCTGCTAAACGCGATAAGGCCAGACAGAGTGTCGCTCGCTGGCGCTTGCAAGCGTTTTTCAATAACTACTACGCACCTACACAGAGACACGACACGACACGACGCTCACAAGCTCACAAACAATTTTGTTGGCATTTGAGGTGATCCGTAAAACTCGAATCAGCGAATGGGTCATACATATATAAAGATTTTGCGGCTGCTTCCGCTTGACTGGCAGCAGCAGACTTTAACCCAAAGTTTAGGCCCCCGCCCCCGGAGGCATAGACACCCAGACAATCAATAGATTGAAGGACTCTACTCCCGACTTTATCCAGCAATCAAAGACGGCAGCACACACTTGTAGATTTTTAATTGTTTGTTATGTAATTGTGGGCTATCATACTTTCGAAAGAATTGAGCACAGATTAGGGGACACCCCACGTGCCAGTTTTGGGATAAGCTATGACTTGAATTTATGCTCTTTAGAAATTCACAAATTCATGCTATGGTGAAACTAAAAGTACAAATATTCATTCTACTATGATTCATAAACATTCTCCATTTGACAGACACACCATTGAGTCACTGGCGGATAGCAAACGAATCGTGCCCAAGATGAGCTGTAAGGTGCGATTGATGGAGGACGGCTCACTGGACGAGGAGCCGCTGACACTGAAGGAGATTGCCTACCAGAAGCTGTGCAACAATCTCGACATCATCAGCGGCTGTCGGCCAGACAATAATCGTCTGTTAAATGCCGGCATTGTGCTGCCCAATGAGATATGCGATGGCTTTCTGGAGAACTATCAGCGGTTCAACAGGCCCCTGGACGACAATGTCATAAAGCTATTCGAGGACACACAACGCACATCGCTGAAAATTGTCAATCTACGCAACAGCACACTCAGCAGCATAGGTGAGAGAGGGCTACAGACGAGATTCAATGTCGGAATCCTTTCCATTAAACACTGTTCTTTCGTTATTGCAGGATTGGAAACTCTGATGCGCCACAAACTGTTTGCCCTGTCCATGTGGTATTGCGACATGATCACCGTAAATTCGCATCATCTGTTGGCCCACTATGGCGACAGTTTGCGCTCCTTGGAGCTTGGCATTAGCTCGCATCTGCTGCAGAATGCGGAGCCGAATGAGAAGGAGCCGGTAGACTTTCAGCTCACATGTCCCCATCTGCGGCGTCTCGTCCTCAATGGCGTGGTGATGCATCATCGTCTGCAGTTTGCCCATCTGCATGATTTGGGGCATCTGGACCTCACCTCCTGCGTGCTGGCAAACTTTAGTTTGGAGGCATTGGTGATGCTGCCGAACCTCCACACACTGATCCTGTTCAATGTGTGGCCCATTGCCAATCAGCTGCATGCCATCTGCTGCCTGCGACGCCTGTGCACGCTCGACATCTCCATATCCAGTTCGGGGAATGGCCATGGCACCTACGATCTGCCCGATCAGACGCTGGAAATGCTAATGGATAATCTGCGCCATCTGACACACCTGGATATTTCAGGCACGAATTTAGCCGGCAACGGGGTGGCCACCAAGGAGTCCACGAATGCCAATGCCAATACCAAAATGGAGCAGCAACACTTTGCCCTCACGGACATACCAGGCCTGGCATCCCGCACCCAACGACCGCTGCAGTTCCTGGGCCTCTACCACACGGCCCATTGGGCATGCAAGCGGCACGATATACCCGCACTCGAGGTGGCTGGGGATACCAACGAGCAGCAGATACTGACAGCAGCTCGTTACTACCACGACAGACCCGTCCTCCTGACAAGGGTAAGCACAGGCAGGCTCCTGTGAAGATACTCATTGATTCGTTTCCTCTCTCTTTTTGGTTTAGGTGCTCAACGATCTGTATCATCTGTTTCGTTTTGAGAACTGCAAGGATATACACACAGCACTGGATGCTGTACTCTCAGCCATGGATCGGCATCTAAAGTTCAAGCACATGCAAATCTCTGGAAGGTAAGATCCAAGCCTCTCATGCATTCTCCCTTAAGAATGTAAGCTAATGAATCCCCTCTTGCAGTGCCACACTTTTCTACATTGTTAAGGGCAGGGAGCGTTCAAAGTTTGGCGCTTTGCTGCGTAACCACATCATACGCACGCTGCTCAATGGCATGGAAATGCATCTCACGGACGATACAATGCTGCGGAATGGCTATCTGACACTCACACAGTTCAGCATGCCAGCAGATGTGGTAAAACCGAATCAAAAGAATCTCTTCTCTCCCCAATCTAAACGATTGATTCTCTGCTTTTGTGTAGCTGTTTGAATACGAACGGCTGATTAAGATACTGCTGCATGGTGTGTCCAAGACAGAGCAGGAGGGATTCGTTCAGCGTATTGCCATTTATTTGCTAAACACTTTGGCCTGCCAGGTGGATGGACGACAGAAGCTCTTCCTCGGCGAATTGGGTGTAGTTAGTGTGAGTTCTTAAAGGCGAGACGGAGACACTTGTCCCTTTATAGTTCAGAAAACCGTATTAATCATTGCATACTTTTTATAGACCATGCTGACGCTGATCAAGGATCGCCTCACACGCTCCGTCTTTGATGATGTCATGGAGGTGGCCTGGTCCACCATGTGGAATGTAACCGATGAGACTGCTATTAATTGTAAGAGATTCCTCGATGGACGCGGCATGGAGTATTTCCTTAAATGTTTACACGTAAGCAAAGCCATCCCAGAAAGCATTGTAAATCATTTTTTAAAACATTTTCTCGAATGTTTTTGGCGCTCAGACCTTTCCCGATCGCGATGAGCTGCTGCGTAACATGATGGGGCTGCTGGGCAATGTGGCAGAGGTCAAATGGCTGCGCCCCAAGCTGATGACACAGGAATTCATAGAAGTGTTCGCCCGTCTGCTGGACTCCTTGAGTGATGGCATCGAGGTGGGTCGAGCGAATACGAGACGAGGGCGACTAGAGAATGGTAATGTTAACCGTGCTAACCTGCGCTTCCAGGTCAGCTACAATGCGGCTGGTGTGCTCGCGCACATTGCATCCGATGGGGCCGATGCCTGGACCATAAAATCGCCCAGCCGTGAGCATGTGCTGGACCGCATGGTGGCCGCCATTCAACGATGGAACATCAAAAGTGAGCGGAATATCAATTATCGCAGCTTTGAGCCCATACTCAGTCTGGTGCGCTGCTATGAGACGCCACAATGCCAGCACTGGGCCGTCTGGGCATTGGCAAATCTGACACAGGTGAGTGTGTCCTAGCCTAGCAGATCACAGAGCAAACGCATGATTCGTCTTATTTGTGTAGGTCTATCCGGAGAAATATTGCCAGCTGGTGGAGCAGGAGAATGGCATACAGATCCTAAACGAGCTGATCGAACATGAGAGCCCCTACTGTGAGATAAAGCGCATTGCCCGTTTGGTCATCGAGCAGTGCGATTCGGGCTCGGGATCAGAGCGTATGGTCGAGGGCTGAGCCAACGCTCCAACTCCAACTAAATATTTAATTATTAGGAGAATACGTCGCGATGATTGATCGATTATATGTAGGATTTGAGTTTGTTGTACAATTTGAATAGGCTTTCTTCTCCTCTGTTTCGTATTTCGTAGTTAAGTGAAAAACTGTTATATTGTTCAAGAGATTCTTCCCCCGACTTTTAATGTATAATTCGAGTGCAACAGAAAGAACCCTACAACAGATTAAGGGCTACAGACAGCAAATAAGCAGCATAATATCCCCCGATACATATACAATTTCATAGACTATATATATAAATATATATATACATACATACATATATATATCTGATATATAAAGTGTTGTAAGGCAAGCAAGATTAATTTAGGCCCATCGTGAGGAATGTAAATATTGTTAAAAACCGAAAACGTAAGAAAGAAACAAAAAAAAAAAAAACGTAGCAAAAGAAAGGCAAAAGCGTGAGGCAACTCCAGATTAAAGAAAAATCCTTAAACTGTAATCCGAGTCTTCTTTGTCTTTAAGCTGTATTTAAAAAAAAAACATAGATATATATCTGTTCGATTCTGTTCCTAGATTTGTGTTCATTCTGATGCTTCCTTCCTGATTTCGTTATTTGTACCGTTCTGCATGGAATAGAGGATATGATATGTTTTCTATATGTAGTAGATCCCTACAATATAAGTCTATAATTAATGACTGTAAATAATTGCGAGTAACAGTTTTTTTTAGAGTTTTTCCCCTCCTCCTTGGCATAAATAATATTTATAACATTGTATGTTATCATTAGTTACATAATATTACACGTAATTACGTATATATATATATTTAACATGAATCGTAAGTGACTCACACCTGTGTCTTACCATTTCCTGAAATTATTTATGAATGCACGCCGCGTCATATAGTATGGGAGTCCAAAGTCCCCAAACCTTATAGCAGAGTGTAAACGGGAGAGAACATCTTCGTCTGTGATTTGGAGACTTCTTTTATCTATGTGGATTATGAGAAGTGGAGACCAAATTTTTATCTGTGAAGTGGAGACCTTCTTCCCATCATGGTATATGTAGCACTTATGGCCTGGTTCCGTGTGTGTGAGTGTGCACATAAATTGCGGTAGTCGAAGTCTGTTAGGAGGAGGTTGCATCATGGTGGGGGTGGCTGGGTGGTTGCGATGACGAAATGCCAACGGGTTGAAAATGACAGCCAAAGCGCATGTGCAGTGGGAACTCTGTCCAGTCCACCCCCAAATAACAACAGCTTAGCAACCCTGCAACGCTCTCATTCACCTGCTCTCTCACCAGTTTCCACTCTCTTTTTGCACTGAATTTGACAGCACTCTCTGTCAGATTGTGCCGCCCGGTGAGGACGCTCGTTTGTTTATTGTTAAGTGGATGTAAATGTGCATTAATTGAGGAAAAACAACGGTAAACATAATAAATAAAATGACAATTAACTTGCTTAAGTGAAAAAAACTTTAAGCCGGCCAAAACTGCCTTAAGTTTGAATAATAACAAAACACAGGCCCAGCGTCCCCCGCCACCCATGGTTGCACCCATTCAACGGCATTTTGGAGAGAGGAAAACTAGTTTTCATTCACAATACCTAAGCGAATTTCATTCACAATACGGGAGCAATCAATCAATGGAAATAAAATAGTTTTATTCATTAAATCGTAAACAATTATTGCCGGAGTGGAAAACAAATGCGAAAAAAAAAACAATTGTTTGCTGGATTCTGCGCAGTCGCGGGTTGTGGCGGCATAACATCAACAAGGAAACTGCAACCGGAACCGGACCCTTGGCGGAATAGCCTTTTGTGAGATCAATAACCTTCTTATCAACAGTGCGGAGAGGGAGAAGAGAGTGCAACGGTTGCCATGGCAATGAAAACACACAGGGAAAGGAGAACAAAACAAAAGAAAGACAAAAGGAAATATGTATTCCAGCCATGAAATAGACTAAGGTATTGATTACCAATTTTAGCCTATGATTAAAATGGAATTGAGGTTCTATCTGGGCCCGCAAATTAAAGCAACAATTCCAACGAGCGACAAATTGTAACAAATATTTGCACAGGCCACGAACTATACAGAAGAAGAAGAAAAACATTCCCGACTCTCGTGGGATTCGAACCACTGTTAGAAGAAAGTTAAACAACAAAATCTCTCGCGACGTGTCAACGTGTTCGACCAAAACGGTGGCAGTTTTCTTAGGGTCTTAATGCCACATAATCCACAAGAGCTTTCAAGGCAAAAGCTTTTGGTAAACATTTATATTTATTTCATTCGTTTTTGTTTTTTTTTAAATTTTACCACAGAAAAAGACTGTTTCTACAATCGCTGCCACTACTTTAAGAACACCCTAAAACCCTACACAACCCATAAATATTTAAACCTGGATCAGCATGTGGCCTGGCTCCGAGCGAGGCAGCTCGCGGGCACTGGAGATCATCCCAACGAGTCAGCAGAATGCCGGCGGTAGTAGTCAACAGGAGACGCTGGCCGATATCGAGCATATATCCACCATAGCTGGATCGCTGGCCTCCATAGGATCCATATCGCACACACAAATGAGATATGTAAGTTCAGTGATATAATAAGTGAAAGGAATATGTATATAAATAAGTGGCATATTTTGTATTTCGTAGCAATGTACAAATGATGCTGGCTATGATACGGAACACACCTCCCTAAACTCAGACTTTGATGAGGCTGAACTGCGAAGGGAGTTGCTGAGAGATGTGAGTTCTGATTGGACTTAAATGGAGCCCTATAACCCTTCTAATCAAAAAATATCTTTTATTTCTTCCTCCTCAACCTCCACAGAAATGGAAACTCCTCTTTGATATGGTAATTACAATGCAACCTACCTGCAAGATCTACTGAAAACTAAATTCCTCTTTCATTTCCAGTTTGATCCTGAAGGTTTTGGTGAAATATGCGTCACGGAATTCCTATTGGCCCTCACATCGCCGGAATTTCTATCCCAAGTGCCTATGAACAAGCGGGAGCTGCTGCTGGAGCGCGCTAAGAAGGCCCAAATGCCCACTGGGCCGGGCTATGTAACGTTTCAGGACTTTGTCAATGTGGTGAGTGCTCCATCTACGGCCGGCCATGTGTTGCCAACATCAAACTCGATTTAAGTGCAAACACAGGTGCAAAGTATGTACGCCTCGGACATTGGTGTACTCGGGATGGGCTCGTGTTCAAACAGAGTGCAAAGGAAGGGCACACCACACCACACCACACCACACACTCTTGTTTGGCAAATGCAAAAAGTACGCTCGGCAAATAGACGACGCTGTCGCTGGCTCTGCCTCTGCTCCTTCAGGGCCGAGCGTCATGCCTGGCTGGACATTTGATTGTTTGCCTGGCCGACGTCGTGTGTCTTCTCTGTGGCTCTGCTACTGCTGCTGCTGCTCCTGCTGTTTGTCCTGATGTGGTTCTTACTTACATTGGTTGCCGTGGCCGTGTCCGAAAAAGAGTGTCCAGTCCGGGTGCTGGCTTTCCATTTTAAGCTCGACTGCAGCTGCTGCCACCTCTGCACTGACTTCTTCTTTGGATTTAGCTTTGATTGGCAATCGTACGTATGTACTATTGCATTTTGATTGATTCTCCAGTTGATTGGCATGCACACATGAGTACAGACAGACAGACAGACAGACAGTCGGACGGAAAGACACACACTCCATGCATAATCAATTTCGGAGTGTGCCTCCTTCTTCGTCTCTTCCAATTGTTTGCCCAAAGTGTCCTCAAAGTCATGAATTAGCCATGGCCATCAGCAGCAGCAGCAGCAGGAGCAGGACAATGTCTTTATTTGCCTTCTATCTTTGTGTCCTTCGTTCACTCTCTCTCTCTCTCTTTCTCTGTCTGTGTGTGCTTCAGTCTAACGGTAATTGTGGATGAGCTCCTACGGTGGTGCCCATTCTTTGCACAATGCACATCCCCTGTGAGTACATTATTAGGTCCTTGTTTGGTCACTGCTAATGCATTTGTTATTCCAATTGTGGGCCCAACTCCTCCGCTGCTGCTGCTTATGTTGCTGTTGCTGTTGCTGCTGCTGCCTTTTGTCTGTGGCATTCATATCTTTAGCATCAATCTGAAGATCCTTGTTGCAATCTTTAGTTCGTAGACAACATATTTCCACTTAATTATAAATTTCAATGATCTGCTGCTGTTAGCAGTGTACTGTGGTGGGGGGTTTGGGGATGCCATATGGACCAGGACCTGCCTTCGAACGAAGGAATGCTCCGAACGATGTCTGCTCTGGCAATGCGACATGCATAATGCAGAGAGCTGCTCCTGCTGCTGCTGCTGCTGCGGCTGCTGCTGTTGCAATGGAGATTGCCCTCCGATGATGATGATTGTTGAATTTTTAACAAAAGCTCGCACGTGACAAATCCTTTTATGGCAGCGCAGAGAGCCCTGGGACATGGGACATGGTGGGGACACCACACCGATGATGACCACAGTGATGGTGGCGACGACGACGACGAAGACGACGCCAACGAGGGGCAGATATGTGTTGAACGTTATGACAACTGGTAGGCACGAGGCGACTGCTGCCGCGACCGGACTGTCGTTTGTCTTCCGACGAGGCCGCATCTGGCATCAGGCACACAGCAGGAGACTACCGGCAGCCGGTCAAGAATCAATCTGATGCGTGTGATGGCAAGTACTACAACGACTATGGGATGCTCTAAGAGCAGTAGAATTGGGCACTATAAAAGGTATTCGAGGATTGAAATGGCTACAAGCCTTTGGGTAAAGTAGTTCCTTTGTTTGAGTCCCACTTTGACCCTCTTTGAGGCCTTTGCTTAAAGTCGCGTCTCATTGATGCCATGCCCCGTCCCCGGGCAAAACAAAAGGGTAAGCACTTTTAATTGCAGTCGGAAAGAATCACTCAGCAAAAAGCAAGAACGCCGCCAAGGAGCATTCTTGCATTAATCAGAAAGTCAACGGAGCTGCCAAGCATTCGATCATTCGATCATACATATACCGGCCCCGTACCACGGTTTGGCCTGGTCTCTCCCCATTATCATAATCAGGAGACGCAGCTGGCAGACGCCAAAGCTTCTCAGCTCCAGCTACAGCGCTAACCAGCTGAACCTGAACCTGAACCCGAGACCGAACCTGTGCCGAGCACGCACCAAGAAATTCCAGCGGCTTGTCTTGAATGGGGGCCACTGTTGTGTAGAGAGTGGGGTCTCCTCTGTGCTGGAATGCACAGCCAGCCAGCCAGCCCAGCTGCTGCTGCTTCCACTTCTACATCGAAGATCGAGTTTATTGAATAAACATTCGCGAGTGGAGCTCTAGCTACCAGCTACCAGCTACCATCCATCCTCCGCCGCGGTGGCGTCTGCTGCTGCTGCTGCTCCTCCTCCTTCTGTTGATCTCCAGCTCCGATAGGCGGCGGGAATCAGATCAGATTCGGACTTTGGAGTCCACTGCTGCGGCCTGCTCCTTCTACTTCTGTTTGGTAGGTGCAAAATGCCTTGCGCCTTGGGCTCAGGGGACGCCTGGCAGAAAACCTGGAGGCGATCGCCAAGAAATGGCGACGGCGGCGACGACGACGACGACGATGCGGTATTAAATCAATGCCAATCCATAAATGGCCTACGCGGCGCGTAGATTGAATTGGAATCTCTTGGCGATTTCATTATTCTGCAGTAATATCGCGCAAATCGATGTGGGGTTGGGGGTAGCCGCACGAGTGGCAAACATTTCTGGTTAATTATGAAAGAGAGTTGTTGCCACACGATAGGGATGGTGGACGGGGACGTGGGCTTAGCGGGGAAACGATAATCTAGACTATAAGAAATATTCTATATTTTCTATCCAACATTTATATTCCTAGGGATTCTCAAAGGAATGCCTTAAAGTTCTCTTCCATTCCCTTCAACACTTCTAAGTCCTTGAACAATCGAACTAATCCAGAGGATGCGACTACACTCCGCGTTTAATCGCTTTGACGTTTTTACCAATTGGATTCCCTTGTTTGGCGGACGCCAAAAACAAGTGAGTTCCCCGTTCCGTCTGTTCCGCCGCGCCTTTTTTGATGGCTTGGACGCTTGAACCGTGAGTTGTGTTGTCGATGGAGTGGACGTGACAGTGCCAAAGATGATGTCGCTTGTCCCATTCGCGTACGACTTTCCACTCCCACACATCCTTCACCATTCGACAGTGAGCTTCTGGTCCTCCATCGGACATTGAGGTCTCCTCCTTCTGGTTCTCCATTCGGCATTGAGTTGTCCTCTCTGCTCCTCTATTGACATTGGTCCTTTCCTCTCTGCTCTTCCATCGGCATCGAGGTTCGCTCCCTTACTCCTCCATCGGGACATTGGTTCTCTCTCCCTTTACTCCTCCATCGGGGCATTGGTTCTCCTCCTTTTGCTCCTTCATCGGGCATTGCTGCTCTCCTTTTGGCTCCTCCTGCTGACGTTGTTTGGTCAATGGTCAATTTGGCAGCCGTTTATTTTGATTGTTGTGCATCCGGGGGCAAGGATAACGACGTGCACACAAAATAGACCAGAACCCCAGGAACCGAACTTTTGCCCGGCCATGCCAACTCCCCTCATGCCTCTCTGTCAGAGGCAATGCAATATTTTAACTATCGTCACGAAATTCAACCCAAAAAACGAGAGGATGAACGACCATGTAGATGGCATATCCACCTCTGTTTGGCATCCTGCAGCGTGGCCATGGTCCATGGACCGTTTCGCATATCTCAAAATGATCATTTTTGCATTTTATTTTTGCACGTGAGTCCCGTGGTTCTTCCGTTCCGTTCTGCGTCCATCCAGGCTGCAGGTGTTTGTCCGCGAATACGAGTTTATGTAATCCCCGGCCACATACCGAAAATTTATCTTCAAAACATTTCAGGAAATCGAATTTTGCGTTTTGTTTTTCTCTGTGCGTGTGTGTGTGTAATCCGCTCTGGGAGAATCATCGCCCGCAACACTCTTTCCTGGCGGGGGTTTGGAAATCAAATTAAGTTTCATTTGTTCTTCCATTCCATTGCAAGCCCTGCAACTGCCCCTGCAACATAGAAACGAAACGAACTAATTATGTTGAAATAAATTTAAATGGGACACAGAGCGCACCTGTGACATTTACGACAACATCATAAAAACACAAACCCCGAGCGGAGTAGCTCCAGACTGCAGAGAGGGGTCAATGAATGGGAAGAAGTTACATTGCTGCTGCTGCTTCTGCTGTTGCATTCCTCGTTCAAGCTCAAGTGCCTCGTATAATTGCGTTCTGTCCAAGGCGGAAGCGCAGGCACGGTGTGCGCAATGCGCACATCATTAACCTGTGACCCGACCCATACGCTAATGAGGCATCAGGCCGTGGCTGTGTCCATCCTCTAAGTCTAGGACACGCGTTGCTCAGGTTTACACCTACTCTCCTACTCAACGGCGGTGGCAGCTGGAATCGTCAGATTGCGGCTGCTCAGTGGGTTGGAAAACTCTGTTTTTGGGACTTGAAATGTTTGTTTTTTTGTGGATTGTTTTTGAGCGATATCCGATTTCCAGGCATATGCTTCCTCCATTGGCGGCACGCCCCTTCAAAGGTACGCGCTTGGCCTGTCCTAGATCGAACAGCAGCCAAACAATGCGTATGGCTCAAGTGGAAGGAAGCCGCTCTTTGGCTCTCTTTTAGGTTCCTTTTTGTTGTTGTTGTATGCCATTGCCATTGCCTCCATTTTTGCCAATCTGCTGCCAAACAATGTGAGGAGTGGCTGTGCTGCTGCTGCTGCCTTCGATGTGGAGTGCCTCGCGTGTCATTCCATTTCCGCTTGCCTCAGAAATCGCAAATCAAATACAGAAGTAGAGCGAGCGAGCAACGACAGCTGCTCCTTGGGACTGTGCCTGCTCCTTTTGCATACACATACGCAATGCAAGGCAAGGCAAGGCAAGGAAAGGCAATGCAAGCATATCCTTAATCTATATATGGATTGAAGTCGCATATAGCTTTTGATTTGCAATACAAAAGCCAACGGGCGGTGGCTGTTTGCACTCCAATTCTCAAGACAATAGACGGCGTCAAAGGCCAAAACGTCAAGGTAGTACGATAGAGCATTTTCCACTGATTCATGGATTTCTTAACGTCTTGGCAGTGCGTACTCGTACTCGTACTCCCTCTTTTTCTCCCTCCCTGCCTCTCTGTGTGTGCGAGTTCCCATTGTTCTTGACATCGCAAATACAGGAAACTGCTGCCGCTGCTGCCTGGGAAAGGTGCAAATGAACTTCCGCTCCAAATCAGTTTTCGATTTGCTTTTTCCCTGTCGCTGTCGATGTCGCTTGTCGCTGTTTTCCATATCCATTTCAGAGCTCTTTTTGGCTTTCAGCTGCTTGTTTGCACTTTTTCATTTCCATTCTTTTTGCTGCTTTGTTGCTGCCGCTGGCACGCGCGCCCTGCCTGCACTTTGCAGTCAGATGTCAATCCCCACAGACGAGAGAGACGATTCCCGTCTTAAGCTTAGGAATGGCCACCAATCAATCATCATCTAGCTGCCCCCCCTCTCCCAAAACGGTAGCGCCAAAGCCAAAGCGGCTGAAAGCCTGATTACCCTGTAATTAGGCAGCAAACCTGCCAAAAAAAAAAGGCAAATGTGAATTTAATGAGTAAAAATGTGATAATTAGCGGACATACCGGACCCCCGATGAGGCCGACAAAGGTCACAGAACCGAGGCGTATACCTTATCCTCTCGTTTCTCATCTCGTTTTATCCCAGGACTAATTACAGGGCCACGGAGAGGAGAGTCCCGTCCAAGTCATTTGGCTAGACGAAAACCCACCAGCAGAGGCACAGAGGTCCAGGCACTGGCACAGCCACAGTCACAGTCACAGCAGCAAGTGCATCCGTTCTGCTGTAATTGCTGTGTTTGTTTAAGATTTAAACAACTGTTTTCGAGGGAACGCTGGATGTGCCCTCCAGCGTAATGCAAATTGAATTAGGCCCTGGCATAATATTGTCATTCAATTAGATGATCCGTTGGTCAGGGATTGCGCAGCGCTTCAAGGTGTTGTTTCTGCTTGTGCTGTGCCACAAACAACAAACAAATCCATCCATCCCCACACCCCCATGAAATCAGCTTAGGTTTTCGCTCCTCCAGCCGCTTGGCCTTGGCCTGAAAGCAGAGCAAAAACAAATGTTAATCAAATGGAAGATTTCATGAGCTGCAAAAGAATGTGCACTTAGGAGCCGGGGGGGTATGCAGGCGGACACTCCGCTTCTGGTGACACATCTCTGGGCGGGTACAACTCTCTTTTCCATTCGCTTTTCCCCCACTTTTCTGCTGCCGCTGCCTGACTTCAGTTTATAAATATTGCTCAACTGTTTGGAATAAAAATGTCAACACGGAGCCAGAACGAGCTACGAAATGCATAATAGAGTGGTATACAATGCCTGACCGCTGCCCGACGCTGCCTGGCCACCAACACGGATGCAGGCTCCGGAGCTGGGCACACCGCCGGCGGAGATGTCCTTTTTTGCGCATTGCCATGGGCTGACACACACATGTGTGTGGTGGTGGTGGCGGCAGTGCTGCAACGGACGTAATTCAAAGGAATTTTTTCCATGCCCTGCCTCATAGAGGAAGCCGCCAACGTCGCAGTCGTTGCTTTTGCTCCCCTCCTCCTCCACCAAAGGCAATGGTCCATGTTTCACCATGTCCGGGGTCCTGTCCTGCTCGTGTGTTAAATGTTTTGCGTCAATTTGTCGCTTTATGTTTGCGACGCGACCCAAAAAAAAACACACACACACACCCAGGCCCTGCGGAAAGGAGCAAACGTGAATGGAGCAGAGAATCATATAGTTTTAACACAGTTAAATGAGAGTCCAACGTTCACATACCTGGTGACGTCATGCGGTGACCAGGCAGGCTTGGCTTTCATTTGCTCTTGCGTCTGCGTCTGCCCAGGTAATGACATTATCAGCCGCAGCAAGGACACTGTTCCACGGCGGCATTGGCATCGGCCTCGGCATCCCATGGTGCGCAGTGCGCACACGGAGTCACTAAACAAACGATAATGCAATTCTTTCGGCAGCCCAACCCTCCTCCATTTGGCCCTTTTTTCCCGTGTATGTTGTGTGTTTTGATCGCTTGATCTTACCGAAAAGAAACCAAACCCCATTTGTCACTTGGCCACAATGCAATGTGCATCACAATGCACAAATTCGTAAAGCATATTGTTGGTGCAATTGTAACAATTTAATACGAAGAAATGTAATCGGAAGTTAATCGGAACCTCCGAAGAACTGAGGCGGCAAGACAGGAGTAAAGTGTGATTATTGGCTATAGCAATATATAGCATCGAAGCAAACTTCGATGGCGCGACAATGTCCGGATTTTTTTTTGTTTGCAGATCTGTTTTGTTGTGATCAATAATTGAACGTTTTTTAACACTAGCCAGCAAGTGGACGTGGCAGTGCAAAAGGAGAAAGAAAGAGAGGGATAGCAAAGTGGAGACTGCAAAAGAGACTTACGCACGCCGGCGGGAACGATGTCGTGTCGGACGTTTCCCCATTCAGCAAAATAATTCATTAGTTAAGTGTTGAGTGTTAATTGTGATTAAATTATAAATTGTGTTGAATTAGCCGAGCATCATGGCAAATTGATTGGAAAGCAGCTGGGGCAGAAAGCAGAGAAAATCCAGCCAGGCTAGGATTTCACCGCGTAAGTGGATCTACGATGCGCTGCGCTGCTGGGAAGCTCGTGTAGAGTTAAACATGTGTTTCCAGTAATTGGAAATACACCCACACATTGATATGTGCGGTGCTGCCACCTTGTGCTGTTTGCTATGCAAATGTTGTGTGTGTGTGCGAGACAAACAGAACTAGAGAGTAAATCGTAGCCGCAAGCCGTCCCCCGCCCACTCCCCGCTCTTTGCCTGGTGATTTATCAATTAAATAAAATTTGATAATTACTAGCATTAAGCAAGCTGAAGTGGCAGACTAGCGCTGATTAGCCACAAGTAGTAGTGACACTGCCCAGCTCTCACTCACCGACTCTCCCGCCCCCACCGCGCATAGCGGAAGTAACTATTTTGTGAGCGTTCTCTTTTTTTTTTTGCCTTGTGGCTCTGAAACTTAATTTGTGGCGGTTTTTTCTTGTTTTCCTTTCGTAATCGTGCATTTTAATTGCGTGTAGGCTTCATTTGGATTCTTCTGCACCCCACGCCCCCCTGACAGTTCCACTCGCTTTTAATTAAACACAATACACATTTTCCGCCTTTTGCAGATTTTCGTCTTGTTTCTGTTGTTGTTTTATGAGCCGCCTTAATTGCGTGGCCCGTTTCGCATCTTTGTTAACATCTTAATTACATAATAAAAACTATTTAGTTTTGCGCTAGTCACACACTACGCGTAAGCCAAATGCGAATCCAAAGAGTTGTGTGAGTTGTGTTCATAATTTTATGGCTCGCTTAGTTTTGGGGTTAAAGATTTATGCCCTCAGGCTCTCCAAAAAAAACTACTTGGGGAGAGAGTGCGTGCTTGCTTCCTTGTGTGACTGTCTCTCTCATTCCTACGCATTTCATCAAGTGTGGAGAATAAGAATTACGTTACGGTAAATGTCCTCGCTCTCCAAGAAAGAGATTGCATGTGTTACTATGTCCATCCCACTCCAATTCATTAGCTCAAAAGGTGGTTAATGTCATCTCTCCATTGTTATTGTATGTTCCCCTGCGTGTGACTATATGCATCCCACTTCAATGCATTCAATTACAATACCACTGTTACGATAAATGAATCGTCGGGGGCCACCATATACTCGAATTTGCGGGTTGCCACCCGGAGAAAGCACAGCTTGTCGGTGGGATCCAAATCCCGGACAGCGCTTTGGGCCAATTTCACAAAACTCGAATTCAAATGCTTGACGATCGCAACGGCCGTGCTGTTGTCGAAGGAGGTTTGCATCAGGGTATCCGAACCAGTCTCGGACACCACATATCCACTCGTCTGCTCCGTGATGCGTGCCGTATTCTCCGCATTTTGTTGGACGACAAGGGTCAAATTTTTATAATTCGACTTCATTGTAGAAAATATATATATCGGCGGAGATCCGTATGCTATCAGGGGGATGATGAATGAATCGTATGTGTGCTGCCTTGAATTTGGAAGCAAAGATTCCTGGATCTACTTTTTTTTCAGCCTCCTTTTTCGATCTCTTTCAGATGAGCGGCAAGCGAACGCGCAGCTTTAAATGTGCCGTCCATCATCGGGATCGCGAGGTCTGCTCTGAGAACGATTTTCAGCTGGTGCTGAGCGAACCGCCGCTCTTTCGAAAGATGGTGCATGCTGTGGCCATGGAAATCCTCCCCGAAGAGCGGGATCGCAAGTATTATGCAGATCGATACACCTGCTGTCCACCGCCCTTCTTCATTATCCTTGTGACAGTCGTGGAGGTGGGTAATCCCTTGTTTTCCAAAGCTTTATCTAATGTTTCTCGCGCTCTCCTCCTCCATAGTTGGGTTTCTTTGTGTATCACACGATGGTCACGGGCGAGGCGGCACCACGAGGACCCATACCCACCGATTCGATGTTCATCTACCGACCGGACAAGCGGCACGAGATCTGGCGGTTTCTCTGCTACATGGTGCTGCACGCTGGATGGCTGCATTTGGGCTTCAATGTGGCCGTGCAGCTGCTGTTCGGCCTGCCGCTGGAGATGGTCCATGGGTCGACGAGGATCGGCTGCATTTACTTCTCGGGCGTGCTGGCTGGATCGCTGGGCACCAGCATCTTCGATCCGGAAGTGTATCTGGTGGGCGCCAGTGGCGGTGTCTACGCTCTGTTGGCCGCCCATCTGGCGAATGTTCTGCTCAACTATCACCAAATGCGATATGGAGTGGTACGACTGCTGCATATATTAGTTTTTGGTAAGGCACTGAGAGTCGGCCAACAAAAGAAAAACAGCCATAACTTATAGAGAAACGTTTTTGTCTTGATTTCCAGTTTCATTTGATTTTGGTTTCGCCATCTATGCGCGTTATGCCGGCGAGGATGTGATGCTGTCGAGTGCCGCCGTTAGTGAAGTACAGCATGTCACAGATTCCACGGAAACTGTGGCCGCCGTCTCCTTTGTGGCCCATCTGGCGGGTGCTGTGGCGGGCCTCACCATCGGGCTGCTGGTGCTGAAGAGTTTCGAGCAGAAGCTGCACGAGAATCTCCTCTGGTGGATTGCCCTTGGCTCCTACTCGGCCCTGGTGGTCTTTGCCATTGCCTTCAACATACTGCATGGCTTTGCTTTGTTTAATATGCGCATGGAGAAGATACGCGTCACGGAGACGTACTTCAGCGACTTTCAGGTGTGAGAGGGATTGAAGATCCCTGGAACCTGGATTCATGCTGGATCCTGCTTTGTTTTTCGTATTTTTGGTTACATTTTTGGATCATTTCTGTTTCATTTGTGTTCCGTTGGAGTTTTTATTGTTTTTCGAACGGCGATTAAGTTTCCAGTTTTTCCAGTTTAATTGTTTTTGTAATGTGCGTATCTGCATCAATCAGATATATCGAGCACTATATATCTATATATATATATTTATTATATATAGGGGACAAATCGTGTCGTGTAATCATTATATTATGTTCTGTTTTTGATAGTTAAGTACAAAGAATCGATGGAAAAAGTATCAGAATCATTGAAACGAGAGATATTTACAACAAATCGAACTGATTAGGTGTAACAAAATGCTCAAGGAATTCGATATATATGTAGGTATATCTATAAATGCAAGACTTTCTAGGGAATAATGCCATCAAGGAATCAATTTAAGCTGAACAAAAATAAATATAGATGCCGATATTGGCAATGCAATATTTATACGAAATTCGTACAGGCCTTAATACACACACACATTGATATGATGATAATTCCTACCTCAGCATAAAAATATAGCTTACAAAAGTATGATTTAATTGGTTTCAATTTGATATAGCCGCAACACTGCCAGATTTTGTGGATAAATTAAGGGACTAGGCACCAAACCAATCGATATTTGCATAGATATATACACCTTTTGTATTTACAATGTTTGTTGTACTTGTAAATAAATTGAATAAAATCGGCCATTATTTTCAAGCAATAATTTAAATTTGAATTTGAATTGGGCGCGCTAACAACTGAGCTTAAAGGTGTGGTTACACCACAAGGTGTGGTGACACTTGTTGCTTGTCTCCACGATCAGCGGCCATTTTTGGAGAGTTCGTGTTCGCAGTGCGCGTCTTGTTTTATTCACGTTTTTGCGTATTTAACGATAAAAAATGGCAATATATTATTATAATCTTCTAAGCTATGGCATCGCCCGACGGGGAGCAGTGAAAACATTTCAATTACATCAATTACGTGCATATTTGCAACCAAACCAAAGGAGCAAACGCCTACAACATTATTGCTCTTGTCGACAAGTCTCCACGATCAGCAGGCTATTCTTGGAGAGTTCGTGTTGTTCTAGTGCGCGTCGCGTCGTGTTTTTGTCGGGTATTCGCGTATATAACGATAAAATGTGGCAATCCATCCTTATCATTTCACGAGTTATGACATATCCTGACGGAGAGCAGTGAAAAAACTAAAATTTCTTTTGACACGCGCACCTGTGCCACGACAGTGTCGCCAACATGAGGCACCCACACACCGCACGTCTCGAACAACTTTGGCTTTTTTTGCGTGGCTCCTTTTTGCTGTGTTGTGTTGCGTGTTTGTGACATCTACATTTATGTCCAGAATGAGCCCGTCACCCCCGCCATCGCCCGCATCCTCTGCGGCAGTGCAGTTAACAAATCCCAATCCCAGCTGAGGGACACGGAATTTATGTTTTATTTGTGGATGCGTACATATTTCACCGTTAAGTCATTCGTCAGCGTTGTCACCTAACGGAAATAAGCAATGGCAAAAGAAAAGAAGTGGAGAAGGAGGAGGAGGAGGCAGAAAAAGTGATGAGAAAACAAATGCAAAAAGATGGAATAAGCAACAACTGTGTCCATGCGCCGATTTCCTTTCGGACAAAAGATGCTGCTGCCCCCACATTGACGCTGATTAATGTTGGAAATGTGATAATTTGATGCTGCCAACGCCAGAATAAAAGGTAAGGGTAGAATAAAGGAAGGCATGTAGCATGTCAGCGGCTGCAGGAGGATAAGCAGTAGAAAATAGGAGGTGGAGAAGTTGTTAGAGTTTGGGGTGAGCGCAGTGGGTGGAATGTATTTCAGGTGTAGAGAGAGGATGGAATGCATTTTAAATGATGGGTACGGTAAAGAGAGTGGGTAGATCCGGCATCTCAATTAGAGTGAAGAGAGTGGTTGTGATGACCGCCAAGAAAGGGTTATGGTGGAGAGAGTCGGTGGAATGTTGTTAAAAAGGGGTTAAGGAAGAAGAGAGTGTGTTGAAATGTATTCCAGGTGTATGTTCCATTTACAGGTTAGGGTGAAGAAAGTACATCGAATTTTTGATTAAAAAGGAAGCAACTAGTACAAAAAAAATAAAATAAAATTAATATAAAGCTGGTTTATATCTTCACGTCCCACTAAGTCATTTCTGCGTTAAGATAATACTTAGATTAACTGCAACGACTCCACCAAACTTCATCTTCTTCTTCAGTTTGAACGAATACCAGCTCTGGAGTACATAAATCATATCAATAGCCGTCGTCCTCCAATCGAAGCTTCGAGTGCAGTTTGGAATTCAACATTGCTGGAAATTCCACTGTGTCCACTTCTGACTTTACTCCTGACTCCACACTGGATGCGATGCTCTTGGTGGTGCTGCTGCTGCCCCATCCGATGCGGTGAGCAAACACAAACATGTTTATAAAAAGTACAAGTTAATATTTATGTAATTCAAACAGATGCGAATGAACGAACGAGACAAGGAGATCATTACATTGACATATTCAGGCACACACAGACCCACCAGTCCATTCGTGAGGCATTCCACAGAAACAATGAGGATTGGAGCACGCGACCATGTAGCAGAGAGACGCAGACACTGCGTCCCACGCGAAGCAGAAATCAACCTGCCCCGTGCCCGGTCCTTTTGTTTTGAGGAGGCTGAGGAGAAGAGGCATTCACATCTCACAGTTGTCGTCGCTCTATCTGCAACATGGACATGGGGATTCGCATTCGAACTTGGACTCTCTGCCACAGGAATGAATGCTTATCAAAAAGGCGCACTTGTACCTGTCATAAAACCAACTGAAATATTGGCGTGGCACAGCCAACAGAAAAGAGACCCCAAAAACCAGAGAAACAGAAAGAGAAACAGGAACAAGTGCGAGTCCTCGCCCTCACCCTCACCCTCTCCCTGGTGGCTTTTGCAGTTAATTCTTTTTTAATAAACTGCACAAAAGTCCACTCCAGGTGGAGACCAACAGAAAACTGAAAGAGAAAAAGGAGTGTGGAATGGCGCCCCAGGAGTTGTCGTCCCAGGACTTGTGGCCATCCATTTATCTCACTCGACAAGGCAAATATGGAAATTTGTTGGCCAAGAGTTGGCGGCTCTTGGCGGCTCTTGGCGGCTCTTGGCGGCTCTTTGTGTCGTGCGCTTAAACCGCTTCATTAAACACTTGGCGGCCCGGTTCCACTGTGTGTATGTGTGTGTCCTGGGCAGGTCTCCTGACTCCAAGTGCTCTTTATGCTCTGGCGCTACAATTCATTTCTGCGGCTGCGGAAAATGTTTAGAAAAAGGAGCGAAAAATGGAACCGCAGCAGGACTAATTATAAAGAATGAAAAGAAGGAGACGGTGGAGTGTACTCCGGACAAACAAAATTAATGCTGAAACCAGGACAAAAGTTAAATAGGACCAACAGGACAAACGAAACAGCGAGAAAGGCATGGAGAGAGCTGCGGGGTAAGTGTATAAAGCGGGGACTTTGTGTGATATATTCGGGGTATGGGTAAACCAATTCCAACCAAAACCCCATATTGGATTACCTTTAAGCTCCCTGTCCTGTGTCCTATGTGTCCTACGTGTCCTTTATGGGCCTTTTAGGTTAATTGCTTCTATTGCATTCGCCTTAGCCATTAACTGGTGGTCATATGAGGTCATGAGCCATCTCCTCCTGCACGTCACACGAAACGTACGACTAATACAAACGGAATTAGCTCTCATATATGCAAAAGACCCCAAAAAGGGGCAGAGGAGCTAATGTTGTGGCAGTGGGGTTCTGCGTGGCTCCTCCCACTCATTCGTAGTGTCGTGGGGCAGACACCTGTGCGTGCTTGCTGGCAGTTTCCTCGTTTTCACAGACAACAAAGGATTTAGCCAGCCATTTTTCGTGTCAAAGTCGTCGTGTGGCTGCCAGACATTTTCATAATTTTCACATGCTCGAAAATCCCTCAAGGAAAAGGAGTGTGGAAAGCAGTCACCGTCCTTGCCACGGGGTGTGCCTCTTAATTGCCCTGACGACTGCCTCTGTGGCAGGGGTAATGCTATTAAAGGAGAAGCCAATGATGACGAGTGCTGTGCTGCGCTGTCTGTCACCTGCTGGGATTTTGTTGTGGCAGTGGGCTCTGGGAGGGGAATTTGTGGCACTTTGAGAGTGGTAGCGGGACGCTGGGATTGGCAAGGCGCCTCTTCTCCAAGGTCGCTTTTTGTGGGAATATTGATGACTGGGGGATTCTGATATTTTCTACTTCAAAAAAGAACTCAAATCTACGTTGATTTTTGTTTTAAAAATTGTTAAAGTATTCTTATTAATTATAAACAAAAATAAAATGATTAAGGGTAAAATTGCTGGAGAAGGACAGGAGTTGAGTCCATTGCCTGATCAGAAGCAAGATACTGCGCTTTTGAGTGTTTCTTTCTCTCCTGCCCAAAAGGAGCAACAGATCTCTCCCTCGCATGCCCAGAAGGAGGAGCGTTCTTCTCTCTCGCTGCCTGTGATAAGCTACACGCGCTTCCAAGACGAAACCGAGCTAACGGTCCTGCAGGGCCTCATTGACAAGACCCTCTCGGAGCCGTACACCCTCTACACGTATCGCTACTTTGTCTACAACTGGCCCGAGCTCTGTTTCTTTGCACGCGACGAGGATCGTTATGTGGGCGTGGTTGTGTGCAAGCTGGAGTCCAACGGAGTGGGTTTGTTTCAGGGCTACATAGCTATGCTGGCCGTGGATATGGCCTATCGCAAGCAGCACATTGGCCGGACGCTGGTGGTGAAGGCCATCGAGGCGATGGTGGCCAAAGATGTGGATTTGGTGGTGCTCGAAGCGGAGTACTCGAATACGGCGGCATTGGCCCTGTACGAGAGTCTTGGCTTTATACGAGAGCAGCGTTTGTTCAAGTACTACATGAATGGGGTGGATGCCTTTCGTTTGAAGTTGTGGCTAAAGAATGTTATGGTGCCATTGTCGTTGGATAACTTTGATGATGAATATTGATATTGATACTGCTCTGGCCTCCACTCGTTTATTTCCATGTGTTAATGAATGTTTTATGAATTGAGCTAAAAGCGTTTTCCTTTTAAATTGTTTCCCAGAGAGAAGCGTCCTTGGTGTGCCACTCTTAGCTACTTGGGTAGCCCTCTCCTTTCAGAGGGTCCTAAATCACAGGTAGTTTGCCTTATCGACGAGGGAGTCCTTCTAATTGAGCGACAACAGGCGAGAGAACTGCCGAAAAGTCATGTGGAGAGACCAGTAGAAAGGGATAATTGCTTTTCAGGGTCAAAAGAAGTCTGCAAAGTACATTTAGAGCAGAGCAGGAGAAGAAGTAGCCCTGTCGATAAGATTTTCCAGTGGATTCCCCTTTAGGTGTGTGGTCTCAGTAGTCCCAAATGGAATGCGTCTTGGGATCTTGGTTGAGTTCTAATTTAGAAGCGAGAACTTTCTGTACTTTCAGGTTCTTTGATTGCAAAATAAAAAAAATACTTGAAGGACCATTGAACCCCGGGTCTCTCTCTCTGTGCCTTTTGGATCGTTGATCTCTTGTGATATCCCCACTCGAAACATGCTTACAGCTTCCTCAGTTGAGCACAACAGAGATAGAGAGAGAGGGGTAGCTCTGTCTGCCACTGCCACTTCACCTTCTTCCACCAAATATAAACAAAAACGTTTCAAAGACAACTTTTGGGGCAGGTGGCAGGCAGCAGAGCTACAGCCACAACCAGAGCTCTGAGCCTCAGAGCTTCAGCTTTCTGAGTTGCAACTGCAGCTTGTGTCCAGATGACATGCAACGTTTGTGGCACAACAAGCAGCAGCAGTAGCAGGAGTAGCAGCAACAGCAGCAGCAACAGCAGCAGCAGCGGTGGACTGTAAGACGGTTGGCGGCGTTGATTGAGTTGCACCTGCCATTCGCAGAAACAAGCTCAACGAACGAGAAGCAGCAGACTGAGGTGGCAAGAGGCAAGAGCCGAGTCACAGTGGAGGCTGTCCCGATGCCCGCGTTATTTATGTGGATTTTTCGGAGATTTCGCAGAGTAAAGAGAGGAGAGTGAGCAGAGGACCAGGCCTGTGCCTGATGCCTGTCTGACCTCGTCTCTCCATTTCGTTGTGGCGCATCGGTTGACATTGTGCCTCTGAATTTCAATTTGATGGCCGAGTGAGGCGGCAGGCGGCAGCTTCTGTCTACCATAAATCTCTCTATCTCTCTCTCTGCAACTCCGCAAGCAACTCTTTGTAGCATAGATTGGAGTGCCACTCCGCCCCCTAAAATGGCACTGCCACTGGACTTCATTCTGGAGAAGGGGGGATAGGAGGAATGCCTCCGATAATTGTATAATTTAATGTGGAATTAATTGGCAGATGCAATCAAGCGCAGCATCGACATCTCCTTCGACAACACGGAGGACAGGACAACTCCTGTTATACGCTTCTTTGATTATGCACAATTATTAATTATTGTTGTGTGTTTCCATTGCCTTCATATTTAATTCAAATTTCGAATGAATTCCTCAAGTTGAATGCTGATTAGGGGGGTCGGCATAATCCAGGGGATAATCTATGGGGAAGATGAATTATTATTGGACTTGGAACTCTCTTTTTGTGCTTCTCATTTTATAGGTAGATATACTAGTATATTGACTGCTGGGAGAAAAATACACATCGACTGCTGCCGATTCTCTGTCCCGCTCCCCGCTCTGCTCTTCGAACTGCCACTAGTAATATAGGGCAAGTATTGATTTAGGGGGAGCTGAGCTCTCATCAAAGCCACCCTTCTTTGACTGGCAAACATTTAATAAAGAGCTATTGAGACTAAGGGACTACTTCGCATGAGGAATTTGAGGTGAAAACTATACATAAAATAATCCAAAATGAATATAAAATAACCAACTTTTAATTCTTCAAATAACTATGCGACTTACACCTAAAGTTTTCCTACATTCTTTCTATGACAAACACAATCTGAAATATAATATACCCTCATTCTCTATGCATAGTGGGTATACCAGGCATTCCATTCCATTCAGAAAATAACTGTGCAGAGTGGGGTCTTAATTAAGGATTTTCTTGGAGCTTTAGTTGCAATTATTCACTCTGAATGACAGAGAGGTTCTCTAGTGAAGTTCCCCTCCCCTGCCCACTGCCTTGTTCATTTTTTATATAGAACAAATATCGATTGCAGAAGGGAACTGGGGAACTCTCTTCCATTTCCTAGCATTTCCTTTTTTGGGTTTTGTCCCCGCCCTGGAGATATGTTTTTTGTGATTGAGAGAAAAACGAGACCGAGGAGGAATTTCATTTATAATTTAGACATTTATTTTTGTTTTTGTTCAATTTTAGTCCGTTGTTTATTTATGTAAGATTTTTCGTTTCGTTTCGTTTATTTTTTAATTTGTATTTTTTCGGATTTTTGCATATTTGCTATTTGATTTTTGTGTTGTCTCTAGTCCACACAGATCCTTGAGGGAGGGTATCCTTATGGGGTATTAGGGGGTGTGTTATGGGGCTTAAGAAGGAGCTTTATATTTTGTGGTTTTCCATTATATTCTATTTGGCTTACGCTCTGCTGACTTTTTCATGCCAGATTATCTATTTGATTACTATTTGAATAGTACATGAAGAGTACGAGTATCTTTTGGATTGTTTTCGATACTATCTAATATGTGTATGTGTGTTTATATAGTTCAATTATTTACTGCCCTTTCAATTGAGGTGGGAATCAAACTGAAAAAAGATAAACTAAAATAAATAATATTGTAGTAATAAAAGGAAACAAATTGTTCATGTATTTTTGTTGTTGTTGATAATTCTTGTATTTTCTTTGGCTTTTCATCGTGTCGTGTGTATTTTTTCTGTATATTTTTCTTTTGAATTTTTTCTCATATTACATTTGTTGTTGTGTTTTTTTCGTGCTTTTTTCCACTAAATTATTAAATAAATAAATAAATTGACAAAAATAATAAACATTTAAATAAATATATAAATTAGTAATACTTTTTTTGTGTATTGTATGTATCTCTCTCTTTTTGTTGTTTCTGCATTTTGGGGGGGGGGATTACTTATAATAAATATTTTTCTTTTCATTTCAGTGAATTTTCATTTCCCCCTACTATATCTTGTATCTATCTATCATTTATTTTCTATCTCCTATCTTCTGTTTTGACTAGTGTGCGGACTTAATATTATTTACAATTTGTTAGGTGATTTCTATACATTTCTAGATCTCTACAGCAATCGTGATTTTTTTCTTCTTGTTGCTGTCATTCATTGAAAAATCCTAAATTACAGTAGAATTATATAGCATGTGGGGGGCGCCAATAAATACATAATTTAGAACAACCATTTAAGCGAAGAAACAAAATAAAATTAAGTGAAAAAAACATTTCCATTCCATTTTGATAATTGCTTTATAGAGCGAGAGGCGCTGCCTGGGATTTTCCTCTTGTTTTCCTGGTTGGTTTTTTCTCTCTGCCATTTTCTTCTTTTGTTTTAGTTTTTGTATTTTTACACGCAAAATAAATTCAGTCTTTGGTTCTATCACAACATTTTGTTTACACGTTTTTCGGCTTTCGGTTTTTCTTTTTCTTTTGTTATTAATTTTTTCTGTTTTCGAAGTTTTTTTGTTTTGTTTTTAATATGTGAAAATGAAAGGCGGAAAATGAAACAAGCCAATGGGTTGACCTTTAACGGTAACTAGAAAACGATAACGATTAACAAAGAGTGTATATCGATAACGATTAACTATAATTGAAAATCGATAACGAACCGAAAAAAAGGTTGAAAATTCAAACGAATTTCGAATTTAGTTTTGAACTAAAAATCGTTGAGTGAACTTTTTTTCTCTTTCTCTGTTCTCTCTCTCTCAATCTGGAGCACTCTCTTTTCTTTCTCTCTACCTTCGCTTGTGTCTATAGGTCTCTCTGCTAAGGATCCGCTGATGATGTTGATGATCCAACCCAACCACACTCCAGTCCCTTTGCTGCTTAGGACACACCCAAGTCGTGCAGCAGATGCTGTGTAATGACCTCTCCCTGCTCCTCCATCAGCTGTGCGGTAACGGTGTTGATCAGATTGAACACAATCGCAAAGACGGTGAAGGCACAGTAGACGCCGAGGGCCAGCCACCAGATGAGCTGCTCGTACTCCCGATGCCCAAAATTCTTGAGCACCAGAAAGCCAATGGTGAGCCCTGCCAGAGCGCCCGTTAGATGAGCAATGTACGAGACCTGTGGTCCCTTGGCGAAGGCCGCGGATGCCGAGGATGTGGCATCGCCGCCATCAAAGTATTGCGTGTAGAGAGCATAACCCAAATCGCAGGAAACTAAACAGAGAAAAGAGTAGATAAAGGGGAAAGGATTTTGGTTAGTAAAAATGCTACAGAGATGCCTCTGGAGAGGAGAAGAGAGCGGTATCTGTTTTACTTACCAAAAATAACCACCGAACCGAGTTGTGTGGACGCAGACTTCATGTGCGCATAGTTCAGAGTGATATTGGCCAAATGGGCGGCCAACAGTGCGTAGACTCCACCACTGGCGCCCACAAGAAACACCTCCGAATCGACGACACTCGTTCCAAGGGAGCCCGCAAAGACGCCGGCCAGATAGATGACACCAATGCGCGCCGTGCCATGCATCACCTCCAGGGGAATGCCAAAGAACAGCTGAATGATGATGTTGAAACCCAAATGGAACCAATTCGCATGCAGGAACATGTAGCTGAAGAAGCGCCACACCTGGAGGCGACGATCGGGTCGATACACAAGCACCGAATCGCTGGGAATCGGCACGGGAAGACCGAAATTCTGGGCAGGCATGGTATAGCGATCATAGGCAAAGATTGCAATCTGTAAGGAAAATAATATAGAATGGGGTTTTAGTATGGGTTGCAGAAGGGGTTTCCCCATTTCCCTGGCTCTGATTTATGTTCTTGGCGCTGTCTGGCACGCGATGGTGTCCCAAAAAAAAAAACAAAAACGATTGCCAAATGGGGGCAGGGGATTCGTCCTTCTTTTTGGCATTTGTTCAAACAACAACATTTCATACGCCCTGTGGGGCAGGACTCACTCCCTCTCTATATCTCTCTGGGTGTGCCCCCTCCCCACTCTTTAAGTTTAGTTTCTAGCCAAATCATTTCCACAATTTCCCTTCAAAAGAAAAGCTTTTGGCTGTTCTCGCTCTCGCTGCTCTCTGTCTCTCCTTTGCTGTTGCTGTTGTTTGTTGTTCGAGTTGTTTACAATCGATTTTCGGGGGTGGCGCCACAAAGTCAGACGCAAAGACACAGACACACACACAGACAGGGGGTGGGGTAAACTAAGTAAAACTTCCGCTCTCTTTTTGTAGCACTTTTTGAATCATTTTCTGTTGCTTTGCGTTGATAGTTTGAGTATTTATAAAGTTTTTTCTAGGGGCATTCATTCGTAATAATCATAAATATGGAATACCCAATGGGATAGCGCATATACTCGTGGATATGGATATATATTAGATATGTTTTTCAGGGGATTTAATGCTCACCTCAATGATGGAGATTACGAGGATAAACCAGGGCCAGTGCTTGCGATGCTCGTACTTCAGCAGACTCATATCATCCCCAGATGCATCCAACGGTGTGGCAGCAGCAGGGCAGGACATGGGCATGGTCATTGCCTCGCGTTGCATGTAGATGTGTTCGCCCTGTCGCGTGCAGCAGGTACTGCTGGCCGTGCTACAGTCCGTGTCATAGGAGGAGGACGCAGACGAGGACGATGATGAAGATTGGCAGGCAGTAACGGCAGTGGGAATGTCAATGATGGTCTCCGCCTTCTCCGCCTTTATGGGCGTGGCATCTGCCACTTGCATTTTGGTTTCTGTTGTGCTATCCATTTTTGTATTTGTTTTAAATCCAAGATTTTTCACTTTGTTTTTTCTGTAATGGAAAACCATTTAAAGTCGATAATTAATTAACTTGAACCACAGACAGAAACAATAAACAAATCAATTAAGTGCATAAATTATTCATAAAATGAAGTCTCCCTCCCTCAAGCTCTGGATGCAACGAACAAAAACAAGAGAAATTACAACACTTCTTTGTGGGGGGAGGAAAGGGAGATAAATTCTTGTGGGAATTTGGAGGAGATTTTCTGTTTATGGTTTTGAGACTTTATCCACTTCCTGGTTGTTTTCCCTGGAAAAAACTGGGTCACCAGTAACATCTCTTTCTCTCTCTCTCTCTCTGTCTCACTTTGTGTTTCTTGCTCATAAAATTTGATGGGCCTTTTGGAAAAAAAAAAGTTTTTCTTTTCTTGTGTCTGAGTTTTTCTTTTGGGGGGCTTGTCTCTCTCTCTCTCGCTCTTTAGCTACCTCTAAAATTAGCCATGAAGCATAGTCAAAGTTTTCCCCAGCCTGATTGTGGGTTCTCTCTTGTGGAGTGTGGCATGGCCTTCGTTTCGCTATTTATGTAACTTTTGTTGTTGTTGTTTTTAACTGCATTTTCTGCTGCGTTGCCTCCGCCAAAATCCCCTCTTCATCGTCATCCGTTGCCTAATGGCCAACTAATCAGCTAATGGTCGGAGCATTAGGCACATTATTGTACGGAGTAATTTGCAATGACAACGAAACGAAAAGAAAACATTTTTCAAACAAAATTATGTTAATCGCATTCGATTCAATTACACACAGAGCTCCAGAGACAGCTCCCAGCCACAGCCAACAACATTCGGCATTCGACATTCAGTGTCGCTAATGATCGAAAAAAAAAGCTTCTTTAATTCTTTTTGTGAGCCACAATTGTTGCTATTGTACACTCGAATCGAAAGCGAATCAAAAATCATACAATTTTCATTGGCTTTTGCCTTTGCCTTGCACAATTCGAAAATTCAACTGCCAGCAGCGCGCCAACGCGTCTCTGTCTCTGGCACTTCCTCTGCAAAGCAGCGGCGACGGCGCCTACGCCAAAAAAACTAAAAAAAAGCCACAAGTAAAAAATGAGACTAAAGACTGGCTTTTAAGGGGTTTTTGAGACTGAAGATACCCTGGAGGAAAATAGTTTTTTGACTATTATGTTGTACTCGAAATTTCAGAATTAATCAATAATTTTTCCTTTTTGGATGTAATTTGTCTGGAAAAATATTGAACTAATATTTTCCAGAGCATTTTCTGTGCTCCCCGAGAATTGTGTATTCAATCCTCTCACCGAAAGTTCCTTGAACCCTTGACTGTCCTTATTATAATTTCATATTTGTCATACTTTTTAATTAGAGGGTATTATCCCAAGTACAACTACTACTCTATATCTCTCTCTCCCTCTTTGTCTTTCTCTGACTGTCTCGAGGTCCAAGTCGCTCCCTCCCTCTCTCTGAAGTTGGGTCTGAAGTCTGTCTGCTGTGACGCCTGCACTCATACGCATTGGTATGGCCATACATTGCTGTTGCTGCTGTTTTTGTTTTTGTTGCCGTTGCTTTTACTGTTGTTGTCTGGTATTATTGTAATTACGTCTGAGTTCGACCCACACCTGCACAAGAAAAGGAGTGAGGAGTATGTATGGCATGTGGTATGGTGTATGGTGTGTGGGAGCACCAACAACTGACCGAAAACCGCTCCCGCTCCACCGCTCCCTCTCTGAGGTTCGTTTCGTTCTTTTGGCTGGGGGTTGGGGTTGGATTTGGTTCGTTGTTCCTTTGTTTGGTTGCCTAGCAATTTCAATATAACACGAAATCGCAGCAGGTCTGCCACTCTACCTCTTGCTTATTAATTAATTTATTTATTAAATTTAATTATGGCATTTTTACGAATTTTGCGCAAGATACCAACGCTGCTGTGTGGCATGCTGCTGCTGCTTGCTGGCCTGCACTGAATGCCCAGGAGAGCATGAATGAACATGAACGCATGCATGAGTGCAGCCAAAATGAAGAAGATATCTGTCTGTCTGTCTGTGTGTCGTGTCTGCCTGTCTATGGATTTCGAAAGATACTTTTAAGTATTCTAAATTAATTCCAACTTATAACTCAAATGGAATGTGTCTGTCCAAAGAATTTCACATAGTTTTTGCCTGCGACCCGCGAGTGTAATTTGCATTTTGCATTCCACTTGCACCCCTAAAAAAAAAACACACACACGTAGTAATGGTAGTTGCAACCGGGTTGAATAAACTCATTACGCTGCATGCCCCCTGCCCCGTCTTCTAGTCTCTTTTCCCCCATTTTGCGACAATTTCTATTGGGGTTTTTTTGTTGTTGTTGTTTTTGTGTTGCAGTCATTAAGGTCGTGGCCTTTTGCTTACCTTATGCTTTTTTTTCTGCTGCTGCTGCTACTTCTTTTTTTTTGTATGTTATCCAAAATGCGTTTTTAATCCAAATGTTTTCTTCGTTCTTATTTCTTATATTTCTTTTTTTTTTTTTTACTTAATTTCTTGCACTTTTGCTGCTTTTCGTTTGATGTTTGTTGTCTTTCACTTGATTTTCATATATTTTAAACTTTGTTTTAATGCTCATAAAATTCATTTTTGGAGCATAAAGCGAATATCAAATATTTTTGTGACTTGAACGGAACACCCACACACACACACGAAACGCACGAAACGAATCCAAACGGTCGACAATTTGAATATTTTGTTGTTGGTCGGTTGCTGTCGGTCTCTCGAAATCAAATCTCACGCCAACGCAGCCTTCGCTTTGCTACGTTTTTCCTACACGTTTTCTCTTTATTTTGTTATATTTGGTTTTGGTTTTTGCGGCGGAATGACGGTCCCAGCCCATGGCACCGGCCTTATATAGTGCCGCACCATCCAACTCGAACATGTTGTGTTTTTGTTTGGCCGTATAAGAGTGCGCGCTCTCTCTCTCGCTCTCTGTGGCAGACTCTTGAATTAAGCTGCAACGAACATGTTGTAGCGGTGGCACTGCAGGCGAACACGTTCTGTCAATGGGACTTGCAGTGGAACGGTTCGAGCATTTATCCATGGCCTGCAGGCGGGTGTTCCATCAAATTTCCGTAGAGAGTGGGCTTGGATTAGTCAATCAATTGGCAATCAATTATTGACTCATTTACGTATTACCAATGTCACTGCAGACTACTTACTGACTGACTAAGAAACGCGTCTCTGCGGAACGATCTTTCTCTTTCTCTTTGTCTTTTGTGATGAAATATCCAGACAATGAGACCTATACAGTTCTTGACGATCTCTTGCGAAAGTGCGGGGAAGTACTTCAAGGCCATTGGGAGAATGGACTGGAGTTGGAGTGGATTGATTGATGATACATATATGTGATGATATATTTATGAAGTTATTTCTGGGTATTTTGACGAGGAATAAATATCAGAACTTTCGGTATTTTTTGGTGGAATATGATGAAAATATATCGAAACATAGCTGAGTTTAGAGGGGATGATAAAGAATACGTATGATAATGATGCTTTAAGGGTAACGAATGATGAATAGCCATTCGAGTTGGGCAAATCTTTAGGAGATGATGATGAATACCCATTAAACTTAGGCGAATTTAGTGTTAATGATAATGAATAGCCATTAAAATATTCGGATTTTAAGAAGAACGTGGAATAACCATTAAAACGTTGCTAGTTCTATGTGGAATGATGAAATATTACGAATAGTGCACTTCTTTTTGGGTGTATGATAAAGAATATCTATGATAACTAAGTTGATTGGCGAAAATTGGCTAACACTTTGCTGATTCTATAGGAAATAATAACAAATAAAAAAAAAAATCCTGGTTCTACCAGAATAAGGAAAACTAATATTAAATCGAATAATTCCAAGTCCAAACATGTTTTAGTGTTCCAATTCTAAGGGTTTTCCCCGATTTTCTTTTGGAATACCCTACAGTAAAATTCTTTATTTTTTCTAACGGTTTCACAACCCTTGGAACGTGCCACAGCAATAGGTGGAGGGGCGGATGGATGGATGGAGGTTTTGGAAATGCAAATCAAAAATCATCTTTAGCAATGCAGAACATGTCCCCGAAATTGAATCCGATACTCGATTCCCTCTCTCTCTTGTGATTCCCGGTAACAGATCATTGCCTTCCAAGGGGTTTGAAATTTCACACCTTTTTTTTCAGAGGCAGAGACACAGTGACAGGGAGGGAGAGGCAAAGATAAAAATCGGTAGCAAAAATAAATATTTATACAAATTATTAGGCACCTCGGCTGTGTCTCTCTCTCTCTCTCTGTGGTATGATCCCTGGGGCAGACTAAGTCCATTCGCGGGAAAGGTCACGGAATGTTGCACAAAAGGAGTACGACGGAAGGCTACCGGGGCAGGATCTCTAACCGGGCTGCGCTACGTGGTTACGTGTTTTGCATGTTAATCGGGGAATTTACACAGATTTTGATAGATAATACAAACACACACACAAGTAGTGTGATGTGCATCTAGGATTCCATGGCAGTGCCAGTGCACAGTCATCATCCTCCTCCTACGACCTACGACCTCCTTTGGGATGGAGAGGGAATCTCTCACGCACACAGACAGCAAAAGAGAGTGCGTCCTAGGACTGAGATTTATGATGACTTTTTAACATGTGCAACATGCAACAGGTAAAACATACAGATGCAGATACTTGCCGTACACGCATATAAACACAGATACGTAGATACCGCAGATACACAGATACGTACGTAGATACCATGACCAGGCACATCATCAGACTTTAGATTCCGTTCTTTCCATCGTAAATCCTTTTTTCCCACGTTTCCTCACACGTCCATTGGATGGACATTTTCATTGTGGCAGACACGCATCGAAAAAAGAAAACTCCATACCCAAATGGACCCACAGCAGTACTCTATCTCTATCTGCATCTCTCTCAGTCTCTTTCTCTCTCTATTGCCATCTCCCTGTCAAGGTCAATCACAGGTACTGGTGGGCCGTGGACCTTGTGTGGGCGTGGGAGGACGTTTGATTCCCTTGCCTTAAAATCGCGCACACACGCGGGAAATTCCTCCATCAACATGTGCGAAACACATGTGTGTCTGCGTCTGCCCAGGAATTTCCGCAACTTGTTTCCCACACAGCAAGGTGTCCCGCGTCCGTGACCGCGTCCTTGCCTCTTCAGCGTCGTGGTCGTGTCCTTTCCGCTTTTCCCAGAGTTTCATTTGTGTGACTTTTTGTGTCTGCCAAAAGTGTCCTGGCACTTGTCTTCAAGTTACGCCAAATGTGCCACATTTGTGTGTTTTCCCAGTTGAAGGATCTGGGATAGATCACCAAGATCTAGGATCTGGTATCTGGTAACTGCTGCCAAGGGGCGCGTCTCTAGAGCAGCTTCTGAGAAGGAAGAGAAACTCTAGAAAATGCCTGGACAGAAGATCCTGTGATGTGTAACTTCAGTGGAAACCTGCAGAAGCGAATCCTTTTAGCCAAAACTTGATGAAAATGAAAAAAAAACCGTTCAATTTTAAAGTTTTTGCAAAGGTATTCTGTGCCAACGCTAGACGTCCTGGAAGAGCGAGATAGCGGCGAAAAGAAATGCGAAGAAGAGACTTTACCCCCCAAGTGAAAATGCAAATTTTCTTTATGGTTGAGAAGCCAGAGGACACAGCGACAGGGGACAGTGACAGCGACTTTGACGGCCAATTGTGAATCGTGGATGGAAATGGAAATTGAAAAATTGATTGAAGAATGGAATGCCAATAATAATGGACAAGTAATGAGAGTGTCCGCCACAGAACACAAAAGGAGGTGGAGGCGAAAGCGTGGGAGGATGGCCACATTGTGGTGGTGGTGGGGGGAAGCAGAAGGACAGACATGCCGCCGCAGAAGCCAAGGAATTTTGTCGAAATTTATCTATTGGATTAAGGTCCTTTTTTTTGCTCCCTGTGTGGACGGAGGTCATTATGGCCAATGCCAAAGACAAATTGAAAATTTATTGTTATTTGAAGGAAAAGGAAAGGGCAGGAAGGAAGGAAGGAAGCGTGGTAGTGCGAGGAAGGATAACAGTCCAGCGAGTATGCATAATAAAAATGTCAATCAATGAACTGCAACAGAGCAGAACCCCGAGGAGAGAGAGAGAAGAGTCCAGGGCACATAGGATTCTGTGCTTCTTCTCTCTCCAAATCGCCCTGTGCATTTATTTCTGAAACGATAATTGAACATAAACATTGCATTCAAGTAGTAATTGTGGAAATTGTTGAATTTATTGTCCATCCTAATCCCCCAACAAACCCCGAAATTTCCGCAAAAACCGAACTGGGCATTGGGTATACGAAATTGGTTCCTGTGGTCGCCAGAAACCAACCAAATTAAAACACACACACACAAAAATTCCGGTCAGAATGGACATTTTTGGAATGGTTCCCATGGACATGTCCTACTTTCGGACTGCCAAAAGTCTGAGAGAGTATTGTTTCAAAGGAGCAAACGACAATTAAAGTAGCAAAAGAGATGAAAGAAAAGGAGCAAAAGACACAAAAGCCAAAAGGGAAGGCTGAAGACGGGAGACAAATATACCCAAATGGACAAAATGGACAAATCCAAATTGGTTCTGACTTTTTGTGGGAGTAAGTCATCAGGAATGAATAAATAAACAGATCTCTGACTGAAAGAATCAACAGAATCCTGAATCAACATGGACAAGGACAAGGCATGGATATGTTCCGGTTTCTTCTACATAGAACCAAAAAAAAGTTTAAAAAATTAAATAGAACAAATTAAATAAAAAAGTCTTTAAAACTCTACACAAAAAGACTAAATGTTGCTTTGCAAGCAAAAGCCATTTCCATTCCCATTTTCCTTTCCATTCTAAAATAGAAAATGTTTCAATGATGGAAAAGGAAAATGTTATTAAAATATATAAATTAAATATTTGACTCCTTTTGAAACGCTTTTAGAAATATAAGCCACGAGTCCATAAAATTTCAGTTTTTTATCGCATTTAATTGGAGTGCACTCACTGGCGTAGAGCGGGCTATATGCCACCTCTTGACCACTCGGCGGACACTCGCGAAACTCCAAAACGAAAACTCGTGAAACTCGTGGCGCTAATCAGTTTAAAGGGCGCTTGTCCCCACTTTGGGGCCCCAATGCTTTACGGTTTTAATTACGCGGCAAAAGTTGGATTCCATGTTGGGCCATGCCCTCTCCAAACCCTCTCTCTCTCTGTCTCTTTCTCTCTCTCCCTATGGTGTCCGCAATCTGTGGAGTTTTTTTCGCTGCTGCTGCTGCTGTGGATTTCTCAGTTAGTTAAAGTGCTTGCAACACATTAAAACTGCAATTCATCCGCAGAGCCGCCACACACACACACACACACACATACACACATATCGAAGGTTGTGGCAGGGGCAGTGGCAGTGGCAGGAGCATGCTGCACGGACTCTGCGGGTGCCCCAAACACTAATGAACATTTTATTACAAAAGTTTGCTCTTCTCGAATGAGGAGAAAAGTTCTACGACTTTGATTCTGATTCTTTTTTATTGCATTTCATTAAGCGTGCAACTTGGCGCCGAAGGAGCAGGCTAAGATGAGAGCAGAGCGGAGGAGCGGAGTCGTGTGTGTGTGTGTTTGTGTGGAACCTTTTGCTCTGATTATTCCAAGTGGCATGGCTTTTGGCGAGGGTGGGTAGAGATTTCCGCTGGTGGCAAGGTGCAACCCCTGAGGGAATGATCTGCTGAAAGTACTTGCACTTTTGTGGCTGTCCCACTGCAACACCACCCGCCACTCTACTGCCCCTTGGGTAGAGAGGTGTCCCCCACTTCCACTCTATTGCCCCTTGAGGCAAGGTGTCTTCGACACAC